TAATACAATATATGTTGTTGCGCCCGGCCAGACCCAAGCCGGGGTCCAGAGACCGCTGTTTTGCCGCGCTGAGTACAGCAACCCTGTGAAATGGGGCAAGGAAACATATTGACAACAGGTTTTGACGGACCTCTTATAGCTAGTACTTCTTGAATACCGTATTGCAGTCCATTCAAGCCGCCAGTACAGTTCCCCCTTCTGTTTTTCTTCAACTGCATGAGCAGGCATTTCTGTGGGTTTGATTTACTCCATCTAATTCTGAATGTTCCGCTTCGCCTAGTTGTTTCAGTCATTTTTTTGGCCGGGGGCTGAGGCTTGCCACCTGCGTAGGCGACAGGGCGATGGCCAGCGGACCACAGCGGAGTCCTTCGATTGGCCAGCCGCACCTCGGCGGGACCCAGAAGGCCAGAGTGGACCGAGTGGACCTGTTAGATCCAGATCAAACATATCACGCCACGAGGATAGCACATTGCTTTGTTTGCGGCTGGTTTCCCTTTGCAAGGGGCCAAGTTTCTACCCTCGTGCCAGCGTGAGGGTGTCTTTGTCAGGTGTTCGGGTAGCGGAAACCAAGGGATATTTTCGTGGGTTGTCCTTTTCTTAATTGCATGCATAGCTGCTGTTCACTTGTGTTGCTTTCGTGCCATATTCGGTTGTTTTGCTGGCTTAGGAGTTGTGCCGGAGCTGCTGACACACTGAACGTTGTCAATAGCTGCATTGATGTCCAGTTCGTAGCAGCTGGGGAATCCAGCAACCACAAGCAGCCTCGCAAAACGCGTGAAGAGCGCGGAACTGATGTGATGAGGGTTCTAAATCTTGGCCCAGGGTCGTGTTCAGCATGCTCAGGGTTGGTAAGGCTTCAGCGCGATTCAGTTCCTACGACTGCTTGGCAAACGAAGGCACGGGGCAGAAGGTGTAGAGAACCGATGCCGGTATCTCGTTCTTCAAGCCGGGCGTTTATTTCTTGTTGGCCGTTTCCGGGGGGCCGGGGCGCTTGACCTCCCGACGGCGCCCGCTGTGTTGCGCGCGCCCGAGGAGAAGCTTCAGGCGCTGCAGCTCACGCAGCTCTCGCTCATCCGCCAGGCCTCTTCCAAGGACTGGGAGGCCTGGAATCCGTGGCTTGGGCTGGCCGGCCCAAAGCGACTAACATGGCGGAAGGTGCCAGGCCAATGCTGCCAAAGACTTTTACTTTCTCGGTTGGGTTGTGAAAGGTTTCACACATGTGTCCCTGAGTCGATTTCTCTGTGGCGAAGGGTCGCGGAACTCAGGAGATGTCAAGGGGTCCGGCGCCTGAGGGTGTGCCCCTTTAAGCTCAGGCTGCGACCCCAGAACTGTTCCCAACATGGTCTGACTCATCATGCGTGCCAAAAGCTTGCAGTTTGGAGATTTGACAAGCGTAGAGGAGATGTTTGAGAAGCTGGAGCGGCCAAGCAGTTCAGCCTTTCTGTACACATGGGCAACGACGTTCCGTGCTAAGTGATTGGGCACTGCACGCTGAAACTGGCTTCGGACTTCAGAGTACCTACCCAGCAACTACTTGTAACCGACTGGCTAAAGGCAACAAGGGGAACCGCTTGACACCAGGCCAATAAATATGAGAGGAGGTCGCTCTCCAATTTCAAATCGTTGTGGGGACTGCACGCTTTGATTTACAAATGGCACCTTCCCCCTAGCCCCATGCAGGGCCTGTTGCAGCCAGAAGGCCGGGCATCGGGGGGAAGAGCAGTGGTTTTTGCAGCGTGCTGAGGCTAACCCTGCTCAAGTGGACAAAGTGGAAACTTTAGAGCCTCCGGCTCAGTCCGCCGACATTGTCCTCTCCCTTTTCTCCTTCTTCCCTCTCCCTTGTCTCCCTCGTGCGTTCTGTCGTCCTCTCTCCCTCCCTCTGCTCCCCATTCTCCCCATCCCCCCAAACCTCTCTCTCCTCAATCTCCCACTCTCTCTCTCTCGCTGTCTCTGTTTCTCTGTCTCTTTCTGTCTCCCTGTCTCCTTCCTGTCCACGCCCCTCTACAGAAAAAGGGCACCCTAATTCGAACCTCTCTACTCTCTCACTTTCTCGCTCTTTCTCTTTCTCTCTCTCTCTCTCTCTCTCTCTGTCTTTCTGTGTCTCTCTTTCTCAGTCTCCGTCTTTCTCTCTCTCGCTGTCTCTCTCTCTGTCTGTCTCTTTCTCTGTTTCTCTGATTCTGGCTCTGTCTGTGGCTCTGTCTCTCTCTCTCTCTTTCTGTCTCTCTCTCTGTCTCTCTCCCGCTCTCTCTCTCTCTCTCTCTCTCTCTCTCTCTCTCTCTCTGTCTCTCTCTCTCTCTGCATTGCAGCGTCACGTCCCCCCCCGAGTTGCCTCGATGTCCGGGCACTGCCCCTGCATGACCCTGAACTGTCATCTCACTACTGGCTTTCCCCCTTCATGTCCTTGTCACGTTTCCCATGATGTCCTGGTCCTGTCCCTTCCATGCCATTCAGCCCCCCCTTCATGTCCCTGACATTTTCTCGGTATGTCCGCTTCATTTGCCATGTATGTCCCGTTCTTTCGTTGCGAGTCATTTCCCTACATCTCCCGTCGTGCTTGGTTTCCTTGTGCTTTGTTTCCTCTCCTTCCCCCTGCACTCCCCTTGTTTTCATTTCTGTCCCTTGCATGTCCCTTTCAGTTCCCCTTTGTTTCCCTTTCATGTCCCGCTGCTTTCCTGTCATGTCGACTTCCTATTTCCTCCCCTCATTTCACTTGCACTTCCTTGCATTTCCCCTCTGCTCCCCAATATTTCCAGCAAAAAAACACGGGTTTTCCAGCGTTTTCACAATTAGGACGTCCAAAAACACAGAGTTTTTCCAGATTTTCTGCAAAAGGAGGCAGGAACCCCAAACCAGCAAAGAGCCGGCAGGGGGAATCGAGCCTGGGACCCCTGTTTTGCCATCAAATTGCCGCGCGGTCCTTGGGGGGGGGGGGGGGCCCCCCCCCCACGTATCAGACGTCGGGCGGGGGGGGTTAGGGGGGGGGGTTATCCTCTATCCTCTCTTAGGTGTCCGACACGCCGAGCAATGTCGGCGGACAAGGGGCGGGGGCTCACCGGCAAAAAATAGGCGAAATGAGCAAGTCCATTCAATTGAAGCTATCTTCCAGCTTCCCGAAGGAAAACATAAACCCAGGGCTTTGCAAAGGCTGCACTAGAATCTACGTAAAGCCGCTGTTTGCGGGCACTGAGCAAGCCTGCCTTTTGCAAGTTGACCTCAATGGGGCGTTGTCTTGCAAAAGCTGCAGTGAAACCCCTAGCCAGTCGTGGGCGAAGAACCATTTGGAAGTTTCTCCGCGGTGACGTCATGTTGGAACAGACAAGCAATGTTTTGCAGGCCTCAGGCAACTTAGCAAGGCCCCCTGAAAGCGGTTGGACAGCTTGCGGAGAAGGGCTGGGCGCAACTGATAGCCGGGCACCTTTAGTGCCAAAGTTCAGCCTAGGCCTGGGGCATTTGGTGCGTCGTAGCTGGAATGGATATGTTGCTTGTGTTTCGTGTGAAGCGCAAATTTATTGCGCTGACCATGACGTGCTGTTTTTGTTTTTTGCCTTCGTGTGTTTACCACACTGAAACATGAACCCCCACCCACCCACCCGCCCGCCCGCCCGCCCGCCCGCCCGCCCACCCACCCCCACCCCCATTATGAGCCCCTGCAATAACAGCTGCCAACGTTAGCGCTTGACACTTCGTGCAAGGGCTTCCCCCCACACGGCTTTAGTCTGCTCCGCACCTGCTTAGAAAATGCTGAAACAAGTCCCAGGCGATGCCAAGACCATTCACTTTGCTGCGGGATGCTGGTATAACAAGACGCCTGAAGAAGAGGGCCTAGGATGCCCAGGCCAAAAAACGCCAACAACAGCATCACTCCAAATTCGAATTCAACATGCAGAATCAAAGTGTGCCCACTTGCGATGAGCCCACCGCTTCCAAACAAACTTAGAGGCGCCAAAAAGACCGTGGGGGGAGTTTTGTGGAAGCCCTGCTCCTCGATTCTTCCCAGGTACCCTCTCATGCAGGGGGCAACGGCGCATTTTTGCGTTGCGCTTGGTCAGGTTCGCAAGTGTGGAGTCTGTCGCAGGGATCAACCATGGAGCTTTTGAGCCAGGCATTGAGCGGGACATCTCCAAGCTGCGCCACAACTCCCAGGACGGCTTGACCCTGCGCTGGCATGGTAGCCGGGAGTTTTTTTTTGGTTGAGAGCCATGCAGCGAAGGAAGACCGGCCGCACTTTGTGTTCGAGGCCGGGCAAAGCAGGGCCGGTTCGGAAGAAGGTCTGGCACGGGCCAAGGCCGCAGATTCTGCGACCAGCCTGAAGCGCAAAGCGGTTTCAAGTCTCACCTGGAAGCTTTGTCATCGCATGCGGGGTCGCTTTGAGGTGAATGGAGTTTGGTCTTGGGAAGCCTCGTGGAGCACCAATTGCAGAAGCGCAAAATTATCTTCGCAACGATTAAGAAACAAAGCCTTGCCAAAGCCCCAGCGCGCTTCTGGATCGCGTCGAGGTCAGCATTGATTTCATGCTTGCAAGTCAACTTTGCCCATGGACTTTGCCATGCAGAACTTGGAACTTGTTGGCCCCTGCAGAAGCCAGCTTGGCGCCAGGTGGATGATGAGGCGGGGGGAGATGCGGGCACTCAAGTCTGTTCAAGTCTCGGGCTGCCCACAAACCTCACCACAGAATCCATCAGAAGGTTATTCCGAAAGCTTGCATAAGTTGGATGCAACCGCCAAGCTTCAAGCCTCAAGCAAACAGTGAGTAATACTGGTGAGACAAGCGGAACGGCACACAATGTTTGCGGCATGTTGCGGGAATCTCGGGCAGGCAGTAGTGCTGGTACAGGCGATGAAGGTCAATCATTGTTCGTCAGCTTTCAGCTTTGCCAGGTGGATGGTTGGGCAGGCATGCCACATAAGACAGTCATTGTGTGATATTAGACTTTGTCGGAGCGTTTTGCCAGACTGCCCACGCCATCCCGCGTCGTTTCGTGTGGGCTCGAGCTGTTGCCATGGCGCGGCATCGCCCCGTGGCTCTGCTGGTGCTTTGCACGCTGTGCTCCCTCAGCTGCCCGACCACAACTTAGGATTGCCTTTATCTAGCTGGAGTGTCAGCGCTGAGATTCGCAACCCCAATGACAGACATCAGCCCATACTGTAAATATCAAATGCGCGCACCAAGGCTACAGGAAAGCAAACGGCCCTAACCTGTACAGCTTTGTGTTGCATTCATGCTTGTATTTTCAGTATTGCGCTGATTCCCTGACGCTAGTCCTTAGTCGCCTAGAACCAGTTGCTTGCCAGTTGGATAACATTCGGTCAGTCGCTTGGTTGCCCAGGCTTTGGCCCCGCCATGCTGCGGGTGCTGGTGACGGGCGGCAACAAGGGCATTGGTCGTGCCCTGTGCCGGCAGCTGGCGGCGGACCACGGGTTCTACGTCCTTATGGGCGCCAGGGCGCCCCGGCTTGAGATGCAGACAGCGGCGCGCGCGTGTGTGTGTGGTGTTGCTTGGCCAGTGGTTGTGTAGGCTTAGCGTTTACATTGCATAAGTATTCTTGTGCTTTTGGATGGGAGGTGATTGGGCGCTCGACCTCAGTTTCATGGGGGCCTCGAGGGGTTTGTGTTTTGCCAAGGCACTGCCCCACTCGAGCCTAATTCATCATGTCCTTGTGCCTCTTTTCAGAAACATGTCTTGATAGCTCCCTGGTCACCTGGGAGTTTCTGCGGCTGTTCCGGCACGAAGCCCATCAAGACTGGCCGCCATTGACGGAAGATGGTCTGAGCATGAAAAACGGTTGTGACATCTAAGTGACACCCTTGCTGAGGGTCGCAGCAGGTGGGTCAAAGAACGCATGTGCAAACTCCGCTTTCAGTTGTTCCGTCCATGGCACTTGCATGCTCTTCCTAGAAAGTCAGGAACAACTGGGGCGCAGTGGATCAACTTTGGTGCTTGAGTGGATCAACGTTGGTGCTTGACTCGAGTGATGTAGCAGAGTCAACAAAGGGAGCTGGCTGAGGATCCTCAGCGAGGCGAGGCAGCGGTGAAGAGCATATTGGAGGAAAGTCCTGACTGCCGCTTGACAAGGTGACAACAAGACAAGAGATGGGTAAGCAGTCAATGGATGATAACAATGAAAAACAACGAGCTGAGCAATCCAAATTGAGGGCGGAGTTGCATCGAACGGAGTGAACAGGGGAAAACAACAGTGCTGAGCAAACTTGCCTCCGAAACAACAGTGTTTTCCGGGTTGAGGCCGTAAACGGACGGTAAACAGCTGGAGATTTATCAGAGAAACATGGGCCAGCTAGCTGTGCTGGACCTTGCCAAAGAACAACTCTTTATGAAGCTCCTGCTCATGTCTAGGAAGACCCGACCCTTCAGAATTCGAGCAAAGACTCCGATTCTCGTTTTCATGCTTGCTTGGATTGCTGTGTTCTGCTTAAGCAAACGATTTAAAGCAATTTTGCAAGAGTGGAATCCTGACAATCATATCAATCAACACGCCGTAGTAGGATCAAGCTTTGACATGTCTCAATCTTTCGAGCTTCCGAGTCACACAAAAGAACACAACTCTACTCCAAAACTCGTCGTTATTTCATAGTCATAGTCCTATTTAGAAAGATGCTTCAATCCATTCCACAAAGATGTGCAGTACTGTGACCCTCGTTTTGTTTAAGGAGCCCGTGTGCAACCTGGCAGGTGAACAGCTGTACAACAATACTACTTGAAGATTGAGACTATGTTGATGTAAGTTGTGATCCCAACCAGGATTTGCTGTACAAATGGAAGGCGATTCCAAATGAAGCTTCACAATTCTGCAGCATACCAAAAGCAATGCTAAAATCGTAAACCGCCGTTTGGCCTCAGCAGCAAGCGTCGGCAAGACTCCAGACTTACTGAAGGACATGGGTAGTCAAATGCGGACTCAGCAGAAAGCGTTGGCAGCACTTGGCACCACCACAGGAGTACCAACAGAACGGAACTTTCTTCATCAATACAGTGCCAGGAAAAAGTCCAATTCCTTTGGGTATGACGAAGCTAATTCATTGCTGCCGGGAAGATGATTCTAACATCCTTGGGCGAAGGGCGGGAGGTCCTATCGATCATAGTTTGACATTGCTTTCTTATGGCAGTTGGAACAAGTAGGACGCAATTTCAGCAAAAATCAGTATGCACGCGCGCGCAGGTTGCTTGAAAGCTGTGGTCCGCTGTGCGGCTGCCTTCCTTTTCGCGGGGAAGGGTGTTAATTTTCAACCAGGCCTCTCTCAACCCGGTTCTGACAATCTGAAGCCTAGACTATACTGGCAGCAAGTTTGTTGGGAAGAAAGGACTTGAGCAAACCATGACGGTTGCACAACACGCTGACGAGCCGACAACACCCGGAGCTTTTCAACGTGCCGGCTGCAATTCCCAAGGCGAGGGGCGCATCGAGTGTCTCCCCTTGGATGTGGCCAGCGACAAGTCGGTGAAGGCTGCCGCTGACTTCGTTCAGAAGAAGTTCGGAGCAGATCCTCCACCGCTGTATGGCATTGTCAACAACGCCGGTGTAGGCCGAAATTATTCCACCTGTTGTTCTTGCTCGTGGCTGTCGACTCTGGGCCTAAGCTTTCGCCCGCTGGCCACCAGTTTGATGCTCCTCAGGGCGAGAGCAATTCGGCAATCCCTGGCTCAGGCTTCGACCATTCCATGCTGGAGACGGTGAACATCAATACCCTGGGGGCCAAGCGAGTCTGTGAGAGCTTTATACCCCTCCTCGACAAGGACACAATTGCAACATGACAAGCAAGGTCCATGTGGGTGTGCCCTAACCCCCCCCCAACCAAAAAAAGAAGAAGAAGAAAGCAACAAAAAACAGCTGGAGTTGCGCAAGGTTTAGTCTCCTTGTTCATGTGCCAGGTTCCATGTTGGAACCCTATTTGTGAGCCACACCTATTTGAATCTGTGGGTTTAAGCGCTCGGGACTGGAGTTTCATTTGGTCACCAATTCTCTCCACATCGTTGTGGAGTGCAGGGTGTTGCGAGACAAATATGCATAAGCGGAAGAAATCGTTTTACACCCACGCGCTCCAAATCCGAGAAAGTGCCCCTCGAGCCTTTGTTGCCTGTTCTGGGAGGGCAACCACAGCCGGTCAGCTGCAAGGGATCTTGGCAATGCCGTAGGCGAGGATTATTGGATTTCATTTGAGTCGTAAGTGCTTTGTTTGAGTTGGCAACGGTTGTTGATACCACCGTGTCGGCACATTTAAACGAAGAGTGGCCAACCCTGCAACCCTGCCTAATTGAATGTGTTTGATGATGCCCCCACCCATGTCCCCCAGCAACACCCAGCAATGGCTTCGCCCAAGCTTCACTTTTGAACCTGTTGCTTAGTCTGCCTCAACGCTGGCATGAGCCAAAACAAGCCCACAACAGAGAGCCCACAACAGAGAGTCTCAGACAGCATTCTTGGACTCTTTGTTCGGCTGCGCAAGAGCAAAACTCTTCTGTCCTTCAGCGAGGAGGGCCGCATCGTGAACACGGCCTCCGCCTCCGGGCCCAACTACGTGTCTCGCTGTGGGGGCGCGGAGAGGCAGCTGCTCACCAAGCCGGCGCTGCAGCGGCAGGGCGGGAGGGGGTTGGAGTGAAGGAGGGTGGATGTCCCGCTGGAGTGTGGCAAGAAGATTTGGGTGGGATAGGATGACAGGTGACAGGATCACGCAGCCGCACAGGAACTGCCGGTGTCTCGATTTGAAAGGATCCAAGTGATTGCTTGCCTTTCCTCAAAAGTAGTGAGGGCAATCACTGGCAGCAAAGTTCGGGCGCACACCCAGCCTGCTTATGTTGTGCAACTGAACCAATACCGATGAAGGCATCGCTCTGAGGATGTGACCTGGGAGGAGCTGGGTGGATTGATTGAGAAGGTGAACCGCGAGCCTGGGGGCAGACAGCCCTATGGCTTCTCCAAGGCCTGTCTGATCTCCTACACCATGCTGCTGGCCAGAGAGAACCCCCAGAAGATCAACGCCATGACCCCTGGCTACATCTTGACGGACATCACCCGCGGCATGGGCGCCACCAAGTCTCCCGAGGAGGGCACCAAAGCGGCCATCCACTGCGCCTTGGAGTTGCGTCCAAATTGGTCCCGGAAGAAAAACCCCTTTAAAAACCCAGAATTGGTCCGGAGTGTTTGAGTGCAAGTCTTTTTTTAAAAATGGAATGCATGCTTGCCCTTGCCTTGAGTCATGCGCCAGATTTGGTGTCTCTTTGAGGGGTGGTGCTTTGAAGCGAAAAGCTTTGCGCCAAGTTCAGGAGTACGATTTCCCTTCACAGCGATCCGCATAAGGGAAGTTTGACGCATCATAAGCACCCCAAGCTGTGTTCTGCGTTGGCCCGGTCTGCCATTTTGCGAGACGTTAGGCCTCATGGGCAAGCTGGAGGGCAACGGCTGGTACTACGGCTCGGATGCCGTACGGAGCCCCATCGATCGCTACCGTGGTCCAGGGGAGCCGCCCTACGAGGGCGACTAAAGCCGTGGAACTGAGTCTCCTCTTTCGGCTTTGGCAAAGGAGAGTTTTCGAGCGCGCAGCCGCAGCGGATGCCCAAAGAGGCAAAGGCATTTTTCGAGATGCTGGCGTGTGTGTATAGGACTAGGTCAGGCCAAGGGCCCTGCCTGCATGGCAGCTACCAAGATCGAAGCATACCGTGTTGATTTCACATTGTCGAATCTCCAATATGCAAGCAGGACCTGTGAAGCTTGTTAGGCGAACAAAGTGACGGGTAGGAAAAGCATAGACCGGAGAATGTGACGGCCGAAATGCAGGCGAAAGTAAAGGCTCTAGCTGCCGGCATGTGATGATGTTTGTCTTTGGGATTCGATCAGAGTGGGCTTCAAGCGGAAGTCAGCGCGTTGACCCAGATCCTGTCGGGGATCCTTCGATTCATTGTGCAATCACCTTCTGGGGCGGCCAAATGTGTCCTTTTGTGTGGGAGGATTTACCCAAGGATGATGATGGTGAGGATGATGATTGTGATTGTCATAATATCAAGGCAAGCTTAAGCCTGATACATCGCGCCGAAACAGAACCCTCAGCGCCCGGCGCGCTGCACACGCGCGCAGGCAGACGAAGACTTGCTCATGGTCCTGGAGGATCTGCTAGTCCCTGATGGGGCCATTCTTTGCACCGCAGCCTGCCAAGCTTCTGCTTGCAAAGGGCTTGGGCGGGCTGAGTGCGACTTGCTTGAGACTTCTTTTGAGGCGTTGCCAACATATCGACCCACCAACCAATCAACCAACCAACCGCACAAAGCGCAGATGCTCACAGCTTCTACCTCATTCGCCTAGGTTGACTGTCCGCCGGACGGCACCCAGATCTTTCGCAGCGGCCGCCCTGAGGCACAGCGGAGGGCGGACTCAGCGCTTGATGAGGGGACCTCTCCCGTAACATGAAAGTTTAAGAGGGCGTCTTTGTGGGGCTGTGCCTTTGTACTGAACTGCGGTTAATGGGATGGTCCATGTGGCGAGGGCATCTTGAAAAGAAAGCTGTCCTCTTTGAGACGTGCACCATGTGAATCCCATTTTTTCCCTAGGCAGATTCGACCCCAGGGACAGAAGATACTTGCTTCCTCAAAGTCCTCAAAGTTCAGATATAGTTCAGATATCGATGAGTCATGCGAGAAACGGAAAATCCATGAGTACGACATTCTGGGAATTTCAAAGTGCCTCCATTGCATGTGAATGGCACCAATTTGCATTGGCTTCGGAAGCCTGCTCCATTCCGAGAACCCACTTGGCCATCTCAGGGTTATATAGTTTCCACAGCCATTAATTCAAGGCTCATACCTTTCAAACATCATGTCACATGTCAGTTGGGTCAGTTCGACATGTTTGAGGAGTTCAGTTTTCACGCTTGAGCCTCAGCTGCGAGGTGCGGTGATGGAAGTTTGGGTTGGTGGCTGGGCCCCTAAGCCAAAAAGGCGGGTCAATAGGCCTTTCCCTAAGTCAGCGCTCGCGCGTTTTCACCAGGACGGGAACTGCTCTGTGGTCTATGGGGTTCGCCGCGTAGACCTCTTCGAGGATTTGGGCGCCTTGACGATATTAAAAGCCTTGGGACATGGAGCTTTGACCAGGGCAAAGCGTTTGATCAAAGCGGCCGGCATGGCCACCAGCTTCAAGCAGAGCTTGCCAATGTGCGATTGAATCGCCTGGTTGACCTTCGTCCTTGTGCCCATGTGCATGCGCCCACGAACTTCGAAGGCTTGGACAAGGACGCCTCCATCGGCACGGGCGCGGTGCAGATCACCGCCATGTTGACGCAGTGCTTGGCAAAGGCGAGGCCGCGTGACGCGAGTCGCCGGCCCGTGGCGGTTTGTTTGTCATGCTGGGGCAGTGTCAGAGGCTGAGGCTGGTGGCAATGGCGCACATTGTTGAAGGCCCAACACTGTCCTCTTTCCCGCTCTTTCCCTGCCGACCCAATTCTTCTGAAACGTTTATGTCAGGAAAGGGACTTGAACAAAGTCATGTGAAGCTACATTGGTATGTCAGCCTACCCTGGCATGTAAACTTACTCTTACTGGCCACAACAAACTTCAAGTTTAGGTGGCAAGGTGATGCGCCTTTTGGACTGGAGCAGCCTCCCTTTCACCCCAACAGCAATCTCAAGCTTGATGTGCAGTCCCACAACACGAAGGAGGGGGACATCCGGCAATGAAGGGATTTCCTGGCAAGGTGCTGAATGAGATGTATGCGTGCCTTCTCTTCCGCGAGATGGTGCGCCGAGGTGGGGCAATGTGCCTCAATCAGTGGCCGCGTGTGGTTTCGTGGAAAAGCAGTGTTGGTGTGCTGGGGTGATTTGGATGGCCAGGGGTTAGTGATGTAATCTGGGGTGTTGAATTGCAATCAGGAAGCGGCACCCCAAGCCTACGCAACCTAAATCCTAAATCCATGAAGGTGGCGACTCGAAGACAACACTAAGTTCTTCAAAATTTCAAGAAGCTGCGCAAAGGCAAAGGTGGCCAGCGTGATTCATGAGCAGCGCCTTTGATCACTCGTCAGCAGTTGTCCCATTGCGCTCAGATTTTTAGTGGCTGACAGGCAGTGCTATTTGCTGCTTGGCGGCGCTGTCGTGGCGCATTGCCGTGCTGGAGGCTGGCGCTCATACCCACCAGCCGCAAGCAAGCAAGAAAGGGAGCCAGACCTCGCACACACAATTGTCTACACTTGAAGCATCCTAAGCCTGCAGCAACCGTGCCCGAGCACGACAAGACAGCACCGACCCGAAGCCGTGACAGAACACAACGACTTGCTCATTTTCGTACTTCATCTTCCTTGCATTTTATTCCATATTAAATAAGCGTTCATGACCAACATGCAATATGATCTTCTGTGATTCCGGTGTACGGGGTAAACCCACAGCTTACATACTCGAAACCCAGCACGGCCATCTCCAATAAGAAGAGTAGAAATGTCCGAGAAGGTTTAGGGTCAATGCAAAAGAATGAAACTTGGAAACATCATGGAGGCACTTCTCCCTGCGGAACCTGCAAACGCTTCTTTTTTTTGCTCCCCCCACCACCATAGTGAATGTTTCATGACTTCAGTGGCTGGTTGCAAGAAGCCTTTTACCACAATATGCCTTGACTACATCAAGAAAGAACAGCGTTGTTGCTCATGGATTCAACTTGGCATGCCTTTGTTTGGGATTGTACGCCTACCCTCCTCTCACGAACATGGCTCTGAATTGGAAATCTGTTTTTCGGCTACTTTTTGGCAGGGCCTTTGAACCGCACTGGTTGGCCCGTGCCCCTTCTCTCAGCTTTGCGTGGCTCCGCCCGGGCCAGGATGATGTTATCGAGCTGGTGCTGACAGGTCAGCTGCTCGCAACCTCGCCAGGCAAGGCCCTCCCAATGCCGTAAGATCAGCAGAACGTCCTCGTCTGTGTTTGTTCCAGGGGTCTCGCAACAACAGTTGTTACGGATTTGTGGGGCGCTCAGCATGAAAGTTACTTCTTCGCGCTATTTGTTTGGTCATGGCTCGCCTCGGGCCGCATGCCCGTGGCTTTGCTTGGTTGTCAGGGCAATGGCTAGCAAAGAGGACAACCATTGGGAGGAAGCGATGCAGGCTGTCCATCAGCACCCGGTAGTATCCGACCTGTTCTGACATGACATAGTCGGGCTGAAAGCTGGGAGCAGAACTGCTTTCTTTCTTGCTGCTAGCGCCAAATCGAACATGTACCAACAGCCACAGCAAGGACTAGCCATTTCAAAAAGGGCTGGAAGACTTTCCACATTTTCCCGTCTTCCACTCATGCAGCGGTGGCGCACCAGGTCGAACAATGCGTGCTGCTGGGCTGAATGTGAGCTACTGGATTTAGCATTGCCTTCTGTTTGTTGCATCGTTTGAGTCATCCGGTTTTGCTTCAGTGAGTGAGTGCGGGGCCAAGATTCCAAGATGGCAAACAGAGAGCAGAGCAGGCAGGTGAGGCACAGGTAGAAAAAAAACTTTCTCTGAGTCCTGTTAATTTGCCGGAGTTGCCAAATTGCACTGGGCAGAGTGGCGTGTGAAGGTCCATAAAGTTCAAATGGAGAAAACAAAATCTGCAAGTGTCCGGTATCCCCTCCGCTGATCTGGTCATGTTCCAGTCACAACTAGGCAGCCCTGCCGCCCTAGTCAATCAACTTGCGGCGACCACAGCCGAGGTGACTCCACCGCCGGCCCCATCTGCACGGCATGAGGATGAGGCAATTCTGGCCACAGGGTCATCATTGGAACGATTTCCTCAGTGTTGTGTCCATTTAGCCGTTGACAAACAAGCCTGGCTGGTGTCCAAGGGAAGTTGTTGAAACCTAAACAGTTACGGAGTGCTGGGATTTGTTGCGTGCCAGTCCTGTTGATGCCAACCTTTTTGCGCCCGCACGTGCGCATGTTCATCAGCTGCTTTGCGACTGACATGCTTGTTTGGTTTGACACACTTTTTCGCACCTGACCTTTGCAGCAGCAGGTGTTCCATGTGTGGGCGGAAATTCGTTCTGAGTCGAACTTCGATCGCATGAAGGGCGGACGATGCTGAAGACTTGTTAACAAGTTCTGCTTCGTGACGCACGTGTGCAAGGAATGGTTCCTGCGTTCATGGGCTTGAGTCTGCCTCTGCTCTTTGCCTGCTCTCTTATTTCCATGCAGGACTCCCGCACTGGCACTGGCCGCGCTGCAGCGCAGGCTGAGCACGGCCCGAGTATCTCTTCAGACAGTCATGGGATGTGGGCAGCTTTCACTTGTGTTTGGCGAATATGTTGTTCAGCGGCCTTTCCCTGGGACTTGTTCAGTGGCAACTTGAGACGCGCTTCCGTGCCAGGTCCCCTTGGGCACTACCACCAATGAGCTCCTGCGCCTGGCTCATCCTTGGTTTTCGGCAGTTCGTTCAAAGGGATACAGCATGCTCAAACGCGACCATAATTCGGGAAAGCATGCGGCCAAGGATCTTGCTCAAGTGGGTCGGCTAGGTGCTGACACCCTTGGGGGTTGCAACTCATGGATGCTGAGGTGGCACACGTTGCATGTGAAGCAGCCCAGCAGGCGCTGGGGTGGGGGCGCTTGCCTGAATTTGGGTGGGCCGGAGGGGGGGGGGCGGGCCTAACTCTTGCGGAAAGAAATTGCGCCCCTGCCCCATGCAAGAAGTTGGCTATGCCACCATTGAAGTCAGCTTGCAGGGGTACGGGGTGCTGGCACCCCATGTAGAGAAGAGAAAGGTAAACACGCCCAACGCTTATGCGATCTTCTGCCCATATGCTGGGTCACAACGTCGACAGCTTGGTCCCTTGCAGGTGGCAGGACTCCCTGCGACCCATCAGTAACACCAGCGACCCGGACTTGGCAGAGGGCCTGCACAGGCGGATCCCGGCAAGAGAGTAGTTGTTCTGTTCTTGACAAGGCGAAGCTGGAAGTTGTCAGAACTCGGCCGACGTTTACAGCCCAGGATCAAGAAGGTTTGAAAACTTGCTGTGGGTAGTGAGGGCTTAGAGTGAGCTGATACAATTGTCCATCAAGTAAGAAGCCAGGCGGCTAAGACCTCAGAAACACAGTCGTTGTCAATTTGATTAGCAGGCAAGCTGAGCAAACCAGGCAGTGTGAGGGTCCGAACGCACTTCACTCACGTGGTGCGCACACGCGTAGCGTGTTGCTGCCTTGAGGACGCTTTCGTCACGGAAACTGGCTTAAACCTCGCTGGACAGGCCATGCGCAGATGTAGCAGGTGGGGTCACAATTCCGCCAGGAGCTGCCGCCTGCAGTGGCATCCAGACGCACGCCTGGCAGAGGCATTTATTGACAATGGTTCAGGAGATGTGTAGGTTTGAGGGTTGCTCCCGGAAAATCTTTGGGAGGGGATGTTGCTCCGGTTTCTTGGCGGTTTTCTGTCCGTGCTTTGTTCGATGGGTCTGAAGAGCAACACCCTGCAGGCAGACAAGCCGGTCTTAGTCTCTGCCTTGAGCTCCTTGCCTAACTGCGAGGTGCGGTGCCTGATGTTGGGAGCGTTGTGATTTGCTGAGAGGGGAGGGCAGGCACGGGGCGACGCAGCGGGTGGGACGGGGAGCCTGTTTCGTGCAGCCGTAGGTGGCATGCCAAAGCGACAAAAGTGGGAAGCCGCAAAGCGCATGGCAATGGTTGTGCAGTCTTGCTGTGATTGCAGGTGGAGCGATACTGTGGCCTGGTGACGGTTCACATGATCAAAGAGCAACTAGGCAGAAATCAAGGGGAGCGGTTTTCACATCAGAGGGGTAAGCTGCTTGCATGCGTGGCTGCAAGATATACATGTCGCATGTCATGTGGCTCCCTTGGGACATCCAGCCACAACATACATTCCAGCACGGGGGATTTGTGACTCCGTTACCTTATTTGGGTCCATGGGCATCGGCATTAGTTTCCAAGAAGGACCTACACGTCCGAGTTTTGCACAACCAGAGGGAAGAGTTGCTTTCAGACCCGCCATCAACTGAACAACTTCGACTTCTGTCCACCCGCGCCGAGGACGGTCAATGTGACGCGGCAGTTTGAGTCCCTGCAGGCCCGGGGAGTGGAGGGGCACTCCAACAGTTGACGCTGCTTTGAAGCGAGCAGATGTTGCAAAGAGGCATGTTCTCCATGATTCTGTGAGCAAGGCCAGGTTGAGTCCACTTAATTACTGTAGACTTGCTGTGGCTTGGCCTTATGGCCTTATCGAAGATTGCGTGATGGGCAGCCATTCCCTTGAGCTCCATCGAAGGAGCACATGCGGCACCGTCAGAGTAAGGCAGAATTCTGTTGTGTGAGTGAAGGTAGGCCTACCTCGGTTATTTGTTTTGCACATGGAACGTTTCTAAGGCTTTGTCACAGTGTTTTCTCCAGCGTAGGTGGCGATGCGTTGGTTTGCGAAACTTGGTGTGTTGGCTTCAGGTCTTCTACCACCAATTCGTGGCGGAGGCCCTTCTCACCGCCAAGGCCCATGTCTTGGCCGTAGGCGAGGCCTCCGGGGTCGGCCAGCTGAGTGTCCGGCAACTTGAGAAAGGTTGGGCCCTGGCGCCGAAGCTAAATGACGTGCTTGCCATGGTGTGAACCCACACGCCAACGGAGCTTTTGCACATCGGGATGCACGTTCGAATGGTGCTTGCGAGGGGTCAGGGCATAAACGTGCAGTTTGGTAGGGGGCGCGGAAGCATCTCAGCGAGCAGTCCGGTGCCGGGTTGCATCACCCTGCTCAGTGGTTCCCTCAGGCTCAGCTAAGCCAGGCACTTGGGTTCAAAGCAGGCTATGCCGCAAGTCGCAGGTGGCGATGCGCTGCTGGGCTATCGCATCAACAACCTGTTCCTGCGCGAGGAATTTGCTGCGTTGCTTTGAGGAATTTGCCATTGAGCGGTATGTTGGTCCAGGCTTGCTTGGATTTCCGACGGCCAAAGGATCTAGCTCCCTCGTCACCAACGTTGAATCTATATAGGTGACTTGAACAGAGATGCTACCAGCGCTTTGCATGTTTGTGCAGCAGTGCCGCCATGTGCCGCCTGGTCTTCAGCAAGCGGCTGTAGGATTTGGTGTCTTTCGCTACCAAGCGATTGCATACAGAGAGTCAGCAGGGCCGGACAGCAAGTTAGGGCCAACCACCTGTTTGAATGCCTAAGCAAGTCCGCCCTTTAATCCCAAAAGTTGATCGATCAAGCACTTGTCGACTAATGATTGACTGCGACTGCCATGCCCGCGAGGACAAGCGGCGAGCCTACGCAGTGATTTCCATCTCGGGGGATGCTGCAAAGCTTTCAGCATGAGCCGCCGGGCCGGCGAGAGCAGCCGACGTGGGCTTGGCGACCTCTCAACATGGATAAAGCATGTAGTCGCAAGCTAACATAAGCTAACAGCCTTTCAGATTTCAGGCCCCAGAACAGGCTTGGTGAGCCATAGCACAACCAGGGAACCAGAAATGCTCGACGCTTTTCGCCCCACCTTGTTTTGCCACATTGTCGATGTTGGTTGTTGCCACGGCATTTCCACAACGTGCAACCAGAGAGGGGACATGGCTGCACCCAGCTGGGGAAATCGACTGCTTACTGCTTACTTTGATGCCTATGGCCCGCGCGGGCAGGATGCTCAAGCCGCCAAAGGATGTCAGCCAAAGAGCCATCCGTCCGTTAATGCACGCCCGGGCTTGTCGCAAACGTTTGCAGGCCCGGTGGACCTGTGCCGGGAGTTTTATGACTTCCCTGTGCCAAGGTGTCGGAAAAGTCAGGGACAGTATGCCTCTTGGGTTTCTTGCATGTGTGCTGAGATGCATGCATTTGGTCGGGAGCGCTGACAAGGGGCCTTGAGTTCACGGCTTGCGTGTGCTCCAAATCCCACCTTGGTAGATCTTGGTAGTATCATGGGTCACTGCGCCGCATGTCTCAGGGACTTGGGAATCCAAGAGCTTCAACCCAAGAAGCCTCACCCACGACGTCACTGGTGCGGCTCCCCCGGTGGTACAACAGGCTATCCCGTTTTAATGTCATGCTGCCGGAATGGTGATTGCGTATGGCAAGCCCAACATAATTACTTCAACATGATGTTCGCCTTCGGCACCCAAACGTCCGAGGCCGGAGCGCGGCAGAAGGAGATGAAGCGCATCGACGCAGAGAACCAGCGCTTGCTGAAGCGGCTGCAAGGCACGAAGCGGGTGGACAGCGCGGGGCCGAACTCAAAGGACTGCAGGCAGGCAGACATAGGCTGAAGTGCGCGTTCATGTGTTTGTGCGTGTTTTGTGGGGACGCCCCGCCCGCGTTCTACAGCTTGCTGCTGCATGGCGGAGTGCTCATTTTCGTCATGCATGTTGTGTTGGATGATGGTTCGGGCTGGCCATGTTGATGCAGTCAGCGTCAGGCTTCGCCTTGCCAAAATGCACTACTTGTAGAATCCGATAGGTCCCACGCTCTCACAAATTCCGCGGGCTGCGGACATTGCCCACTAGATTGTAGACCAGCATTGCATTGAAACAGATGCTCCGCTTCTCTCGACGGCTGTCAGGATATAGGGTACTCTCCTAGGCACGTTGCGAACATATTCTGTTGAGTACTTGCTGCGCTGTTAGAAAGCCAATTTATTTAGAACCCGCACGCACCCGCGTCCGTGCCCACGCTCGTGCGCGCACACAAACGGACACGCACACGCACACGCATACGCACACGCATACGCACACCCCCACACACACACACAGACACCCACACACACACACACACCCAAGCACACCCACACACACACACACCTACACACACACAGACGCACACACACACACAGACACGCGCACGCGCACGCGCACGCGCACGCACACGCACACGCACACGCACACGCGCACGCACCAATGCAAGCACGTACGCAATTTCACACACACACACACACACCCTGACATGTGCAACAAAATACGTGTGATATGTGTATTTTCATGCGCTGGCCCTGTCCGAATTAAGGATTTGCTTTCCAATCCAGAGACTTCCTTTCCAGGTGCAAAGGCGGCAGTGAACATGTCCAAGTTCGATCAGGAGCACAAGGTGCGAGTGTTAAGATTTGTTCAACTTTGCGAGTATGTGAGTGAGTTGCACGAGGGCTCGCATTTTGCAAGTCATTCTGGTTTGATGCCAGGCTGGCAGGTCAGCATTTGCCCCCCCCCCCATCCTCGAATCAACCTGAAAGCGCTCTGAAGGTCAGTGTCCTTGAAAGGACATGAAGTAGACAGGGTCCTTCCAAGGATGCCTTTGGGCAAGCAACACAGAACATACTTGCATCAGCTGCTTTAGAGAATCTCATCGTGAAAGTGTTTTTTTTCTTTTTTTTCTGGATGTATCCTAGGCCCAGCAGCGGTACATGAAGATGCGCTGCGAGCACCAGAAGGACTCAGTTCGACGCATCCCCATCCTTAAAAGCCTTGGATTCCGTGCAATGTTGCAAAGCTGGCCTGAAGTGCCAGAATGGACTGAAACGGATTTGGTACCATGTCTGGAGGAGTTGAACCCACCCTGTCAATCAACTGACTGCTTATCAATTTGACGACAGGGTTTAGGGGCTTGGGCTGGTGGGCCGGCCCACCAGATCCGATAGGCCTTTGGCGCAATGGTTTGTCAGTCATGTGATGAGGTAGGCTGGTTGCAGGCTGCAGCTTTGTGAGTTGCCCTGCCTAGGAGCAAGCATATTGGTTGTGTGTGATTTTGCGCTTTGGGGCCGTAGATTTCCAAGCTCTCCAAGTTTGTCCAGCCAAGGAGGGGGTGTCCCTGCAGAGTTTGCCTATTTTTGAAGGGATCACTTCCCATGGCATGTCACGAGCACACAGATGCAGGGCATGTGCCCGTATAGGGCTTCAAACCGTACCACACAATGCACCATGTGGGGTACACCCTCAGGATGCCCTCAGGAATGTTGTGCACGGAAACACATGTAGGTTGGCTTGCAAGACTTGGGGCTGTGGGGTATTTGTCGTGAACCAGTCAGCCCGCGCAGGAAGACTGGCTCCTTGCGCGCCTGACATGCATTGAACGCCTGCGTGGCAAGTCCGTGACACAGCCGTAACACCAAGACGCTTTGTCAGCCGATAGTTTGCATTCGTGTGTAGCAGGCTGGCTTCGTCGTGGCGTGCCGCCTTCCCCAAGCACCTTTGAGGTTTGCGTGCTTTGATGTGAGTCGCCAGGAGCGAGCGCAGCAGCAAGCCCTGCTGGCCGCACAGATGGCGGCCACTGGGCTGAATGTCGCAGAGAATGACGTTGCTAAATGTGACGTGTGGTCGGAGCTCATTTGTTGTTTGAAGCATTGGTTAAAGTATGGGTCGACTGTTGGATACAAATCAATGGTCCATTCCATCCAGGGTGGCGCTTCCCGGATCAGCATTGTGGGGACACGTTACTTGCTTTTTGTCTCCAGTGCCGAAGTGGCGTGCCCGGAGTAAGAAATGGATCCAGGGATGAATTGGCATGGCCCAAGGTACGGGCTGCTTCGCGCGCAGTGCCTCCTCCCGTCCGGCGGCCAAGTGGGAGGAAGTTGCTAGACGCCATGTGGCTAGCCGAGCTGCTTTGCAGTTCATGCAACTGTCCTCCTTCATGGCGAGCACTTCTGGGGGCAACCAGTTCGCCCATGAAGGCGGCTGCTCGTCAAGACCTTCAGGTGTTGGAAACGTAGAGTTTTGCAGACGCTGTGTTCCTGTGGGTTTGCTTGCTTTCGCTTTGACTTTCCCAATCGGTGCTTAGAGTTTCCAACGTGCACGGCCAAACCGCATTCCCCAATGTCCAAGTCAATTTGCTGACATCCTGCATGCTACTGCAGACTTTTGGAGGACAAGTGATGCAACTGCATATACACATCGCAACCCAATCAAATTGGCCGTGCAATGTCTCCCCTTCGAAGGTGCAAACGGCAAGCTTGAGCCCAATTATTAACCTGTCTCGCCGCCAGATATCCAAAGAGCCCCCTGGTCCTACAGACGCGGAATGCGCGACCCTCGGATGCTGGGGTTGACTTCTTTCATCATGAGGCAGAAAGCACTATGGGGATTGAGATTGGGACCCCTCTTCAAGTTCATTTTTGACTTGAATGATGATGCCCATGATGCCGCGCATTGCAAGTCTAAAGTTGCGTAAAGGGTGGTCATGGATGGGTCTACCTCGAAATGAAATACCTGAATCGCGAAATGCCAGCCATTGGAACTCGAAAGGACGGTTCCAGCGCCGTGGCACAGACAGATCCACGCCCAGATGGACATTCTCAACAGTGAGTCTCATGAACATGGTTGGCTCCTGCGAAGGGAACCTGCGAAAGGACGGCAAAAGGTTGGCGAAATAGACAAGTCCAGGCACCTTTATTTTGAACTCCCCCAAGCAATTGTGGAACTCAGTTTGCTGCATAGGGGTCAGCATCAGTTTTAGCCATGCCCATCAAGAGATTGCCTTCCCAATAGGCAAGTAAAGTGCTCTCAACTTCGGTGGAAAAGCAATCTGAGCCAGCTCCAAGGCATGAGACTACTGCGCCTGCAGGTGCTATGCGAGTTTTCGTGGCGGGGGGGGCCTTTTGGCGGGAAATCCTTGTGAGCCTTCGATAAGAAAGCGTGAGTCCAAGCGTCACTCGCTTCAACAAGGTCGGCCATCCATTAGATTCGGAGAAGCTTTTTGTTGATTGAGCATTGTGCCTCGATGCTTGTCAGGGGGAGGGTTCTCTTGCGCACTCAGGTTCCAGGGATGAAGGTGAAAAGATCCATCTTGCCAAGCCGGAGCAATGCACGGCAATGCAGTTTGCCAGGGCTCCAGGGGTGTTTCGCGCTTGCCACCGCCAAATATGCTACGCAATCATGATGCCGTGTTCTGAAGTATCGTTTTTGGCTCCTGTCCAGCGGCCAGCGAGAGAGAGAGAGAGAGAGAGAGAGAGAAGCAGAGAGAGGGCCTGCCATGGGCCGACCGCGGCAAAGTGGGAGGAGTCGGGACTGGCTTGGCAGTTGGCTCATGTTGCGCAGCAAGCATTTGGGAGATGCGCCCCAAATACGGTGACCTCACCTTGGGAATGTGTCCAACTGGGGGGCTCGTGGCTTCTTGGCAGCTCGTTTCAAATGAGATCAGCGAAAGAAGAACACAGAAAAGAAAAAGGAGACGGACATGTTTCAGGTAGGGTTTCACTTGGTGCGCGGAGCTGGGAGCCAATGCTGTTTAGGAGCCGGGGCGTCAAGGCCAAGGCCAAGCCCCAGGCCGTGCCTCGGCAAGCGAGTGGAAGTTACTACAGGTCGTGGGTCTCAAAGGATGGTTTGCTCTGACTTTTCCTGCGCTGGAGAATGTTGCAAAACGCCTTGAGCAGACCTGGCGCTGCTTGCTTCTCTTTTTCCTCTTTTTTTTTTGGGGGGGGGGGGACACTTCAGACATGCAGCTCAACGAAATCCGAGCAAATGGCCAACAGAACGACTGGGGCATTCCCTGGGCCCGTCGGCGCCCAGGCTCGAGCTCAGAGCTCCCAGCCACAGCCGCGCAAGGCCAGAAGAGGCGCTTTGGGGCCCGAGCCGCATCGATGGTATCGTGGGTGTATCCAGCACGTGCTGAAGCCTGAGACCATTGAGGCATGCTGGATCCACGCGGACTTAGTTTACTTCAGGACTGCAGTAAACACTGAGGTGCCCAATTTGAGAAATGCGGGGCTCGTATGCTTGCCATGTTTGCCCATGCCAAAGCCTGTCATCGTTGCAAGCTGGCCTTCACACCCCTCAAGATGCAGCTGCTTCGCAGCTTCTTTGTCATGTAGCTGATTTTGCAAGTGAACTTGCAATGTGGCTGCATCATTGCAAGGCACCACTGTTGTGAGCTTCCCCTTGCCGCCCCCGGTGCAACTAGAGTTAGAACTTTCTCCAAAGCCTGCAATGCCACTGAGCAAGTGGTTCCCTTGTCTTTGATGGCTGCACCTTCTTTGAGCTGCCCCTTGCTTAACATTGTTTGATATGTGACCCTCCCAAGATCCTACAGATGGGAGGCTTCCAAGAGCTTCAGGATGACTTGTGCCCGGTTCGAAATTTGAATGGGAATGGCCCAGGATGGACGGCAGGTTTTTTGCCAGTTTTGCAAACCATGGCATTTTGCAGCCTTCTGGCATGGTGGTGTCCTAGATGTCGGGAAGGCATGCTTCGTGTCTCGCCCAGGGAAGAGAAAGGCAGAGGCACCAGTCTCAGAAGTGTGGGACGATGAGGATGATGCAGCAGGGGGCCTAAGGAAAGGTGCCGATTGGCTGGTAGCTCGAGGCCATGCTCGATGCTGCTGAGGAAATGTGGGAAGAGCCGGATGTAGTCTCGGAAGAGGAGTTGGAAGAAGACTCCAGCGAGGCGCGCGTTTGTTGTGTACTCCTCCCACCTTTGCGACCGAAGCGAGTCTTGCAGATGCCTCCCATGGCCTGCCTGAAAGCAGCATCCAGGGGTAAGGTAGCCGAAATGTGCGAGGGTTTGGCCTGCCACCACGCTCTGTCAGGCTGAGGTTTGCGGCCCGTCACTTGCAGGCCTGGCGCTCTTCGAGTTTGCGTTTGGCCAATGCTGGGCAAGGACTTGCCAGGACCCTGTCCTTTTCCCAACGGCGCGTGGGAAAAGCAAAGCACATTTGAACCCGCAAGATCATGCTGGGATGAGTTCAAGTGGAGTGTTGAAAGATGAATGTACGACGTCTAAAGCCCAACTCGCAAGCGTGGGTCAGGAACGGAAAGTACAACTGAAAGCCCACGCATGTGCAATGTGCCACTTTTGGCCAGCATCGTGACAAGGTGACCCTCCTTTTGAACGACGGCAAGCTGAAACTGAAGTGTGCTCAGTACATGCAACATGCTCCAAAGATTTTGTGGCAACTAACTGCCCAGATGCGCGTTGCTGCGGCCAGGTGGCAACAGCGAGGCAGACCGGGTGTACCGGGAGCTGCTGCGGCAAGGTGCCACGCCGGCCATCGTGGGCAAGCGACGGAAGGCGTCCCTGCAAAATTAGCCAATCCAAAACTCACGGACATCTTGTGGAATGTGACTGGGTTGATAAACTCCAGCAGGCGGCGAGCCGGGGAAAACACTCTCCTCGCATCAGACACGACTATGGTTGCTCCAAGACCCGAGGCCAGCCCAAATGAGGAGGAGGTGGAGATGGAGCTGTTCACGCCCGGGGCGGCCAAGAAAGCACGGCTCATCCCGGAGGCGGGACAGAGCTGACTGAGGGAAAAGGCACCCATGCTGTCCTGAGTGCCCATGGGCCCATCTCTCTCTGCGGTTTTGGCGTTTCAGAGGGTACAGGCAGGGATGCAGGATGTTCAAACCATCATGACGATGTCTCAGCTGACGCCTCATGTTCCAGCCGTCCGATCGATGTTTGGTTTCACTACTACGTTATATGTGCTGACCTAGGTTTGTGCAATTATTTGCTCTTGGCCCTCAAGCCCTGGCATGAATTGAGCAGGTGCACGAGAGTACTATAGCCGGTCGGCCCGTGCATTCACTTACTGTGGAGGGGTGTGCTTATGACAGGGGGTTTGTGTTACCTGGGGTTGTGTGGAACGATAGGGCCCTCTAGATTCGATGTTGGTTGCTGTCCGACTTATGCTTGCCTGCGCAAAGCTCTCATTGCAGGAGCAGGGCTTCAGGCGATCCAGGTCACATGGCATGCCTGGCATGCCTGGCATGCCTAGTGGCCTCTTCAGCGCCTGGGCCAAGTCGCGTGCTGCAGCCGTGCTGGATGGTCGGTCGGTCGGTCGGTCGACGAGGGTGTCCTTTTGAGGCTGCTTTACTTTAAAAATAGATGGTTGCCCCAAAACAGGCTCGTTGTGATGTTTGCTGTTTTCTCCCAAGGCAGTTGAATAGAAGCAAGAGGAACGAGGGAGGAGCGACTTGGGCTGCTCACCACTTGGTGACTTGCATCCCCCCAGCCAATTTTGATGAGAACGTGCGAGGATTTGTTCCCGCCTTTCGGCGCTCAGATTTTCTTTTCTGACTTAACTTGAAACTTCCGAGGCCAGGTTCGCCCCACATGTCCAACTTTGTGCACAGGGTCAAGCAGTTTGATTTTTGTTTTGCCCATTGCGTCAGCTCTTACAACACTCTAGGTGGAATAGAATAGGCTGGAATGAATGTGAGCGAGGACCGAACAGTGATAGATAAAAGGATCGAATTCCATATGCTTCGTTGGCTGGTTCTGGTTGGTTGGCAGGCTGAAGGGCGTGCAGGCATGTGGCTTTCTCTTTCTTTCTCTCTTTTTCTCTTTTTCTTCCTTTCCCTTCCACCTTTATTTCGGTCTTTCTTTCTCCATTTCTCCCTTGTGTTCTTTCTGCTTTCTTCCTTGTGTCTTTCTTTGTTTCTCTGTCTCTCCCTCTCTCGCTCTCTCACTCTGTGTCTGTTCTGTTTGGGTGTTTGTGTGTATGTGCGTGTGTGTGTGTGTGTGTGTGTCTTCTTTTACTTGTGTTTGGTTGTGTGCGTGACACTGTGTATGTGTGCGTGTATTTATTGTTTTGTTTGTGTTGTGTGCTCGTGTGCTGCCATGTGCTGTGGTCGGATTGTGGGCTCGTTTGTGTGTGTGGTTGCTTGTTTGTTTGGTTGCTTGTTTGCTTGTTTGCTTGCCTGCTTGCTTGAGTAGTCCTTACTTGCCATGCTTGCCTGCGTGCTTGCTTGCTTGTTTGATTTGATTGTTTTGTTTTGTTGTTTCGTTGCTCGATTGTTTGATTGATTGGCTGATTGGTTGTTTGGGTGTTTGATTGTTTGTCGGTCGTTTGTTTGTCAGCCGGCCAGTCGGTCGGCCTGACCGTTTGTCCGTCTGTCTTTCTGTCAGTCTGTGTTTGTTTCTTGGTTTGTTTCTTCTTCTGTTTGGGGAGGGGGGGTTGGTGGTGATTTATGCCCAATGGGGCAACATGCCTCACACTGAGGCTTGATCTCGAGGCTGTTCCCGAGAATATCCGAGAATGCAAAAGTTGGCTGGTTTGGTTTGGATTGTTGTGTTTTGCATTGTTTTTGTTTGCTTGCTTGCTTGCTTGCTTGCTTGCTTGCGTATGCGTGGTTTTGGTTGTGTGTGCTCGTGTCTGTGTTTGTGTCTGTGTCTGTGTCTGTTTGTGTGTCTGTATGTCTGTGTCTGTGTTTGTGTGCGTTAGTTTGTGTTTGTGTGTGTGACTGTGTCGTTTGCGGTTGTGCAGTTGTGTGCTGACGTGCTTGTGTTTGTGCGTGCGTGTGCGTGCGTGTGTGCGTGGGTGGCTGGGTGGGTGGGTATGTGCGTGCGTGTCTGTGTGTTTGTGTGTCTGTGTGTCTGCGTGTCTGTGTGTCTGTGTGTTTGTGTGTCTGTGTGTCTGTGTCCTATTTGTTCGTGCTGGTGTAGGTGAGTGGTTTTGTTTCCTATTGGTTGGCTAATGTGACTTGCTGGTTGGTTGGCCGTTTGGTTAGTGTCATTGGGGTTGGCTGGCAGGCCGGCTGGCAGCTTGGTTGTTCTCCTGCGTGCCGCTTGCTGCCTGCCTGTCAGTGTACAGCCATGGAAGACTTAAGCAGGTTGTTGTTCGGTCATCATGCGATGTGAGGGTGGCGCGTGGTGTTACGGACGGCTATTTAAATGGCTGCAAGCCTCTGTCAGAGTCCACTCAATCAATGGCATTTCTGTTCTCACACAGGGGTGCTGGCCTGGCCGTCCTCAGTCTCATCACTTGGATGCCCAGGTTCCTTTTTCGGCTTCTGAGTCAGCTTTGTCCACTGAGCGTTTTCCTCTATGCGCCAGAGAGCCCGGGAGAAGATTTGCCATCAAGAGCCTGGACCAGGCATCAGATGCACATTCGCTACACTGTGCCTCACTGTGCGACTGTGCAGAAATGTTCACACCACGGCAGGTCAGCATGTTGTTTGACTTCCTCCGGTTGATTGATATTTGCACAGCTCCCCTCTGCAGACAACGGGGGCGTGACCTGTTGAGGTGACGTGTGCGTCAAAGCCTGTGCCATTTGGCCTGCTCTAGCTTCCGCTGCCGCGTGCAGCTTGTACACACTTTGGGCAAGGCCAACGCCAACAAATGAGTTTCTGCCAGCGTGCAGGTCGTTAAGGCATGCTCACTTCCAATGTTTTGCGGAAATCTCGAGGCTTGCTCCTCTGGATCAAATTGCTCAACGGCCGCTTCGCCGGAGCTAGCCGTGCCTGGGAAGCCCCATGAACCGTGCCATTTAGGTCTCAGAGATACTCTTTGCGCGATATGTTTTCTTCGGTATGGCAAGCAAATGAATCGAGGGGCCGGCTGGGATTTGTTTCATCCCCGCGGCTTGGGCAATCCGAGCAATGAGGTGGCATCCGCCAGCACAGACCGACATGTGACCCATGCTCGGTGGAGAAATGACCGTTGACAGCGGCTGTCAGCAAATCAATTGTCGATAGCTACTGGGAATATGGGTGGGCCACCCATTGGTTTAAACATGTTTAAACCACTGGTTATGATGATTCTTCCCTTGTAAAGGTGGTGTTTAAACCATATTTTGCCCCACCCAGGCCACTGGCTGAGTTTCTTGATCTTTCCATGCGAACAGTCCTGCCAGGATGATCTTCGCCGGCGAGCTGGTGAAGAGCTGGAAGACGAGGATGCTTTGTCACAGGCTGTGAAGAGAGGTTCTTTGAGAGCGAGGTTTCTTTTTCAGGCTTGTGTGGAACCTGGGAGGAGCTGCCTGCAAAAGAACGTCGCCATAATCCAACAAGGGATTAGACACCGGTCCAATGTGGCTGGATTGGCAGTACTGGATTGGCAGTATTCTTTAGATCGGATACAGTCAGCTAGCGATGTTTGGATCGGGGGGTGGGGGGGTGGGCTGAGCTCTTCAGATCTGCTGCGAACTGGCATGGTGTCCTCCTACTGCCCTAGCATGGGTGGCTGATGAGCAAGTCGTTTTCAAGTTAGTACTGTTTGCATCAGCCTATGCCAAGCGAATCTGAACCGCAGCCAGATGCAAGGAGGTGCTGTTTCTGTACACGTGTCCGAATGGCAACATCAAATGAACACAACGAGAGACAAAGGCCATGAAAGCCCACAGTTTGTGAGGTTACCTTCTAATTGGCCCTTTAGCCAAAAACCGCGCAATCCTTGGTGCTTCGCAGCCATCCCCTCATGTGTTTTGATTTTTAGGGCTTAGTGGGGAATTCCATTCAACCGGGGATCTAAGGACAGCCCAGAATCGGAAGCCATTCAAATGGCCAGATTTGGGTTTGGCCAAGAGCCAGGTAAGGGAACCGCCTCACCAGCAGCCATTTAGTTTCGGACGACATGCCATGATCACGATTTGGCTGATGAAAATGTGGAGTATCCCGGCCAGGATATGGAAAGGGATGTGGACTTAGCCATGGCCCGGACCCTCGAAAGTCGTAGCCCGCAAAAGGTTACAAAGGCCAATCCCTTAGACCTCCTTTGCTTTGGTGAGCCCAAACATGGGGCCGCGGTTGATATGTGTCCAGTTGAGACTTTGGTGGTAGTGCTATGTCCGGATGGGGGGCATGCTCCGGCGTTGAGGATGAGGATGTCCCGCATTCTCCGGCAGGGAGCCTGAGACCAGCCTGAGATGACAATTGCTCTTTCTTGTGGAGCTGTTGGAAAACCATTTGGGACATTGTGAAAGCAAGCAAAACAAATCAGACAAGCAGAGCCCTTGTAGAGCTGGCAGGACTTTGCCTTGAGCCATGCACTCACACAGTCTAGATGGCATTTCAAGCTGCTGTGCCCCTGCCTTGGAATATTGCGTCAGCAGTTGCAAATCCGCAAGACCTCCCAGTGCAACGAAATTCAGATGTGGGAGTCGTCCGAAAGGTCCCTGTATTAAGATTTGACGATTTCCTCCAGACCAACATGGCTAGACATTTAGCAAGGTTCCGAAATAGAAAATGGAAAAACAACTGCACACTAAAACTGGAAGCATTGGGATGGAAGCACATGAAACTATGGTGATGTTTTTGTTTTGTTTTTTTTGTTTAATGAATTCCGGAGAAGAGCAGAAACTCGAACTGTTGAGTGTGCTTGGGTGGAGTTGTAGCACTTGTATCCTGCCATGCTGTAGGTCCAGGATCAAGGACTGGCTGTTTTCCGTATCCGCAGAGCTGCGATCGAATAATTGGGGCTTTGGCAAGATTGACGTGAATCAGCTTGGCAACAAGCTACTGTCCTTGGATGTTTGACATTCCGAATTCCCCCCTCTCAGGGCAACCCTGAGCACTTTGCGATGGTTTGTCAATGAGGGGCGGCTGGTCAGCCCCGCTGTGCCGCAAATCATGAGCACTGAAGTCCCAACGTGTTTGACGTTGGGCGTTGGACGTTATATTGAACTGCTTTTGGTGGTGTCAGTTTCACTCCGAAATTGTTGTGTTGCGCAGATCATGCAACGCAGGCATTTCAGGTGCATGGGGCCTTGGACAGCTTGTTGGGCAACATGCCACTCGCTATGCTTACCTTAAGCCATCCATCTTGCAATCCATGTCCGGTTGCCACTTTGCAATGCATGGCGTGGCGCACTTTCTGCAAGATGTATCCGCGCTTTCCTGCAAGAGGCAGCCCTCAACCAGTTGCACAAGCTCGCAATTTGGACATTCCAGTGCAGGGACTTCAGTGGTCAGAAGGGTTTCCCTTTTAAGCATCAACCCAGCGGAATTGTCTTTCAACTGGCCCTGGCCATTTGTCATAATATGTCGACACGGAAATCTACGCGGCCTGGCATCTTGCAAACGCCACCAGAAACCTTCCCCCCCCTTTCTCGCCAGGACAGCCGAAGCCAAGGGCTCGGCTTATCGTCGGGGGCTCGGAGTGGCTTAGGCTCACTACCATATGTGTGTGTGCGTCACTGTGTGCATGTGTGCTGAAGGGGCGGTGCCTTCGGCCCCCTCAAAGCACACTTTCCCAGATGTTCTAAGCACTTCTCCTTGGCCAATCAGGAACATGTAACAGACGGTCACCTGTTGGAAGGCAAAGGCTGAGGCCTGGGGTACACTCACCCGCCCCTTGGTTCTAGGAATTCCCCACCTCGTATTGTTGAAGCAAATCCTTCGGGGCCTTTCAATCAGGGCCAGTACGCCGGGTGCATGCCGGAAAGCTCCCAGACCCTGGTGGACCAACTCATGGCCCGGAACCCGTGGTGCGGGTCGGTGAGCTTGTGGCGATAAGACTTCCACAATTGCACCCTCTATAATATAGATTTGTTGTATGTCTATGCATTTATGGACGCACACAAGTACGCAGAAGCATAAGATAGATGTATATATATATATATTATCCAGAAACAAGTACCACATCGGCCAAAGGGAACATGTGCGCTTGTTGCAAGCAATCGACCTGGGTGTGCCTGATGCCTGATGCGTGCAGGAAGGATGCATGGAAGAGTGCTTTGGTCGACTGAGCATTTGCGAATCTGGACGAGCCTCAAAGCAATCTCTCCGCGGAAACAAGTTCCTAATGAACCACAGGGAAATAGTTTCAGGATTCTGCTTTTGTGTTTTCTCAATGCCGGCCAAAGGTGTTTGAGAGAAGTGAATGGCAGCATATGTGCTATGCATGACTGCTGCCTTTTTGACAGCGGTGGTTGTTCTTCATCGGTTTGTTTGTCCACACCGTTCATCTCAGCAAAAACGTAACAGGTGGTAGAGGATGGCCATTTGCATTTATTCATGAGGCCATTAAAGTTTTTTTGGCAACAATGCAGGTGTCCAACTGCGCTGAGGCCCAGTACGCACAGCTTCAGCAGGAAGCCAGGTGCTCAGGAATGGCTTGCGAGACTACATTGGCCCTGCATGTCATTCTGCGGCAGTTTGGAGTCCGTGTGAGCATTCCCCGGCAGTGGGCAAACCCTTGCCCATGGTCGGTTTTCTCTGTTAACGTTTTGACCTAGCTCTAGATGTTCTTAGTGCCCACATCAGTCTGACACAGTGCCCCACTCACTGATGTGTTTACCAGATGTCGTCCGTCGTCGAGTGCATTCTTTGTGATGACACCTGCATGTGGGGCTTCATGACGGGTTCTTTTTGTAAGCCTGAATGTTTGGAGCATTTGTGGCTGTGGCCCCATATGAAAGTTTGACTATGCAATGTTTGCTTCTGCCAAGTCATGAAGCTGCCGTTTTCCTTTTGCATCCTCGACGGGAATGCCAGGATGAGGAGGACACCGAAGCCGCTGTGGCAGAAGCCAAAGCCTGCCCCCTGAGATCGTGCCTTTGCCGTGCCTTCATAACGCTATTTTTTTCAAGCAAGGACCCAGACAGCAAACCAGGACTTGTAGTAGGGTATCTTCAACCCCCACCATCCCCACCTGTGTTGACCCGCAATAGATTTAGAAGTGTCGGCAACGCTATGTTCCTTCTGTTTGTGACCTGTTTGGCAGCTGAAGCAAGGCGCTGCACAGTCACAGATTTGCGCGCTTTGTCAGGCAGCCGCCGCAGCAGCTTTCCGCAAGGCAGGGACACACTGCTGCCGCGCTGTGAATGAGTATGGGGTGCCCGATGTTGGACGCAGCCGGCTGAGAGGTTCCAATGGCGAGATCGGCCGACGCTGACACTTTGGGTGATAAAGATGTTGCTTGCCAAACGCATGCCGAGATTTGCGAGTCGGGTGCCCGATGTTGGACGCAGCCGGCTGAGAGGTTCCAATGGCGAGATCGGCCGACGCTGACACTTTGGGTGATAAAGATGTTGCTTGCCAAACGCATGCCGAGATTTGCGAGTCGCTGAATCGCTGGTTCCGTTGCTGTGCTTGCACGCTGAGATCACAGTGTGATGCGAGGCAGAAGCCCTGGACATCGCCAGCGACGCAGGGGATCCCAGTTTCTTTTTCATAGGATAGTTGGAAAGCCAGCATGGGAACCTTTTGCTCATGTGTGGGGGGGGGGGGGTTGAGTCGTCGCTTTTTTGGAGTGTCCTTTCTTTCTCCTTTCCTTCCTTACTGAGTGTATGGTCTGAGAGTTGTGCCGTTTTGGCGCCTCGCACAATTCAGAGGTCCATCTCGGACACCCACCTAATACCGACCTCGTTGTTTGGGCTGACGCATGCTGTGGCTGCACAAGTAGCCGCTATTTGGGTGAGCAGTGGCTTTCGAACTTGGCGTGTGTGCTCCACAACTGGTCAGCAGGGTGTGAGGAGTGAGGGCTCTGATCTTGAAGTGCATCCACGTTGCAGGATGCTGTGCTCAACTACGAAAAGGCTCGTGCCCTTGTTGCGACGTTCTCTGGCAATCGGGCTGCCTGTGTTTTGGATTTTTGCCGCGAGTGTGTCGCAGAACGGCCAAACTTGGAACGTTTCGAAAGACGAAGCAACAGGCTGGACGCCACAGGTCGTGGAGACAAGACGGCGGAGAGAACAAGCTGCTGGCCAAGACTGAAATAGCTGTGTGACACCCTGCTCTCCCAATAGCGGTATGACTACCACCAAAACTTTGAGGCTTTCAATTTTATTTCTGCCCGATGAGCAAAACCGCCTGGTTGCTTTGGGTTGGTGCAAGGGCATGCTTAACAAAATTTGGTGGGGAGTTGTCAACTCCCTATTTGCGCATGCTATTGGCTCTCTTTGTGCGAACGGGCTTCTGCCAAGGCCGCCCTCCTCGAATATGGAATGTCTGCATGAGTATCACCCAGAAGCAGTGGCTATGGCCAAGCCTGCGTCCAGCCTGGGGGCGGCTGCGCATCCGATGCGCTGTTGAAATTGTGAGGTACTTGTAGAAGGACATTTGAAATTTCAAGATAAGTTAGAGCATTGGATTCATTGAACTGAAACGGAAACGTCCTTCTGTGGTCCAGCAGGGCATTTGTTTGTCGAACGCTAAGGCTTATGGCAACTCAACTCTGCTGGATGTTGCTGTTGTCGCTGTCGTCGTTGTGGTTGTTGCTGTTGCTGTTGCTGTTGCTGTTGCTGTTGCTGCTGCTGCTGCTGCTGCTGCTGCTGCTGCTGCTGCTGCTGCTGCTGCTGCCGCTGCCGCTGCCGCTGCCGCTGCCGCTGCCGCTGCCGCTGCCGCTGCTGCTGCTGCTGCTGCTGCTGCTTGTGCTTTTGCTTGTTGTGGTGGTTGTGGCTGTTGTTCTTGTTGTTCTTTTTGATGTTGCTGTTGTTGCTGTTGCTGTTGCTGCTGCTGTTGCTGCTGCTGTTGCTGTTGCTGCTGTTGTTGATGTTGTTGATGTTGTTGATGTGATTGATGCTATTGATGCTGTGGTTGTCGTTGGCGTTATCATCGTCGTTGTCGTCCTTGTTGCAGCTTTGGCTAGTGTGCGCAATGGGGATGAGCGTGTTGTGGAACGCCGCATGCTTAAACGGGTCAAAGCGTAAAGAACATCTTGTTGGGGGACGGACCTGCGGTTTGCAAAGCGGTGGCGACTGGTGGCTAGTTGTGAAGAAGAGGTGTCACCCGCCCGACCCAGGGGCAGAGGCAAGTAAGGCCAGGTGCTGCGAACATGCAGGCCCTGCGTGGAGCCAGACTGAGGGGGTTTCCACCCCTCAAGCTCCGAATTTCTACGTTCAAATTCAATTAGAACCTGGGCAGCCTGGGTGCGTCTCAACGGAGGAGACCCTCCTTCCGGATGTGGAAGAAGAACGAAGCCGACTAAACCAAGATGAGGGTCTTCTCATCTTCCCGCCCCTAGGAAACACCCGTCGGGCGGGGCACCCACTGCGCGGAAAGCCCTGCCAATCCCTCCGGGATGTGATTCTCGGATGGCGCTTCGCTGCATGCCAAATATCAGCATGTCGGAATAGACTATCACAAAGTCAGAACATCAAAGGTGGAACCTTGGTTTGGATGCCTTCGGATTCTTTGGCGGTGCATTGTCCCTCATTAAATCATTACCTTGCGCGTCAGCAACGAGGTTCCTGAGATCTTGCAAGGCGGGTTCTGTTGCTTTGGCACGCCCTGGCTTGAATTGCTAAGCAGCTCCAGCTTGTTTCACAGCCGCTGGAGCAGGCAGTTGCTCACTGCACGAATGCTGAAAGCTGCGAAGCATTGGACAACATGACTATGGCGCGCAGCCGTGCTTGGAGCACCAACCCTGCTTGAACTTTATGAAGGGTGCAGACATACTCAGGGTTCCTGTCGATTTCGTGGAACCCCGCATCTGCATATTGCCATCAGCATAATTCATCCTGGGTACGTCCTAGTTCAAGTCATTTATTCAGCAGTGAATAGACTATTAATAGAGTATTCGTGCTATCGGCATGCATTCATCCCAACTGCAGAGCATTTTGGCAGCACTTGCTCGGGCATGCCGATTTTGCACTAGCAGCCCCATTGATTATCACTGATTTTGAGCTGCACCTTGTGAGCAATACGTGCTGCTGGAGGACTCTGACTGGACTAGGTAGTAGCTGCCCGGCTACTGCAAGGGATGCAGGGGTGCACTCAGGTGATGCGCATACAACTGTGGTGATTATGAACGCTGCTCGAACTCGCATGGCCAAAGTAATGCGAAGGATGTTTGTGAAGGGTCTACCGCGAAAGGAATAAGCCGCGTCACAAACGGACAGGAGTTGGAAGACGAAAGGGCATGAAAGGGGTATAAACACAAGGCAGCGGCGAAAGGCTGGCGATTGGGTGAATTCCGAATTCCCGGCGCGTTGCGTTTGGCCTATTCAAAGCTTTGGATCAATGCCGAGAAGCCCAGTGGTCTTCATCGATGAAGCGCTGCTGCCAGCAGCCAGGCATACCACCAGCCAGAGGCCTAGATGATCAGCTGCCCTTTTGGCGAATCCTTGGGAGATCAAGGTATCATTCCATCCCTTCCCCAATTGTGAGGCTGTTGCCTACATGAAATTGACATGCTTGCCACAGAGTTCCTTGTGGTTGACCTTCGCCCAGCTGCGCTTGGATTGAACAATGCCCTGCCTGCCCCCCCTTGCATGGCATGTAATCCTCTCCACAGGTCTTTTCGCGTCTAATTCGCTGTTAGGCCGCTCCTCATGTTTACTCCTGCAGGGTGCTTCGAGATCATGTTCGGGACCAATGATAGGCTGTGTGTGTCCGGCAATATGTGCCAGCGCCCTGAGGCAGCGTGAAGCCATGGCGACTGAAAGCAGTGGACGTGAAGGTACCCAAGAGCCTTGATATGTCAAGGGTTACAGGGGGAGGCATGCGTAAGATGGGTGAGCGCACAAACTGCATTTGAAGAATTCACAAAGCAGCAGCTGGCAATATTGACTCACCCTCAACAAGGTCGAACAAGGTGAAGCAAGAAAGTCTCTCAAGTATCCGCATTGCGGCCCCTGGCATTGGTCCTTCCATTTCTCTCTTCCTGTATTATGTTTCCATTTATTATCCCGAGCATGTTGCCTTGACAACCCCACAGAGGCTCAGGATTTGGGCGGGCGCCGGTACTACGCATCCGGGATGGCCTAGGGGAAGGTGGCGCAATCGGGCATCGGTGCCTGGTGATTTGTTTAGCTGTGCATTGAGTTGAATCAAGCACATGATGTGCTTGGGTGCAGTGTTCAAATTCTACATGCGCAACATAGACAAGCGTCCTTACAACACGCAAGGCACACAGCAGTGGATATTGTGTCAGGCTGAAGGTTGCACACGTCCGCGGAAAGTTTACTCCGACGAGGCAGCTTCTAATGACAGCCCAGCTCGCCTGCGATGCCCACGTCCCAGCTGAGGATGTCAGAAGCGCAAGGGCAGCGCGACTTGTCTGAGCTGGGCATGCACGCGGGGAACGGCTTTTGTTACCGTCAGAGTGATCATGTTGCAATCATGTTTTGTGCAGCACCTCCAGTTCACAGCTGGATTGCTTGGCAAAAAGTGTCGCTGAGACAACAGCTGGCAAGTCAAATGGGGTGTAAAGACAACTGTTGCTTCACTATTGGTCATTGCAAATTGATCGGCCAATCAACCACACGAGAGCAGCCAGAGCAGCAACTTGACATGTTAGTTGACCACGTCTTTTTTTTTCTTTTTTCTTTTTTTTAATCCTGCGTATGCCAGCAGCATCAGGCGCCTTTTTCACTTCAACACGTGGATCTATGGCCAGGAACGGCCAGACCTTGGCTGTGGGTTGGGGTTGGGCGAATGTTTGCAGTCGCTGACCGTGTGTGTGTGTGTGTGTTGATTTCCTGCCGGGGGGTATTGTAAGCCATGGTTGCTTGGCTGCGTGGTTGAAGCTGATTGATTATGTTAAGTCTAGTCAGACAAATCAGAGCCTTTTTGGGAGATCCATTTGCCACATTTGCTTTTGCCAGGCAATGTTTAGATTTTTCATGATGACGTTTGCTGGTGTCAAGCCAAAAGTTTTCGGCATTCCTGCTTTTAGCTTAGCCTAGGGTTTAGGGTTTGCCTAGAGCCCAGAATTGGTGCGGGCCATGATAGACATTGGATGCAGCTCTTTTGGGTTGCGATGCAAATTTGTGCAATACACTGGCGATGCAGCGTGTCCAGGAGCTTGAACCCGGCGGCACTGGGAGTTTGAGTTACTAAGTTGGCTATCGTTGCTGCTACGTTCTGGGTCACCTTTGGTTGTTCAGGAGAGCTTTGCAGCTTGCACAGCGCTTTTGGTATCGCTCGCCAGGACTTTTACAGTGGCATCGCAGCTGGGGGTGAAGTGGACCTATTTGGATGCATCACAGCCAGAGCTGCATGGTTTAACAGCGCGGGGAGTGGGATCAGCGGTTGCCCAATGATACGTCGGGAAGGAGCACAATTCATACAATAAAACAAGATGTGCACACTCATTCGTCCGAAACTTGGAAGCCGAGGGCTTGCGATGATCAAACGTTCAAAGTACTTGGCTCAGCATGTTGGCAAGTACTTGCTCGGATGTGGCTGTGATGGACTTTACTCATAGCGCTAATGAGCATCCATGTGAATGGGGCATGGCCTCGGATGGCACAAGCGCGATCAAGCGCGGATGGTTCCTGAAAACAAAATGCGACGGTTGTGTCATCAGTTGTTGGTGTTTGCTTCGGTTGGATTCAACACTGAGTAGCACGAAGAGTACATGTAAGTCATTAGCGCCTCTCCTGGTCTTAGCGTTCCTGCCCATGGCTGAAGATTCGACGCCAAACAGTTTTTGCAAACAGGCCTCCTCAGTCCAATTTGCATGTGTGCCATTTGTGCGCAAGTGCCAGAAGGCAACCGGTGATACGCCTTGTGTTCATGTTTGTCCAGCTTGCGTATGATATGGGCGCAGGCTTTTTATGGTAACAGCATTGTGGAGTGGTTATCCCCGCACAGGTGCGACCACGTGTGCACTACCCGCAACTGCTGGTGCCATGGCGTGATCAAGGACGCCTACTTGCAGGCCTGTAATCGAGCCAAGATGGCTGCTGAAACAGTGCGGATTCAGCGGATCCAATGGTCATTCATTGATACCCTTTCCGAAACCGATGTTGCGACTTTCCAGGCGTCTTGGCAATCGGTACGCAGTTCTGATCAAGGCAGCACGTCGGCCCCAGTGATTTGGACGTTTCTTTGCCTGGAAGTTGTGTCTACCAACATGCCCATTGATAGGACACGGACCCGCAGCCGGCACTTCCAGCGATTGAGCCTGCAGCTCTTTGCGACCAGTCGGCCGATGCCGACACGGCGGACGACCCGACGCCGGAGGCGGCCGAGGCCGAGGCCGAGGTGGAAGAGCTGCAAGAGCTGCCGCTGCCGAAGGCCTGTCGTGCGGGGCATGTCGTGCTCTTTCGCTCGGCGCATGGCGAAAGAGGAAAAAGAAGATCTGCCTGGGCTAGTGCCTATAAAAGCCTTGCGAGGTAGGTCTTACTACACGGGTCCCGTCAATGGAAAGAAAGACCTACAACAGCAGAAAAGGCTGAACACCGCTGAGAAGGAAAACCATTTGTTCTCGGGCAAGAGCACTTTGCTGTGTTGCTGTTTCACCACAGTTGGCCCAGGTTTGATGCTACTAGTGTTTAATTTAATCAAATGGCATGAAGTGTAATGAATTGTTCATGCATAGGCGAATCGCCGCAAGAAGAAGATCGACGCTTGACTGAACTTAAGCTGGACGAATGGTGCAGTGGCGCGTGGGTTGAAGAATCCTTCAGCCTGCGCTGTGGAGAGCTGGCAGTCGAGGGCGTGTCACCCTCCACCATCTGAGGCTACCATGCCAGCAAGGGTGGGGCCAAAGGAAGAGCCGCCTGGCGCAATCCTACTGATATGGATGTGGCAGGAGAGGCGGAGGTCTGTGAACTGCACATGCCTTCAGTGTGACAAGTAAATCAACGAAGGGCGGACAACTCTTGGGACTTCGGTAATTTGTTTCGTGCGCCACCGGTCAAGTTAACGCTGAGGATGGCCAGCGCCCGGCTGGAGGGCATCGGCCAGATTGCGCGGGTGCGCCGGCGACGTGCGTTGCGGGTACGGTTTGGCTTGGGGACTGGGCACGGCGCTGGCTGCTTCACTCACAAGTGATTCTTCAAACCGTGGGAGGCCAGCGTCAGTGCCACCTATCTTCAGTTTGAGTTGCTCGTGACTTGAATGCAGTGCTGCATTTGCCGAGGGTCGAGTAATGTCCGAAGCTCGACTGCCAAAGCTACAAGTACCAGAGCGCCCCGGACAGCATTGCCGGTCAAGGGTATGGCACTAATAGGTCTCGAAATAGTGAGGGTTGATGTTTGCTGCGTTGGGAGCATGGCTTTAGTGGCTCCTAGCCAGCATGCAAAGAACGGCGCATTCCGGTATAAACCGGAGGCGCAGCCAAGGAAGTGTTCCATGTAAGCATGCTTGCCACAGATCCAATCAATCATGCTGGGTCGCTCGATCTGTGTGCAACGTCTCCGCCGTTTCAGGCCTGGGACATGACTTGTTGAAATGTGCAACGGCTTTGGCTGGATAAGTTGAGAGGATTGCCTCTTGACTTCTGGCAGCATGCTCGCAGGCGTGACTTTCGGGTTTGTTATATCGTCAGCTTTCCAGCAGAGAAACCGCCACAGCCCGTGTGTTGTAATGCAGGCACGACCGTTACTGACTGCTTGCGAACAGTACCGGGTTCCGCAAGAGGATCTTGTTAGTGTATTCTTAAGTCGCTTGGATGGTGCATGCCATGAGTGTTTTCTTTTGAATCTATTGCTTGCTTTGAGGCGATTGTGCCATTGTCTCGCCACAATTGGCGTCATTCTAGTGTGTTTGTGTGCTGCCAACTTGGAGTGTGGTGGGCCATGCTGGGAAGGACCTTTCTATCATGTTGACCCTTCCGCCTCCTTCGCAGCATTGTTCCAGCAAAAGTGCAGCACAAGTGAGGTCGTCACAGGGTGGTGATAATTAAAGACATGGCATGTTTTGCAACGGGTCGCAGCTCCCCCAAGGCGCTACCTGCCACCAGCACCGTGTTTGAGTTTTGCGTTCTACCATGCGCTACCTGAGGCCACTTCAGTCGGGCTCAGTGCTTACTGCAGCCGGGGTGCCAGATCTACCGGCGCCTGGGCTTGAAGTAGCTTTTGCGCCAGGAGCAGCGCAAAAGCCGAGCATTTTGTTGTGCAGTGGGATGGGTCAATGAGCAGCAAACTGGCGCACTGACCACCAAGGTTGTGATGCGCAAAAAGAAGAAGATTGCAGCTTTGAAGCATCCAGCTTGGCCGGGCCGAAGTTGAGAAAGTGAAGTGCCCAGCATTGGTGCATCCAGGGCAAGTCGCAGGTATGAAAGCACAATTGCCCGGGTTTCTACAAGCTTGCCGTCCGCCCTAGGGAGCCTTCCCTGTTTTCCTCTGAGCATCAATCAAGGTATCCATGCCCGAACTGCGGCGATTTCTTGACGCTTGCCAGCACCAAGTCTGAAGTCGTGGCTGTCACCCTGTCAGCAGCTGTGGGGTTTGAGCAGTGTGTGTGTGTGTGTGATCGATGGATGAGACTTTACAGCTTGCTATTCCACCCATGTGCTGCCACTTTCTCGCATTGTCGCTTGTGCATGGGCTATGTGTACAACGGGCAAACCCCCCTGCACGTGGGGCTGACCTAAGCGTAGACAACATTTTCCTGCAAAGCATCGCCCACGGACACGTGTCGAATTGCTTTGGATGTTGCACAGGTCCAGGAGCACAGCTCGTAAAGCCTTGTGCCAGAAGCCATGTGCAGGGACAAGCAAGCACACAACTCAAGCGTCATTCTGCCTCAGCTGCAACCACGAAAGCAACAACACTATGTTCAAGCCGCGGCTGAAGCCATGCCAGCTTTCCCAAAAGCCAGTATTTCACGAAAGCACCTCTGAGAAGCACAAGCAGTTGAGCCAATGAGTGACCCCGCGAAGGGAACCTGTTCACGCCTGTTGGAGTGCAATGCGACACAAGCGCCGCGCCAGGTCCAGGGCTAGTCTTCCTTGGTAGTGAGGTGTCACCATGCCAACCTCGATGCCATTTCCACATTGCCCGCAGTTTCGAGGGATCCTGTGGGAGGAGCCAGGGTCGACTTTGCGTAAGCTGATCCCTGCATGTTCACTTTGGTCCAGCAGCGTGGTCGATGCGTTCCGATTTGCAGAAGCAACTCAATGCCTCGAAAAAGTGATTTGACCCGTTGATGCATAGACATTTGATTTCTCCATGTAATTATCAGACGTCAATGATCAGAAAGCAAGCAGGCACATCCAACTTGGGCAAGTTGGCCTGGCTCGAATCTCCTAGTTGGGAGCCCGACCGGGCTCCAGGCAGGTTCATTAGAAACGGTGCCTTGGCGTCCTCTCCTGGCCAACCTGCAAGATGTTTGGGGCGCCTTCTTTGGCCAAGCCAAGTGCGCGGGCCTGAACTTTGGGGCGGGTGCCTGCCCCACAGTATAAAACGGCGTTCCGACGCCGGCCTGCTGTGTCCAGTTAGAGGCCGGCCAAGGAGCACAAGTCCATATGAGCCCAAAACGTATTCCATTGCTTGGTCTTTAGAGGTGTTGCTTCCTGCCCGTGTTTCCCGTGGAATGAAAACAGTAGTTGTCGCGGGCATGCTCTCGAATCTGTTAAGGCTTTCACATGAGGAAGTTGGGCGATACTTGGCCAACGATGCCGGCAGCTGGCTTGGGCTGCCGGCTTTGCAGACCGCAAGTTGCGTAGCTGTCTACTTGGAGATGCTCCTTGGGCCAACTTTGTTTCAAAGGCAAATGGGAGAAGGCGCAAGAATGTGCCCGAGGAGCTGTCCATTGGCAGCAAGCCATGGCAACCTCGTTGCAGACCCGCCACCTTGCTGGAGCTGCAAATGTGCGCATATGTGCTTAGCAAGCAGGCGACAGTTAATGAACATGCCTTGCCCAGCGCTCCAAGTACCAACTTAGATTCGGACGTGCGAACATGGGGCTGTGTGCTAACTGGTTTCCAGCCCGTGTTGGACTGTATTTGGCAGCGGCTCAAGCCGCCTCCCGCCCAGGTCATGAAGCTAAGACTTGAGCAGCCCAATTTAAACAGGGTTACAGTTCAAACTGCAGCGCTTGTGCTCCAGAAGCTTGATGAACCAATAACTACACCAGCTCCTTCCTCACTGCACCACCAAAGCAAAAGTCCAACAGCTAAAGATCTGAGCTGAGCAGCAGAAAGTCTCCAAGTTCCGAGCCCCAGCCCCTTCCAAAGCTCCTGACATGTGAGACATGGCTTCACACACAAGTGAACCCCCATCGATAAAGCTCCGGGAGTTTTTGGGTTTGGCGCCGGCATCGGCACTCGCTGTCCGAAGATGGTGGAGTTCCCGGAAGCTCTGCGGCACATCCCAGCTGCAGAGGCCATGCGGGACCTGCAGCTTCAGGCTGGCGGTCGGTTGGCACAGGGCATGCATGTGCATGTTGAATGACGCTGGCCGCGACCCAAAGTGCTTATAGAATTCCAATCCTGTTTGTTTTTTAGGCGCATCAAGCAACCACTGTGTTTTTCCTTCGCCCAAACAATGGTCATATGCCGCTGTCCACGTTGGCATGTGCCCAAATGCTTCCGATCCTGGCATGCGATGGTACTGTTCTGGCGTCCTGTGATAAATCCACCATCCAGGAGGCCCTCCGTTCTTTCTGACGTGGGTCAAGCAAGATCACACAAGGCCACCTTCCCAAATACACCTAGCAGGGTCAGTGTGCAGCATGGTACTTGTACTGCGTCAAGGCTCGGAGAGGCTTTGTCTTTGGTTTGACCTACCATCATCCTCAGCCGTTTGGTTTGCACCACGCTGGCTCGAGCGACTCGAGCGTCAGGGCCAGGTGCCGGACACCCACCGCTTCCTGCGGCTGGTGGCGAAGCTGGGCTGTGGCCTGGCGGCGCCGCTGCAGAAGGACCTCCGCCAGGCCGCGGAGAAGATCTTCGCGGCGGCAGGCGGACTTCGGGGAGCGAAGCGGCGAAGCGGGGCGGAAGCGGGGCAGGCGGCAAGCGTCGGGTTCCCAAGGGGCAGAGGTTGGGACACTTTGGCACATGTGACCCAACTCCATCAGCTGCATTTGGTCGAAGTGCATGACTTGAGTTGCTAGTCACGCAGGCTGGCCCCTTTTGCATGACGCCGACACGTTTTTATCCCTCCTGAAGCCCTGAAAAGGCCCTGGGGTTGCAAGGGTCTGGGGCTGCAGGATGGATGGAGCGCATGGCGGTGTGGGCGCAGTCTGAGCAGGGCTTCACGCTGAACGTGACTCGCGTCTACTGCTCCGCGGTGTGCATCTTCCACCGCCGCGGCTTGCCGGAGTTGGCCCTCCAGGCGGTCGAGGCGCTGCGCGCCAGGAACGCGGAGGTGCCGCCATTCGGCTGTCAATGGCATGGAGCCAAGTGCCTCATGGCAGAGAGCTCCTTTCCAATGTCATGGCCAATGTCATTGGCCGGCTCTTAGCCACCAAACTGGTAGGAGGATGGCACATCATGCTGCATGCAAGAAACGTGTTTGGGTGTGCGTGTGTGGGCGTGCGTGTCGACATGATTTGAGATTGGTGAGGTGGTTGACTTAGGGAGGTTTCCTTCGGGCGGAGCTTGCTAGTAGTAATCTAATCCAAGCTGAATCAATCTGACACAAATCTGGAACATCCTGGAAGTGCTAGGCACGAGCTGTTCTTGGGCACCTGGCAGCTTAGGATTTGTACTTTGTCTTTGGCGATTGATGCCTGCTTACAGGCAGGCTGGTCTGACAAAGCATGCGAGCTCTTCAAAGAAGCCAAGATGCTGGTCTCGCAGAAGCTGGCAGCAGCCCAGCAAAATGAAGCTGTAGAGGAGGCGGACGTTGAGGATTCTGACTCTGATGCAGAAAAGCCGGGCAAGGATGGCGACCCCTGCCCAGAGCCAGAAGAGTCTTCACTGCGTACTGATGGAATGCCACCTTGGCTGAGCCCAAGGGAGGGTCATTTGGTGGCACTCATTGCCTGCCATGCGCCTTGGCATCCAGCTGCCCCGTGAACAGTTGTGTGAATTCACAAGCTTCATCCTTGGTTTCCTTCCTTACGACTCAGCCTGCAAAGAAACGGTAGGTCCTTCCAGGGCCAAGTTGCTTGCGTTGCTCGTTCGACTCTGGACCTTCAAATTGCCCAAAGCAGAGCAACGTTGCGGCGCTAGTGAAAACCATCACCCCTTGTGCGACTCCGTGTCGAAGCCTTGTTTGGGAAGTGAGGGCTGACCTGTTTCAGGTGGCAATCCTGAACCACCTGGCCCTGCATCCGGGGTACTGGACTGGGGAAGCCCCGGCCGAGCCGAAGCCCGGCGCCTTCAGCGCGGTCAGCCTAGTCCGGGACGGCCTGGAAGTCGTGCAGTGCCGCGGCCAAAAGGGTCAATCAACACTCCTGGCGCAGGTGGGCCCTGGTACCAAGCATTGGCCAGTCCCTTCAAGGAAAACCCTTGATTTCCTGGAACGGTCCAAACAGGGCGGACATCACTAGATGCGCTGGAAACTTTGCGGCTTCCTGAAAAGGAACCGTCTCCTTGACATCGTTTTATGAGTCCCTGGAGCAGAGAGATGCCAAAGGCATTGCAGGTCATTGGCCAAGCTCTCAACACGTTTCTGGCTATCAGGAGACGCGGAAGCCAAAGACAATCACGTCCACGAATGCAAACATCAGAAACAGGGTTGGTTTGTTTGTTCCACCCTTCCTCCGTCCTTTATGGCACCCTCTTAGAGCCCCCAATGCCAGACAGCAACTGCAAGGTACTTTCCATGTTTGTTTCCTAGCAGCTTTGATCTTTCGAATGACTGAACATTCAGCTAGTAGTCTGACACAGTCCCTCACCATGTCACTGACTCATTGACCAAAGAGTATGGCCCAGCATGGTTCAGTCTACCCACGTATTCCCTCCGTCTTAGTTTGGCATTGGCTCACAAACTTACGCGCACGCGGCCGCCTGCGTACGGAACCAAGGTCTGCTTGCAGCCTGGCGGAGAAGCCCTGCCCTGGTGCATCAGCGCTGCTGGGGCAGATCGACGGTCTAGGCCGGCACCGTTGGTGATGTCACAGAAAGAAGGAAGGGGCATTGCCTTGGATTCCCTGTAAATTCTCATTCTTTGAACCCGAGGAACAAGGACTTACTTGCGAATTAAACAATTGCCACACTGCGTGCGGGGTTGTTTACAACGCCGCAGTTTTGCTTGCTTTCGGGGGGCTGCAGCCGGTCCCTGCCAGTGTTGCGCCCACCCTAAATCAACCAGAGATAGCAGACCCGGCTCCTACCCCAATCCCGTCAAAAGACAGCACATGACAAACCGCAAACCTCTTCAACACACAAGACCAAGGCAACGCTGAATACCATGTTAAATTGAATCATATCAAGTATAGAATGCTGTCATACACCGACCTAAGAACATTAAGTATAGCCAAAACCCAGCAGTGGCATGGTGTACCAAGACGTGACACCAAACTCAGACCAAATACACAACACACTAAACACCACCTAACACAGAGAGCAACTATGGTTGCACCCATGCTGCGCATCCTGTGTGGCAACAGTAAACCAATACTGCAGTGCGACGACCAATGACCAAACTAGTCAACAAATACTCGACATGCATAGAACTGAGGCATTGCGGTCTTTTGGGCAGTGTCTCCTAAGCAAATGCCCGTAGTGCCTGGCTGCCTTTGGTAGAACCTTAGCCTAGCCCTTTTGGATCTTCTGGAACGAATTGCAAATTCCATTAGACTCGCAAAGGTCAGAACTGTTTTGCTTGGAAGACCCACTCAGAATCCAAGTGGTGGATTTGGACCTCGCAGGCCGTCGGCGGCAGAAGGCTCTGCGTTTGCTCCTGGCGCCCTGTGCCCGGCTGACGCAGCTGCCGGAGGCGGAGCCAGAGCTGGCGGAGCTGGTGACAGGGGCCGGGCTGGAGGCGGGATGCCGGGAGATCCGGAGGGATGTATTGCTGTTGCCAGGATCAAAAAGAGGTGCCCCAACAAGAACGGTCGATGTTTGCTCCTCTTTGGCAATGCTGAATGCTTTTATGGTCGGAGTGACCTGGTTGGAAGCATCTTGCGCGTGGAGTGGATCAGATCTTGGAGGAAGCTAGAAAAGTGTTCAAGAGGCTGCAGCTGGTACAGGCAGAAAGCCCCATGAGAGAGTCAGGCAATCCTACCAATCCCTTCTCCTGCAGCAGCCGCAACTGTTGGAAGGATGTTGCAAGAAGCACATTTGAACCGCGGGCTTTTTGCTTCGTGAAGCACGCGGCCCAAGCGCAGGCGGCGAGCCTTGCGACAGCCGGTCTCATGGAGACAGCGGCAGTGCAGCGCGTGGAGGAGAGAGTTTGCTTCCCTTGGCCGTGGGGACTGGCTGAGTACCACCCAGGATGCTCCGTTTCTGCATTGGTTATTCTTCAGTGGGACTCAGGCTCTTCAACAAGCTTCCCCTTCCACCCGGTGATTTTGTTGCGGGGCTTTTGGGAATCCATGAGTGGTTGTGGCGGGAGGAATTGAACGCACGGGGCTTGCAGCGGGTTGAGCTTATGCAGCGGCCTTCGCTGGCTTGACCCCAAAGCCGGAAAACATGCCAAACACTTGAGGGCAATGACATGCCGACTGTTCTTGATATGAGACGCAATGGTTTGCGAAGTTTCTAAGGCTCCACCGGCATGGGTAGCTAGGTTGAAGAGTCAGGTAAGGCATTGGCCTGCCGCTGACTTTGAATGAGCTTCTGTGTTAGTGCCTGTTTTTCGCATCCCTCATCTGGGACGAGCAAGACCTGCTCAACAATGCTGGAGAGAGACAGAGAGAGAGAGAGAGAGAGAGAGAGAGAGAGAGAGAGAGAGAGAGAGAGAGAGAGAGAGAGAGAGAAAGAGAGAGAGAGAGAGAGAGAGAGAGAGAGAGAGAGAAAAAGAGAGAGAGAGAGAGAATGACATGCCGGTCCCGGAATTTAGGATGCATGGCCGTAGTATTTTCGGCTTATAGCTCGTGCTGTTTGGATGGCAAGGCTGCTCTGTGAGCGCTGCAACCGCTCGAGCTTGGAGTCTCCTAGTCAGGGAGGCCGGCTCTGTGGGTTGTGCAGAGCAGCCTTTTTTCTGAGTGGGGTCAGCAGTGACCCCCAAGTACGCGGTCAGGAGCGCGGTCGGCGAGGTCGCGCTCATCCTTGGGCCTCTCCCGACGGTGGGGGAGGGGGTCCCGACAACTCCTGTGAGCGGAGTTGCGCCCAGCCCTGCGGAGGGCATCGCGAGGCCTTCGGAAGAGGGGCCAGCTGGGGCTTCAGAGAAGCCAAAGAGGAAGGAGAAGAAGGACAAGAAGGTTGAGAAGGAGGCCAAGCTGAGGAACTCAAGCGCCGTCCCCTGTCTGAGGACGATCTTTCTTGGACTTTTGAGAGGAGTCCTGCGGGCGCGAACACGCTCCTGGCCGTTCAGGAGGAGTCCTACGACTACTCAAGCGTGTCGCCAGATCCGGAGGCGCGGGAGAGTACTTGGCGCACCCCGCACTGCTTATAGGCTTGAGAGCATCCGCAAGGTACTTTTCCCAGGCCTCTCCGGCAGAGGCCCCTTTTGCTGAGGCCTGTGGAAGGATTAACTCCTGGTCGGACTTGGAGTTGGAAAGAGATCCGAGAGTGAGAAAAGGCAAGAGGAATTTGCAGGAAAAAGAAATAAGGGGCGCCGGCGCAAAGAGTGCCAGGAGGAGCGCCGGTGGAGAGCCCGGCAGGATTCTACTGCAGAGGCAGAGGGCCTTCCGGTGGAGGAGCCTGTGCTGCATGCCCGCGAAGAGCGCGAGGAGACCGGCAGTGAGGGCCGGGAGTAGGCCTGCGGTTCTGAAAAGGCCATCAGCCAAGGCAGCAGGCTTGGAATTTTGAAGAGGCCCTCTTGTCGCTTTTTCTTCAGGGCATGGCTGCCCATAGCAGAGGCCGAGACTCTCCTAGCTTTGGGAGAGAAGGTATGGATCAAGGGTCATTACCTCATGCGCGAAGCAGAGGTGGTGGTACAAGAGAGAACGACTCCGGATGGTGGCTGAAGGTATTCATCTGCGGCGCCGGTCTCCGGGAGTGGGGTTAAGCTTGATCCTCTCCAGGACCATCGGCTCTTCTTCAACATCTCCAGCACTCTCAGCTTCCCTTTCTGCCTCTGCCTTCCTTTCCTCTTCCTCTTTCGTCCTCCTCGAGTAGGGCGCCGTGTCACTTGCTCCTGGGCCGTGGCTCCAAAACCCATCTCCTGGGGGACACCTTCTGGCTTACTGGGCTCTGTTGAACACCGACTTCCAGAACAGCTCCTCGTCGAACTCCTTCACCTGCTCGGCGAAAAACAGCTCCTCGTCTCTCTGATGCCGCTCTCCGGGCGCGACCGAAAGACCGTTGACTCCGACGAGGAGATGTTGTTCCCCGAAGAGAATCAGGCCAAGTGCGGGCTGCTGGCAAAGATGGGGGTCCATCGAACTTGGCAGACCCTGAAAAAATGGGTTTTGCTACTTTAGGCCTGGATCCAGTCCCGACGTTCATCCAGTACTACAGGCAGACCATCACCGGGCGCAGAGGGTGAAGTTCCTGGAGTCGATCATGCGTAGCAATCGGGCAGACGCGGCGTCCAAGATGGAGCTGATCCCCGAGGTGTTGAACAGTGTCGCCACCGACAAAGAGCTCCGGACAGCAGCCGGACAGCATTGGCAGGGAGGCGGAGGAACACCAAACTTCCTGGCAGTGGAGAGGGGCGATCAGCCGCCGCGGAACTACCCTCCGAGAGGGAGGGGAGGAGGCGCAAAAGGAGGCAAGCAGAAGGCAAAGGAGAAATCAGGAAAACCCGCCCCTCAGTCGGAAGTGTTGAAGCCAAAGCCCGCGGACACATGAGAAGAGACCCGGAGGTGATTTCCTCTTCGCCTGAGAGGAAGCCAGTGTACAGCTGTGACAGGAGCTTCTGCCGCAGGGCGGTTGCAGGAGTGGTGGCAACAAATCGAGTTCACTGCGAGCAAGGCGGCCTTGGAGGGGAAAAAATGACCTTTTTCTTCTGCCCGTGCGGGGTGGGGTGCCTGGCAAAATGCCGGGTGCAGTTTTTCACGGAGACTTGGTTCGACGGGGTAGTAATTGGCCTCAACTGGATGGCTGGCTACCTCCCAAGCCCCGAAGGCAAATCGCCCGGACAGGAGGCAACTCTGCTGCAGCAAAAGGTTTTGCAGCATCAGGAGGTGCATGTTCCTCAAAATTTGGGGTGCAGCACACTCCCTGCCAGCCCAAGGGATTGCAGGAGTTGTTGACGTGTGTTCAGGTGGAGTCAAAGACTTCCTGAGTTTCCCCCATAAGAACTTGAAGCCAGAAGTGGCTAAAACCTCTTAAACTCAGGGTGGGGGAGGATGACTGGGAAACGGTGGCAAGGGGTCTACTAGACCGAGAAATTTGCATTCCCACTAAAAAGTGACACATGGAGCTGAGGTACTCCGTCTAATCATCGACTTGCGTCCAGCCTTTTTGAACCGCTCCAAGCTAACCGGCCAATTTTATCACACCCGTACAGGTGTGGGAGGAGAAAAGATCCTCATTTCCAGATATCAAGGCCATGTTCTACATTGTTGGCTGTGGAGCCTCTGTTTCGGGAAGGAATTGTGCTGCAGATGTGGGTAGGGAGGTGGAGATTCGACGAGACAAATCACTGCCCCAGAGCAATTTCTTCTTTGGGGTGTACCTGGATAACTCTCGGGTAAGCCTCCTCGGACTGCAGAATGGGCCGCTGCTAGCCCCATAAGTTTTAGGCCAGTGGGGATCACTAGCCCCCCGCCTCCGACGCGTCGGACGCTGCGACTACCGAATCAAAAGGGAGCCGGAAATCTGTCACCGCCAGACAGCAAGCCCACAACTCAACCTTGACGATGGGGATGGTCTGCCATGTTGAAGTGCACCCCTTGAAGGAGATGATGAACTGCCAGATCCGAGTCAAACATGACATGAGAGGGCGTCTGTAACTGAGTAACTGAAAAGGTAAACCAGGCTATCTGCCACGATCTGCATTCTTTTCAGGTTGGTACGCTTGGATTGGAGGAGGAACAATCCTCCCTCCTGGCAGTCTTATCATCCTTTGCCCTGATGTTCCCTTGCGCCCATCAAAAATTGCTCCTTGCATCTCGGCCTCGGGCTTGACTTTCTGCAGAGACCGTCCGCCAGTGGGGTTTGCGTTTTTCGAGGGTCGCTTTGGTGATCGTGGGAGGGGGTCCTCAAAGGTGTGCTTCCTCATGGAGAGTGTTTTCATCAATGGCTGCAGAGGACCGGTCAATCTATACACAGTCTATTGGTGTACTTCCATATTTGGTGGATGCCCGACATTGTTCCTTGTCTCGAAGACCTCGCTTGTCATGGTTTGACTGGATAATACCACAGGAGGAGGGGACTACTAGAACTCTCCCGTGGGGTTGTGAAAGTGAGGCCTATGGGGAAATCCGCTTTGAGGTCAACGTCCAGGCGGAAACGTGGTTGGAACCAGGCTGGCGTCTTGCTGGAGGGCCGGAACGCCGGCTTACTACTTTTATAACTTCACAACCGAGCGACGAAACCAGCAGGGATTGATTCCTGCTCTGCATGTGAACTAGAGGCCTGGTCCGAAGACCAACACCGTTTCCCACCTTATCAATACAAGCATGAGAATGGAGTTTGCCACCCTTCCAAGGGTTGGAGACTCTTCTGCGTGGGGGGCGAGAGGTGATTTTGGGCTTTCCTCTTGATTACACTTTCCCCTGTATGTCAAAGCAGGAAAGAAAGCAGAAGAAGGCGGATCTGGAGAACAAGCGTTTGACAATGCTAGGCAACACCTGATCAGTGCCAGTGGCAGCCCTTCTGCTCAGAAGAATGAGCTCATTTCACCCCTCTCAGCACAGGAGGTTTCAAACCAGTGTAGGCCAGGAAATGGTTCCGGCTACGGGACGGCCGCCGATCTCCAGAACGAGGAGATCTTGGTGAAGAAGTTGTCATCCCTTGTGTCGGCCAAGGGTACGTACGGATGTTTTGCTCACTGCCCCGTCCTCCAGCATTCCGAAATTTGAGAGGCTTCGAACCTTGCTAGGTTGTGGGGTTGGAAAACTGTATGTGGTTGGCGGTGGAAGCATGGCCAGGGCAAGGCTGAGCATATCAACAGGCTGGAGCTGCGGGCCCTATTCACAGCCATCAAATGAAGGATTCAAAAGCAGCAACGCTTGCAATCCCGGTTTTTGCACCTGACTGACAGTATGGTCTCACTGATGGTAACCAATAAAGGTAGATCTTCGTCCCGCAAGCTCCACTTGGTCCTTCAAAGAATGTGTGCCTATCTCCTCGCTTCCGGCAATGTTTGCCTGCTGGACTACGTGAATACTGACGAAAATCCCGCGAACCCCCGCGTGCGCGGAAGTTGGGGGGTCGTGGAAAGGTCCATGGTTGATGGTGTTCTGGTCAGGTCTTTTCTGGTGGTTTTTGTTTTGTGCTGGTTTTGTTGTGTTTGAATGTCACCATGGACCCCATGATCGCGAAGTGGCCTGGACCCAGAAAGGGAATGGCTACGTCTCAGACGAGACTGTCTTTTTTGTTTTTTGTACCAACTTTCTTGCTTGCGGTGCCATGCCGGCCCCGGAATTTAGGATGCATGGCCGTAATATTTTCGGCTTATAGCTCGTGCTGTTTGGCCCACCCACCCTCACCTGTTTCGCGAGGAAGGGTCCATGGTTGATGGTGTTCTGGTCGGGTCTTTTCTGGTGGTTTTTGTTTTGTGCTGGTTTTGTTGTGTTTGAACGTCACCATGGATCCCATGATCTCCGTTGTTTTGTACCAACTTTCTTGCTTGCGGTGAAAATAGAATGCCTTGCATCTAAATTATTTATAGGCTTGGCGACTGCGTGAGGGTGTCTCGATAAACAATCAGTCGGCAAGTTTCGTCTTCCCTCCGCGGGCTTCCGGCAGGACTTTGGGGACGAGATCTCGGAGCAGGACGCTCTCGATGTGCGGAGCAACGTGCTGAGTTTGCTGCGCCGCTTGGAGCGGCCGCTCTGCCGGGAGGACCTGGACGAGCAGATTCGCGCCATGGGACGGCGGAAGATCAAGCGCCCCTCGGTTGCTTTCCGGGGTTGGGACTTGGGGAAGTATGGGAGGCACATGGAGGCCAACTTGCGGGCCATGGGAAGCCACGTTTCGACGATGTGGATAGAGACCTGCTAGGCACGCACACAGATATGTGCACATGTGTATGAATATGTATATGTTAACATATATATATATATGCTCCAGGTTCTGCGCCCCCCCCCCCCACCAATAATTTGCGGGTGGTTGGGCGAGGCTAGGTTTGGAGGTCAGGACCGGGGATGCGCCAGGAGGATGTTGAGGGGCCGGGCGCTGGGCCCGCAAGGGGGCCTAGCGAATCTTGGACTGGGAACGTATGTGCTTTACATAGCATTTGCATATGGAAATACATATCTTTGTCTGTTAACAAGAAACATACTCTGACATGATATGGAGCCATGTTCTTGTACGCAAGTGGTCGTTGGTGAAAACATTTGCACAAAGATCTACTGACCCCCTAGCCCTGGCAGGGTGGCCTACCTTTGAAATACAAGGCATTCAATTGCTAGCTGTTGAAGGAGTCGTACCGATTGGAACTAGCAGTGACGGCTAGAAGGGCTGTAAGCACCTTGTTGAGTCTACTAGCAACTATTCTGGAAATGGCAATCAAAACAGCAACGGCACGGATATCTGTCCACTGTCAACTTCTGATACGCCGGAAGGGCATGCACCCCACACCTTATTTGTGGCCAGCACCGGAGGGCCATCACTCCCTGCCTTTGGCAACTGTCAAATATTCATCCAATCCAGCTTCATGGCTCTCACAACAACTCCAAGCACCTTTCCAAACCATCAACCCCTTCACAACCTTCGTGGCAAATTGCGCGTGAATCATGGCCAATATGCCGGCCAATATGCCGTGGGCGGTTCCCCTGCACCCAATGTGGGCCAATCATAATTTGATTTTCTGTCACTATGAGGGAAGCTAGTTTCGGAAGATACGGGAGCCGGAACCGAGGGCCGGGCATGATACTGCAGACCTTCCGGGTCATGGCCCAGTTGGCCGCCAGAGGGCAATCGGCGCTGGAACCTGGGGTGGCAAAGGCAGGGGATCTCTCCCTTTCGCTTGGTTCAGATTCACAGGCTTTGGAATGGGTTTTGTTGTGTTTTGTTTTTGTTGGGCTCTTTGTTAACCCATTCGATCTCGACCTGAGGGCGTTCGCAGCGTTGATGCCATGCCATACAGAAAACCGAAAAGATGGCCAACTAAGGGAGCCCCGGATTGTTGCTGCGAATCCCTGGCGGCTGTCCAAAGAGTTGCAGGGCCCCACCTTATCTTGGAATGGCGACCCCTTGACTTCCGCATCATATATCCTTTTTGACTTGAGGGGCTGCATGCCGGCCATATAGTCCATGCGTATATATATATATGAATTTATATATATATATATATAACTGTATATCTGTCCCCCTGAAGGCCATGAGGCACATGGCGCCGGACCAGGACAGCTGCGCGGCCACCGTGGAGGCGCTTTTTGCATGTGCCCTGGCGTGCACCGAAGCCATTCCCACGCCAACGCAGGCAAACACACACTCGACCGAAGCCTTTCTGGGGCCATTGTTGTAAGTATGTATCAGTTTGAAAGTGAGGAACCAAGGGACATGGTTTGAACACATTACAAACATGGAACGTATCTGCTATTACAGAGCTTTGCTCCAGGCGGAGATGAAGATACGGTGTATTCTTGTTTGACGAGGTCTCCGTGCGCATTGAAGAGAATGCAATTCGTACTGGCGTGGCAAGACATGCTGGCAATTACGGAGTTGATTGTTTTCCGTTGCACTTGTTTGTCATTGAAGCGGATGCAATCTGCATGTGTGTTGTGTTCTTTCAGGTGGCATGCGCTTTTAAACAGTTTGCACTTGCGCGATCGTCGGAGGTGACTAGTTTCTATGGTTGTCCAGGCAACAGCACGTGTAGCTTGTCCAACATGAAAGCGAAGCAGGACGAACCGAGCATGAAGCCTCGAATCTTGCAGTTTTCTTGGGGTAATTAGGTGACAAGGCCCAAGAAGTTGCTTCTGGCGGGTCAGCTACCAGCTGTCAGCGCAGAATTTCGGGGGAGACGTTCGCCACAGTGCGCCTCGAGGTGGCTCGGTGGATGCGGCGGAGGAGATCTACCGCCGATGCCGCGCTGCGCTGTTGCCGAACCCAGCACTCTACAGCGCGACTGGGTGCTAAGGTCCTTACATGCACAAAACCATACGCGTACAAATATGTTTACATATTATAGCAGCAGAACTGCACAACATGAATGCTATGATTTCGAGGGAAAATCCAAGGTGACGGATATTTGCCGTCATACCTCAAGTCCATTTCCCAGGCGATGATCTTCGGCCGCCTGGCGTGCGGCGACGGGGATGGCGCCACGGAGGCCATGCTGGACATGGCCGCGGCGGGCTTCACGCCCCACCAGCGCTTCCTCTCCAGGCGGGGATGCGCAAAGTGCTGGGTCCGGACGGATTTGGGCCCGGAAATGGTGGTGGTCCTTATCGCTTCTTCGAAACCGAAGAGAAAAGGGTATCCTGAAAAGACAGACGCGACGTTTTGCTTTGAACCAACCTTATGCAAGCCAAGTGCCCATTGCTCGTAATTGTGCGTTTCTTTGTGGAATTCTGCACAAAGCATGTGCATTTGCTCCAATTTGGCAGCAGCTTGTTTCAGGCATATAGCTGAATAATCGGTTGGGCTTCAGCACTTTGAGAGGGCGACATGACACCATCTACCAGCCTGGCCATGCATTTCTTTGCGGCTGATTTGTTTCATGCAGTTCGAGCCGCAACTGGTAGTGGGTTCAATGGGTTTGTTTGCCATTCCTCAAGCTTGGGTTCGCGTGAGCACTTCTGCAGTTGGATTTGTGTGGCACCTACCTTTTGCTCTTCATTGACTGCAGGGGATGTGAGGTGCCTTTCTCCCAATGGACGCCTCCAAGAATCTGGGTTTGGACAACTATTGTTCGAACGGCCTTCCAGAAGGGGCTGCGCCGAGCGCCTATCTTGGATGGCGCCGGTTCAACTCAAACCAACCGCGAGATGACCGCACTCTCAAAGTATACACGGTGACTGCATTGGGTGCGTTGTTGAAGTTCTTGCTGTTTGTTTTTGTTTTTTCTTGAGGTAAACCTCTCCTTTAGCCGCACGAGGAGTCTTCGGTTCATGGGCCCCTTCCACAACCAGGGCCTGTTGCTGGTGGAGCGTCTGGGTTTGCCGCACCTGCAGCAAAAGCTGCTTCATGTGCTGATGGAGGCAGGGGTGACGGAAGTGAGCCCCCCCCTTCCAGGATCCCTCAGGCATGCCTTGGTGGTTTGTTTTGTGTTGGATGCATTCCCGTGTTTCTGGGCTTTTGTCCTTGTGGTTGTCCGGAATCGCCTTGTTTTCCCGTGCCACGTTCCCCCTTACTGTCGTGGCAATCCCTTGATGGAGGCCTGCAACAACTCGCCCAACCCGGCCGAAAGCGCCCTGGAAGTATACCGCTTTATGGCAAAGGAGTGGCTTGGGCTGAACTCGAGTGACTCGATGATGATGGACAGTTTGCACGAGGGCATGTTTTGTCACTGATGAGGCAAACCTCAGTTCAAAGCCGACCTTTTGACCTTTTGGTTTTCCCATTTTGGTCCATATTTAGTCATGACCCCAAAAGGTTAACCTTTTAGTTTCAGGTCCTTTGGGCAACTGAGAAACAGGGCGTCAAGAACGACCTCGTCTTAATCATACAAAGTCAGGGAATTAGGTCGCATCATTTGGTGCAGACCCTTTCCTCGATGCAATCAATTAACCAGATGGACCTTGAATGACATTTCAAGAGCACGGACTTGAGGCTCATCGCAGCCTCGGCCATGTTCGATTTGTAGCGCGAAGTCCCAAGTTCATGGCCCCAGTTTAAACACCTGTTCTTGCTGAGGAGTTTGGAGTGAAGCCCTTTTGATTTGTTCTGTGTGGCCTGCTTCACTGCTTTCGAGGTGCCGTGCTCTAAATAATGGTCCTGCCACGCGGGCTGGATATGGGGGAGAGCTCACCAAGCACGTCCGCAGCCAAAGCCTCTCATTGGCAAACCGGGGCGCTCCGTGCTGAGGTGGGTGCCCACTCCAGACACCCACTTCGCCATGCTCAAGGCATAGATCGCAGAAAGAGCCTGGAACTTGTTTGGAAACGCTTGATTCTCAGCCAAAAGCAAGCCCACTGAGCATGCAGCATCATGCCTGGTCGGACCGTTAGGGACCTCGCCCACTCTGACTTGTCTCAGTTCTCCTCCCATGGCCAATCCTGGGCGAAGGGTAAAATGGGTTGGAATGGTGTTCTTGAAGCCTTTCCTTTCATCCTTGCCATCCGAGCTCAACGCGCGAATGGGAACGTGCATCTGACGGTTTGACGCTGGAGCCGTAGGCGCTGTGCGGCACGGAAGTGGATCTGGCCATCTGTGAGCTCCGGTCCTTCCAGGCCCAGGAGGCGCTAGAAGCCGGGAATCGAGTCTCTCGTTAAAAAAATCCACTCGGTTGAGCACCCAGTTGGAAGGAAGCAGACCATGTAGGGTATAACAGCTGAAGTGCAAGGACTGCAGGGATGCATGGGGTTTGGGCAGTGCGAAGGTCAGGCACCCTGAATAAGCCATAGGCAGACTGCGGATGTTGAATATCCAATGGAGGGGTATTTATTTTTGGAATTTTTTTCGTTTTTTTTTTGGATTTTTTTTCGCTTTTGGCTTCTTCGCTTTTGGCTTCTTGGCTTCTTGGCTTCTTGGCTTCTTGGCTTCTTGGCTTCTTGGCTTCTCGGCTTCTTGGCTTCTCGGCTTCTCGGCTTCTTGGCTTCTTGGCTTCTCGGCTTCTCGGCTTCTGGGCTTCTTGGCTTTTTGGCTTCTTGGCTTCTTGGCTTCTTGGCTTCTTGGCTTCTTGGCTTTTCGGCTTCTTGGCTTCTCGGCTTCTGGGCTTCTAGGCTTTTCGGCTTTTTGCTGGTTTGTGCGGCTTTTGGTGGCTTTTTGGCTTTTCGCATCCTCTGCATTCCCAGTTCCTCTTCGGCAGGTGGCTTTTTTCCGACATCATGGGGGGGGCTGCCGCCCCCCCCAACCCCCCCGCTACGTTTTAGATTTTCTGCAGAGATTTAATTAGTTGCACCCCTACTTGAATCATCAATTCTTCGAACATCATGGGGGGGTTGCACCCCTAGTTGAATCATCAATTCTTCGACCATCATGGGGGGGCGGCCTTAACCCCCCCGCTACTTTTTAGACTTTTTGCAGAGATTTAATTGCACCCCTATTCAAATCATCGCTTCTGCAAGCAACATCGTGGGGGGGGCTGCCGCCCCCCCCCCAACCCCCCCGCTACTTTTTATATATTTTTTACAGGGATTGACATGGCCTCCTACTTGAATCATCATTTCTTTGACCCCGTCACACGATTTGTTGGTGATGCTAGGGATGTTGGTGGGACATGCGGGGTATATTTCGCGAGAACATGCTGTAAAATACGACACTTTACTGGCCCGGCAGAGATTGAATTGCACCCCTGTTTGAATCATCACTTTTTCGAGCGTCCAATTTCGCGAGAAAATGCTGCAAAATACGACTTTTTAGGTAATCTGTGTAGTCCGTGTATGTTTGTATGTATGCATTTCTTCGAACATCATAGGGGAAGCCACCCCCGCCAACCCTCCCGCTGCCTTGTAAATTCTATCACACCCTTTCTTGAATCATTGCACCCCTGCTTGAATCACCACTTCTTCCGACATCATGGGGGGGGCTGCCGCCCCCCCCAACCCCCCCGCTACGTTTAGATTTTCTACAGAGATGCACCCCTAGTTGAATCATCAATTCTTCGAACATCATGGGGGGGGGCTGCCGCCCCTCCCAACCCCCCCGCTACTTTTTAGACTTTTTGCAGAGATTTCATCATCGTGGGGGGGGCTGCCGCCCCCCCCAACCCCCCCGCTACTTTTTATGTATTTTTTACAGGGATTGACATGGCCTCCTACTTGAATCATCATTTCTTTGACCCCGTCACACGATTTGTTGGTGATGCTAGGGATGTTGGTGGGACATGCGGGTATATTTCGCGAGAACATGCTGTAAAATACGACACTTTACTGGCCCGGCAGAGATTGAATTGCACCCCTGTTTGAATCATCACTTTTTCGAGCGTCCAATTTCGCGAGAAAATGCTGCAAAATACGACATTTTAGGTAATCTGTGTAGTCCGTGTATGTCTGTATGTATGCATTTCTTCGAACATCATAGGGGAAGCCACCCCCGCCAACCCTCCCGCTGCCTGTTAAATTCTATCACACCCTTTCTTGAATCATTGCACCCCTACTTGAATCACCACTTCTTCCGACATCATGGGGGGGCTGCCGCCCCCCCCCAACCCCCCCGCTACGTTTTAGATTTTCTACAGAGATTTAATTAATTGCACCCCTAGTTGAATCATCAATTCTTCGAACATCATGGGGGGGGCTGCCGCCCCCCCCAACCCCCCCGCTACTTTTTAGACTTTTTGCAGAGATTTAATTGCACCCCTGTTCGAATCATCACTACCCCGCTCTGTTTTTCTTAATTGTTTTTTGGTATTTTTTTTTGCTGGGATTGAAATGCCCTCCTGTTTGAAGCGTTATTGTTTTGACCCCGTCAACCCGCCAGCTACATTTTTGGATTTTGTTACCCACGATTTGTTGGTGATGCTAGGGATGTTGGTCGGACATGCGGGGGATGTTGAAAACGATGCTGGGGATGTTGACGAGCTAGTGTAAAATGCGTCAATTTCGCGAGAAAATGCTGTAAAATACGACATTTTGCTGGCCCGGACGAAAAACGAAAAAAATTCCCAAAAAAAAACGAAAAAAATTCCCAAAATAAATCCGCACCCATATCCAATTCCTGAAACCACTGCACTTTGATGGTCGAAGCTGTTCGATGAGTGCCTGTGTATTTCTCGGTGGGATGATGCAAAGTCGCGACAAGTAAGCAGCTCCAATGTGCACAGAAGGCAGACCGCCGCAGACCTGGTCCGTTCAGCCCGAAGTTCTTCCTTGTCAGCGGGCAGATTTGGTAAGTTCAATCTCCTCAGAGTATGAAAGTGAGTGGCTCAAGGTTCCCATCCAACTGATACTAGAATCTGTTGTGGCAGGTGTTTTCACTATCCGGCCTTTTTATTTGAGTAAGCATGGTTTGTTTTGTGACCTGGTAGTTCCATCAAAGGAGAGTTTGCAGGGAATATGTTTGGTATTATATCCTCATAGCTCACAGCAAGCCGACAGCTTCCTAACCATCTTGGGCCAGTGGGTCACAGCCAGGTACTTCCACCCCATCCCGGGTTCGAGCTGCTGCTCAGGGAGTGCTTCGGGTTGGCCGCTGGGACTTGGTTTCAGAAGGCGAGGGGTCGCACCTTCGCGCAGTGCCCGCTGCCGAGAATGCAACGCACTGCAACGCAGCTGCCAGTTCGCCTTTGTCACATTACAAGCCTTGTCTCAACGACAGTAGTGACATGACGGGACTTCCACTTTAAAACCCCTGCTTACTTTGTTACAATCTCCATTGAGGCTTCACTGGAATTTGCACCAACACATCCGGCAGGCCCAGGGAAATTCACTCCCCAAGAGGTGCCCGACCCAAAAAACCACTCCGAGCACGGAAAAACATCCGAGGCCAACCGCCGGCACCGGGCGTGCCTGGTGATGGAGGCGCGCAGGGCCTGGGTGGAGGAGGTGTCGGCCATGGCGCCGTGCGAGCTGCGGCACCTGGTGACCATGGGCCAAGAGCTGCAGAAGCGGATGGAGGCGAAGGGATCAGGTTTCTCGCGCGAATCGCTAGTTAAAGAAACGGACGACCTCCCCAATTTTTGTCTAGCGATTCAAGTTTTATTTGATTATTTCCTTATTCACCAATCATTTTAGTTATTATGGAAGTTTTTTGGAATGGATTATAGTAATAGAACTGGTTTTATTTTATTAATATATCTTCTTATTCAGTTCATTAGTTATTATGAAGATTATGTCGTTCTAAGTTTTGATCCAGCTGTCTATACCTACCTCTTAAGGATCTAGGACTCCATTTTGCACACCCCAGCTTGGCGCTGGTAAGTACGGGGGCCATGTACTCAAGGGGTTAGCATCCAGAGTTACAATCCACTTGCCCTGGTTGCAAGTCCCACAAGCTGAAACAACCCAGGGGGCTGATCACATATTTAGTACCTTGCTTGAGGAGTAGAATTTAGGGACCCTGTTCTCAGGGTTTCTGACAGCAAAAGCTAGCGTGAAGCAGCGCATTGTAGAAGCAGATAGCTTTGGTCTTGTTGGCGTTCTTCTTGCAGTGCGTGATGGCAGGGCATGCTCATTCTGATCCTTGGTTCCCATTGAAGATGAACTAGCTACAAAAGATCTTTGTTTGGACCTTCTTGGCCTCATCCCCGCACGAAGCCAGGTCTGCGTTGCGTTTCGCTACGTGCAATCGCAGTGAAGACGCACCGGCCAGGCAATAGTGCCAGAGACAAAGGAGCACTACTGGGATGCGGAGCAGGTGTGGGAGGCTGATCCGGAAGCCGACCCTTGGTGACAGCACACGCTCGGGAGTGTTTAGCCCGTGCTCGCAGGATGTAATGTCAGTTTAACACGAGGCGGGTAAATCATGGTAAATATTCAAGGGTTTGAGACAAGCATTTGGATTGAGACACAGGAAGGTGGTCAGAGTTGGGCCTTAGAATTATATGGCCCCGTTCTCTTCAGAATCGGTTTAGTGTTTGGTATGCCTTTTGCACTGCAGAGATTTAAGTTGCTTTCTCTATTTCCCACCCTTGAACATGCATTCGGTTTCCGCAGCTTCCCTGTTCCACCCCTTTGGCTCCAGGGCTTGGGATGATGTTTTTCCCCACCCCCGCACGAGCAGCCAGATTTTGCTTCACCCGAGAAACCCTGATCTGTATTTCTTACCCTGTTTCATCGTTCGGTTAGGGAATTATGTGGGAAACACTTTTTTTGTATTGCCGACCGTTGACCTGCCAGCAAGTCACGGGTCAAGCCCTCTGAAGCTGCCCGCTGCTCAAGGACCAGTATGCCGAAGAAGGGCAAGCGGACCGGCCCAGAAAGCTCCTTGGTGAACACTTTGCCGAACCGGAATTGATAGAAGCGCGGGGCTCCACAGGGATCCATTGTGAATCAAGAGCCTCTTGCGTCGAGCCGGTTGGAACACCCATGTTCGCATCACCAGCACGAACCTGAGGGAAGCTGCAATCAATTGATTTGCCCAAAGCCGCTCAAGAAGCCGGCTTGAGCAAATTTGGCATTCGTCAAGTTTTTGTCAGGTTTGTTGGGGAGATGTATATACCTTGAAAATGCCCACCACTCCCATGCAAGAGGTGCTCGGTTCCAGATGATTTTCCCAGGAGGTATCGGTGCAGCGGGTTTTGCTGGTTGATATGCGCGCATCCTTTCTTTTGCGAACGTCCCCCGTGTGAGTGGCAACCATCTTTGTTGCGGTGAACGCGAACCATCAGTGCAAATGTTGCCAACCCGGCATTCGACTTTTGTAAGGTGCTCCGAAGATGGCGATCCAGCGATGCTGGATGACAGCTGCTTCGGCCCCAACTGCTGCTACAGGTGGGTGTTGGAGACGTACTGCGTCGCCCAGCAGCAGGTTCAGTAACCTGATTGTTTTTGTTGTGTTTTTTGGCTGCAGCCGGTGACACTTTCTCGACTTTCAAGAATAGACGGTTCAGCGGAACCAGCCAAATGGCAGAAGCAAGCTAGCTCATAACTGCGGGCTGCGTTTGACAAGCTGGCCCATGACATCCCATGACTGTGAGTTGCAGTTGAGTGGCATTCTTGCTCACGGTGTCCTGATCATTCCTGAGCGCTCCAAGCGTGGGATGTAAAATTTCCGGACCTTGACGGTTCCACAATCTCCACCCTGCATGAAGGCTGCCCTGCCTTTGCACTTAGCCGCTGTCAATGCCGTGCAGTACGTGGTGTGGCGATACAGCCTGGTGCGCTCTGGGGTTCAGAAGGCGCTGCTTCAGCAGGAGTTGGACCAGGCACTCACCGGTGACCACGCCAGGATTGCGCCTCGGCCTCGCACAAGTCGAAAAAGGTTCCTTCTTTCGAGAAAGGAACCCCGGGCAGCTGCTTGCCCTCGGGCACCTGTTGGATTGCTGCTGCATGTGCAGCTGTTGCTCTGACAAGAAACTTGCCCGCTTGGCTTGCCATCAATTCTCCTACCCTTGCTTCCAGTCATGTCGAGTTCATGGAGGTTGCAAGTCTCATTAGTATGACAATTGGCAATCTAAATTGGCTTCCACTACCTCCAAACGAGTGGGCATACAAGGTGTGAAGCCAGACGTCGAGCTTGAAGCAAGGTGCTCAGCAAGTCATTCAGGCAAGCTTGTTCCCCTCAGGATCTTGCGCTCAATGCATGTGTTTGCAGATCTCTGTACGTCAATCCTTCCTGTAGCACCAACTACATCTCAAATTGCTACTCGCAGCTGCTGCTTTGGCAGTCAGGCCTCAAGGGCGGTGGAAAGAGGGGAGCCACTATATAGAGTATGCAAAAGCTATGTGTGCAAGTTTTCCTCAGGGTAGTGAGTGGGGAAGCAACTGGTTGAGCTTTGTGTTGCCCACTTAGAGAGCCCCGCGCTTAGGGCAGTCAGCTGCACTCGGAGCTGCTGCAGGACTGCATTTGTCAGGTCGAAGGCGCTGGGTGGTGTGGCTGGCATTAGGAGGAGTGCATGTGCGGGGTAAAGAGGCTGTTATTTTTTCGGAGGAGGTCCTAAGCCGGTACTACCACGCTTGTTTTGTGAGCTGTGTAGGTGCAGAATCCTGCAAGCATGCAGTGATTTCAGCCCGCAAAGAAGCGCCAACTTTCTCTTGGACTGTTTGGAAAGCCTGCAGCATAGGTTGCTCAGGCCAACCCACAGCCCTTAGCGGTTCGACACTTGGGTTGCTAGGCACGGGAAAGCAGCTACTAATACAACATGTCTTGTGCCTCACATTTTCAGAAAGCGGCACCGTTTATGCAGGAGCTTCAGATGTGGTTGTTGAGATCCCTCATGTTGCAGTAGTTGTTCCACATGTTTGCTGGCATTTGAGGATGTAGGCTGCGGCATTGAGACATTTAATACGCATCCATTCGCTTGAAGAGGTTTGGCCCTCTATTGCTGAAAAAACAGGAGGCCACAAGCTCATGTTAACCGAATTGAACTTGCTTGGCATGAGCCAGACTCATTTGCAGCAGCTTTACTAGTTGCATGCGAACAAAGGACCATATGCTAAACAAGTTCAACTTGCATATCAAAGGGCAATTCCCAAGGCTTGCAAGAAGTGGAAGAGTAAGTGCTGACTGCTGGACGTCAGGTTTCTGCTGCGCGCTCGCCTCGTTGCCTCGCCAGCTTGCATGCTCAAGAAGGAGTATGTTCACGTGAATCCAACCTGCAAACTTGCGAACAAACTGAAGAGCGGCAGCCTCTCCTCTTTTTGTTGTTTTGCGTTCCTCATGCCGCGGGTTTGTTGTCACTGCTTTAGCCACAGGTCACAAATCACACTGTTCCAGAGAACGCGGAGTTCATGGGGCGATGGGATGTGGTGCTTCCATTCTTGGCGCCGGGCAGAGGTGCTCTGCCGTCGCGAGGCAGCCAGCGAGAGAGAGTGGAAGGCTCGCCCCGCCGCTCAGCTGGAACTTGCCCAATCGGGAGTGTCCTGAACTAGCTATTGCAGTGCTTTTTGAACATAAAATGGTATCCACTACCAATATCCCTGAGCCGGGCACCAGGGGCATGGTTCCGCCAGGATCAGTTTCACCGCAGTCCTCGGCATCTTCCGCCGCAGATGACCGGCTTCCAAACGTGGAGGACATCTACGACCTTTTAACATCAGACTTGGTGCAGCTGGAGGAAAAGCTCGCAGCCAAAGGCAGCGAGTCTCTGACTCTCAAAGAGGAGAAGTTGCACGGGCTGATCAAAGTCGAGTTGGGTGAGAGGCGAGGGGTGGAGGAAATCGGCTTGGCCTTGATTGGCGGGCGCTTTGATTTAGGGTCCATTGGCTTGGCCAAAGAGGCGAGCCCATGTGTGGGCTCCCCTTTGGCGCCATCAGCGTCAGCCCCTTCCGCCTCGCCCAGCGCTTCGGCTTCTGCCTCGCCGGTAGTGAGGCAAGTGCCGAAGGCCGCGCAGGTGTGGACCTTGCCAGATGCATCACCAATGTCCTCAAGGTCGAGCCTGAGGACGGGCACTAATAATTTTTGGGCCTTTCAGTCGCAATAATTGGAAACCCTTGAAATGTGACTTGGGGCATGCCAACAAGCCAACATCAAGTCTCCTGCTTTGTGAGAGTTGAGAACTGGCAGTACGGCCTAAAATGACCCGCCTCAGGACCCCTTCGCCACGCTTGCACCCGTTGGAGCGAAGTTTGAGCACTGGCACGGCGCAGCCAAAGATGCTGCCGAAGGCGTTCAAGCCTACCCCCGTTGACTTTGATTTTGTGAGCCTTGGGTACTTGAGTTGTTGGTCATGTGAGTCATGTGGGTGGCTGTTAGGATCATGAACCAGCTCTCTTCCACGGGGGCTGCATAGAGATGGATGGAGCTATGAGCTAAGGATCGGCAACAGCTCGGTAAAAAAGGGCACACGGCGACCAAAGAAGGAGCCGAAGCCGAAGGACACCAACAAAGGCTCGAGGGAGGAGAGGGAGGAGCCGGACAGGCGAAATGCTCGGCCAGAGAAGCGTGCATCTTCCAGGCCCAAAAAGCCCAAGGAGCCCAAGGAGCCCAGGGAGCCCAGGGAGCCCAGGGGGCCCAAGGCCGAAGCCAAGCCAAAGCCGAAGAGATCCAAGGCAGGGCAAGCGGGATATCCAAGCCAGGCCGTGCCTGCGCCAAGCGCAGAAGAGAGCGTGGAGCTCCGTGAGGACCTGCCTGATGAGCGCAGCATGAGCCCCAAGCTCGAAGGCGCGGTTCCCGGCATCCTGCAGGAGAGAGGCACTTCGGAAGGCTTTGAAGATGCCGAGCAAGAAGGCCTTGAAGGCATTGACCATGTTGACCACGAGCCCGATGGCCTTGAGCCAGGCAAAGATCCTGAGCAAAATGATCTCAAGGAGGGTTTGGAACCAGACGTCCACGAAATTGAGTATTCCTTTGAGGTGTCGGAAGGCGAGCATCGCTCACGGCAAGTCTCCCGAAGCGAGGTCATAGATTCGATAGATGTCGTCGCGGAACATGCAGAAGCTGGACCAGACGACAGCGAGGCATTGGGCGAATCCATCGACGCTGCATCCGAGCATGAGCTGCCTGAGCACAGACCAGAGTCAGACGACAGTGCGGCTGAAGATGAACCATTGTCGGGCAAGGCTTCAGACGTGCCGGCATCGAGAGCATCAACACCTGCACTTTCATCCCGCCCGCAATCATCACAAGTCGAACGGCGGGAGAGTGAGGACGCATCGGGCAAAGATGGGGCGGCAGTCCACACTGAGACGTTCGCACCCTCAGCTCTCGCGGAAGATGGGCGGCCCTGCACCCCGGAAGGTGCCAAGCTCATGCCACCTGGCGACATGGATGGCGTAAAGCTGAAGGTGTCTAACATTGGACCTATCGCATCTTCACCGCCCACACGTGTACTGAGAGAGCCCACCGAGGAATCACCCAAGGAAGTTGCAAAAGCCAAGGCAAAGCCGCGCAAGCCACCCTTGCCGCATGATGCCCTCCGGGCCGCACCTGCCAAGAGTTGCATCGCAAGGGGCAATGAGTTGGACTTTGTGGGCCTGGACCCAAGCTTGGTGGAGCGTGGTGGGGTCCGGTCTTATCAGGAGCACTTTGGCTCCTTCGTAGATATTTTTACCTGGAGCCAGTCAGAGGCTTCCCAGAAGGAGCGGTACCTCAGGGAGGCCTTGCAGCTCTTCACTCAGTTTTGCAACGTCATCGGCTCTTTGGAGACGCAGTTTGCAAGTAAACTGCCTGCCGAGCACGCCACCCCCAACGCCACCAACCAGGTGTTGAATGCCATGGCATCTCGGGGTGCTGGGCTCTACGGCGTGTTCTTGAAGGGCATCATTGAGACTCTGCGCTGTTCTTGGCGCATTGTGTTTGGGTTGCCGCATTGAACCCGGGCTGTTGCTGTCCCAGAGGCAGACAGGCATAGAGTTGCAGCGCTATGGCAACGCGATGAAGTTGATTTGCTGAGTTGACAGTGGGGCTGCGAAAGGGGTCGTGAAGCAGTTGCATCCCCACAGCTGCCCTCGATTTGTCCAAGCGTAGTTGAAGTTAGCCTATAAAGTAAGCGTGTGCCGCTTCAGTCCAAGGACAAGATGGACGCCGCCCCAGTGCGACGACCCCTTCCAGTCGATGATGTTTACACGCTGCGGTACTACAAGGTGGTGCAGAATCGGACCGAGGCGAAGCTAGGGGGCTCATGTTTTGCATCGGACCCTAGCCCCACGCCCCAAGCGCAACGGAAGCGGCAATGAGGGTCAAGCTGGTATGCCTCACAGTTTGGCATTTGCCCGTCCCTTCAAACGCGCCCGCAACAATATGTATATACATATATATATATATATATATATATTTTTATGCATTGTGGGAAGCACACACTCAGGAAACGACCTGGGTTGAAACAAACAGAGTTTCATCTATATATAGTCTTAAATGCAGAACATAATATATTACTTTGTGGAAGTATGTACAGTACAAAATGAGAGCTGTTTTTTTCCTGAAAGGCTGCCCAAAAGCTTCGTTTGTGGCAGGTCTACGACATCGTTACACGTGTCTTCCACCGCAAAGAGGGCTGGGAGGAGCTGCCACATGGCCTGGGCCTGTCCAACGCCTGGAACCTTTGCTGGACTTGGAGCAAGCCCAAGTTGGACTACTCCCGGCTCTGCGTTTGGCAAAAGGTAAACCACTTCCCGGAGAATAAGCACCTCACCCGTAAGGAGCCGGAGCTTGTTGTGGCAAGTGGGGTGTGGAACCTAAAGGGTCTGGGCCACAAGCGTTTCCTGGCATGCAGCCTTGAGGCGTGCCACTAGTCTGTCTAGACATTTTCAGGTATGCTCAGTTTGTTGGCGCGGTCCCGTCATGCCATGGGATCCTCGAACTAAAACATGCTGTAAACGATTAGGGCTTGCTTTCGCAATTTGCTGTAGCTGTGGCTTGCCGGCCGGCATGCCCACCAGGACTGCTTAAAGAGGTGCATCGACAGGTACACGCGCACGGGCGGCAAGCTGGCACAATTCTTCAACATTTGTCCCAAGACCTTTGTTTTGCCGAAGGAGTATTGTGCCTTCATCGAGAGCTTTACCAAGATTGCAGAGGAGAATGGCGATCTTGAAGGCAGCACTTGCCCTCCAAGCAAGGTGAAGGTCCCCAATATGTGGATCATGAAGCCTGCGGGAAGTAGTCGCGGAAGAGGCATTGAGGTTATTGACGACATTGGCGCTGTACACTATGGCGAGCTGACCATCATCCAACAGTGCTTTGGCTGGACATGTGGTTGCAATACTCTGGCGATAAGAATTGCGTAATCGCCGATTTGGGTCTCTATCACTGCGAACCTCTTTAGCGGTTTGTGTGTGTGTGACAAACATGAAGCTAGGTGCCCTCCAAAATGGAGCGAAGCGCTGCAAATGCCGAGGTACATTAGCGACCCCTTCTTGCTGGGCGGGTTGAAGTGGGATATGCGCACATACGTGACCGTCACGTCCTTCAACCCGCTTGAGGCATTTGTATACAAAGATGGCTTTGCTCGCTTCACCACTGTTCCATACAACACGAGCTCAGAGGACATTGACAACAAGTTTGTACATCTGACCAACTCTTCCATACAACGGCACAATGAGGACAACTTTATGCAAGAAGAGGGTGCCAATGCAACACGTAGGGAGGACGCCCTGCTCGGTGGGACAAAGATCTCCTTCGGCATGCTCCAGGAAAGGTTGAAAGCTTGCGGCGTTGAGTGGGCCACAGTTTGGGCGAAGATGGTGGAGGTCATTCTCAAGTCCCTATGCATGGCCGAGGATCACATCCCCTTCCAGGTGCCGCGGGCTTTTTTGAGATTGCTCAAAAACTGTTGCAAGTCACAAATAATGCGCACGCGCAGGAGGGGATGGACAACGGATGCGAAAGAGCCCACTTGTTGTAGATCAAGCCATGCGTCGGGACCAAGATCGGTGGATGTGGTCAATTCCAGTGTGATTTGAGTCAAACAGTTGAGGTTTTGTCTTTGGAAGGAATGAACATGGACCACATCCACCAATCTTAGTCCCAACATGTGAAAAGCAGCAAGCAGAGACGCCTTTCAATCGGTCAGCAAACAACGCCGTTCCGTGAATATGCTTTGAATGAACAATCAAGAACGGTACCAACTCCCCCCCCCAAACCCCCCCTCCTCCTGTAGCGCAAATTGGCATCAAAGGATACTGATATATTCCCAAGGAGTCAGAATGACAAGGTGCGGAGACTGATGCCTGCGCAGCTATTCTCTGTGAGAATGTGGGTTAAGCTGTGACATTCACATGCAGTAGACGGTATGACACAAGGGATTCCTATATTGCTGTAAGGGTCAATCATGTACAATTCAAGTTACCCCCCCCCGCACCGATCTTGGTCCAGACGCATACCTAGATCGACATCTTGTTGTTTGCTGGGGCTGGGTTAGGATACGCGAGGTATGCGCCTTGGCAACAGAAGGAGGGAGCACATGGTGGGCGATGGAATGCACCTGCAAGCATAGGCCCACGCTGGGCCTGACTCCAGGTCACGCGTATTCCTAGGGTATGGTTGCCAATCGGCCGTTGCTAGACGACCTGACTCATTCACCGGCTTTGCATGTTCACTAAAAGTGTCACCAACAAAACCAGCATGACGTAAACGGAACTCCTGGTCCTCCTAGGACTCCTAGCCCCAAGAAAGCGCCACATCAGCGCTATTCTCTTTTGCAAGAATCTTGTGCCATACAAAGATGGTGCTTTGGAGGGTGTGCTTCCTGCTTCTTCCGTAAATTGCATTTCAAGTGAACAAGCTTCTGTTGTCTCCTGATTTGCACGTTTCCGGGATTTCCGCACAATGCCAATCGGCGCGATTTCTGGCAGCAAGTGATTCGGCAACTACTGCGCAGGCCTGAAGCATTGCAAGCACTTCTGGCGTCGAACCTTTCGCGGATACCTACCCCAAACTGGAGTTGCTCTCTTTTTTTTTTTGTCCTGGGTGAATGTGGGGCAACAGGTCAACTCCTTTGAGCTTTTCGGCTATGACCTGATGATCGACTCCAAGATGAAGGTTTGGCTGATCGAGGTGAACTCGTCTCCGTCCATGGGTCAGGAGCACCTGCTGGATGAGCAGGCCATGGATACCAATCCACCGATGAACCAAACCAACAGGCTGCCAGGTTGAAGCACTAACTTGCACAAGTGTTGGTGGAAGCTTTTTTAGCCGCAGCCTGCTTCAGTAAGATCATCCATTTGCATGTGTCAAGGAAACAGGAGGCAGGCGTGCAGCGAGGTGCTTCTTTGAGCCGCATGTTTCACCCAAGGAATGCGGGCATGGAATCTGGACTAGTGATGCTCAATCTTACCGAGCGAAACAAGCTCGCCCATGCGGGTTCCATTGTCGCCATTTTCGCTGCTCCATGGGTTCCACGCTTCCATTCGGCTTCCATGGTCGTTGCTCCATTCCACGCTGAGGTGAAGCAGCCCCTGATCAACGACACCATCGACTTGGTGCAGCCCATGGAGTTCGACCGGCGCAGGCTGACAGAGGTCCTGCACCGCCGGGTGGAGCGCAAGGGTGCGACTGGAGCCACCGGCGGCAGGCAGCAGCGGCTGGGAATAAGGTGCCTGATGTGCGTTTGCCCTGCCTATGTGTGTAAACACGTGTTGTAGTCTTTTGGTCAAGTTGTGTGTATGTCGTCTATAGCCCCTAAGTGGGAAACAAGGAGTTCTTTTGGTTGTGGCGTTTTTGCAGACGCAACGAGTGCTCAAGCTGTGTTTGCCAGGTCGCGGTCCATTGCATTTGTTTGTTACGGTCCCCATTTGGTTGGTTGCTTTGCAGCTGGGTTAGCCAGGCAGGGCTGGGGTCGGCTTGTTGGAGAAGCAGAGCAATTGTCATTCGAAGATGCCAAGCGTGGCGGGAGGGAGGGGGGGAGGGAGGAATAGTGCAGGGAGGGGGAGGAAGAGTGCAGGGAGGGGGAGAGGGAGGGGGAGAGAGAGCGAGAGAGAGACTGACGGAGACGGAGGCAGAGACAAGGAGAGGGCGAGAGAGACAGAGAGAGAGAGAGAGAGAGATTGTGGGTATGGCCCTATGACTATGCGACTTTTTGACTGTCGCAGTGGCTTTGTACATGACCTGCCGGCTGGCCTGTGGGTGGGAAGAAGGGGGGATGGCTCGGTTCACGGCCCGCTGCATGGTGGCTCAGTGGCTGGTCTGTCGGGTCATTTGCTTGAATGCGTAATAATGGGGCACATGATTGATCCCCCTCCAGGTCGACAAGGTCCCGGAAAGCCGGATTTTCAAGGGTCCCCTGGCCCTCTCGAATTAATCCTTTACCCTGTTTGGCCAATAGGACTGCAATAGGAAAGTAAATTGCATTCTTCAGTTTCCAGGTTTGGGGAGGGCCAGGATTAGTCCGATGGGCTTTGTCTTATTCGGGAGGCTTGCCTTGAAGGGGGGGCTTTGCGAGCTTGTCAATCCTTGTTTGTTAAAACAATTTGTACTCGGAGTTATCATGTCCAAGGGTATTGTGAATAGCTCTTGTAATTTAACATTAATTATGTTGTTGGTATCTTTGGATCTTGGTTGAAAGGGACTTCTTGAATCAGAGGGGGTTCTGGGAGGTTCCAATATATTTTTTTAAGAGGGTGTTTTCGACCAAACTTTGGATGCCTTGAAGTAGTGTTGGCTGGCAGTCGGCTGGAAGAATCCGGTGTTTTCATCAGAGGGGGTTTGTTAATCTTGCCGCATTTTGCAATGTGCCTGTGCACAGATCGCATCCTCAAGCTGAGGCTGGACATCGATATGCATGCTGTCCTGAAAGGCCAAGCTCCCAGGATGACGCCTTGCCGCAGTGAAAGGATTGCACATGTTGCCGGTATGCCTGAACTTGTTTTTTTTCAGCCCAGGTACGGCGAGATGCCGCCGAAGATGGGAAATTACGAGCGAATCGCACCGGGAGAGATGTGGGACAACATGGTTCGAACCAGAAGCATGCTCTTTAACCGAGTCTCGCCCAGCTAAGTCTGCTGGTGTCAGACCGTTATGTACATGATCCTATCCAGGTGCTCCTGGTGACAGTTACAAGTGCAATCGGCACAATCATCGCACATGTTTGTGAGAGACTGGCGCTGCTACTGTTGCCAGACGTTCGCACCCGGACTCGACCCAAATGGGTTGCTCGCAGCTTCAAAGCCAAACTGGCACAAACTCAAAAGAAAAGTTGAGCACGTTGCAGGGGCGTCCTATTGAGCGTTGCTTCATATTGCGGCCAACCCCATCAGAGGATCGCTTAATTATCAAGTCATGAATGTCTCCAGCCATGCACCCAAAAGACCTTGACTTGAGGTTAGCAAGAACATTCAAACAGATACCGAACTGTTCCCGCATCTCAGCCTTCTGAATTTGCATAGTGGCATAGAACATTCTCTTGATTCTGCTGTGTGCCGTCATTTGCACCCCTTCCCAGCCGATTGCTTGGCCTGTCACTGACCTGCGCGACATTGGGCAGGCGAGGCCTGGGAGCCTTTGGGCTTCGTCTTGCTCGTGGCGATGCAGCTCAGCGCGTTGGAGGCAAAAGGGGCCCGCCGGGAAAGAGGGGAGAATTTGGGTTGGTTCAAATAGGGGCAGCCATGTTTGTTTGGTCTGCTGGTGCCCAGTTTGCTTCTACCAATCTTGGTGTGTGCGTGTTGGCAAGCATGCCTGCACCTGCAGGTGCTAGAAGGGACGCAGATCCGGCTTCTTCGCATGCTCTTCCGGGCCTTGCCAGCGGCCAACCGCAACTTGGAACCCAAGCACGTTACCTTCATAGAGCAGCTCGCCAGCATCTAGTGCTTCGTACACAGTATGCTGGAGCTGGCTCGGGCATCAGCTTCAGCATTGGGATTTCCTGCCTGTATTCTGAGGAAGGAGGCTTATCAGCTATCACCGGGTGTTCTGACGGAGCTGCTGAGCATTTGTGCTAGCCTGGGCCTTGCACCCTTTAGCTCGCCAGAGGCGCGGCAGTCCTTGGCAGACATTGCCCAGAACTACTACTTGAAACGCGGCTCAGGCGGGCTAGCGATCAAATGAAAAGACGCCACAACGCAACCCCGGTGACAACAGCTACATGTTGGCAAGTTGGAGACATCGTCTCAGGCTGCTTGCTGTTTGAGCCCATGATCCGTCTGCGCAGGAGAGGAACCCATCAAGTTGAGCACTGCCCTTCGCTTCGTTCGCACCCACAATTTGATCGACCTGTTGGCGGAGGATGTGCTCTTCGTGCCGGTGATGTGTGCCTTCAACGATGGGCAGCCGCAGCACGCGTACAATTTGGGAGAGGGCGAGCCCGAGTTGCAGCTGAAGATGATCTCTTATGCCATCCGAAAAGGCCATCGCCTGGCTGCTGGCCGTCTGGTGGATCGCTTTGGCTTGCCAGAGGAGGGCATCCGCATGAAATACATTTTGGGGAGACCGCGTGCGTCGACTGTTCTTGTTGGCATGCTGGCAAGAGAAGGGCGCTGAAGTCAGTAGCCGTGGTATCTCCTGCTTTTGGCGGCAGAGTCGCCCTTCCAATTCCTACAGGACAACAATATCAATATCCGTCATTGGTAAGGTCCCAGGGGCCTCGATGCCAGACCACTCACAACCCCGGAAGGAGCCTTTTGGAACCTTGGAACAGTGTTCTCCTTAAAAGTTGTAGAGGGTTTTCGTGGGCTTCAACAAATTTGCGTCAAACAAGTTGGTGCCTGTGTCAGCACCCAGTTTTGGGCTCGCATAGCAGGTCAGCTGAACCAACTGCTCCATCGTGTTTGGTCAATACAACACGCCAAATGAGCGGTGTTTGTTTGTGTTTGCATTTGGGGAAGTGGGGTGAGGGACATGATTCTTGAAAAATTGCATCGCGCCGCACTCCCGACAGGTTTTGCGAAACGGGTTTCTCCGCGAAAGGCTCGCAGCTTTGCTTCTTACTGCTGAACTTACGGACTTACGGAAGCACGCGCCAACGGAAGCACGCGGAAGCAAACGATGAAAACATGTGCCGCCGACTTCCGCGGAAGACGCCCTGCGAGTAATATGCGAAAGGGTCCCCGGAAGCTATAATAACATCCAAACAAGTTTAAGGGATTAACAACCAACGCTCAAATGTTGTGAGCACGAGCAATTCATGAGGTCAAAGCAGAATGTTCTGATTAATTGAAGCATGCGAATGTGGGCATGATTGTCAAAGAGCTCCGCAGAAATCAACTGACACGCGTCCCGGGCTAGACGAGGTGTTCGGAAGGCAGAGATGCATGCTAGGTTCTAGCAGTGAGAGAAGCAAAAGGTCATGTTGCGGGCATGGCATGTTGATTTGTCCTTTTCATCAAGCATTCGAGAGCCAGTAGTTTTGTCTGACGGGCCAGGCCATTTTTTACACATGCAAGCAGTGGCCACCCGTAGCAACCGGTCAAATTCAAGCAACCAGGTTGGTGCAAAGCCGGGGAAGAAGCTCCAAGGGAGCAATGGCGGTTGGAGCTTCCCCGGGCCGTCAACGACCAGGTAGGCAACACAGTCACGACATGGGTTCCGGTAGAGGTCCCTGGGCTGCATGATCAGCAAATCATTCAGAGTGCTTGCTCGCCCTTGGAATCTTCAAGGCTGCCAGGTGCTAGAAGGCCTTCATGGTTCACCTACAGTTCCTTTGGGTTCCCACGAACGTTCTGCGGGGGTCCCCGAAGTAAGTTTGTTTGGGGTTCCCCTTCACCCCGTATGCTGGCAGGAGGAGCTTCCGGATTGGCCGGGAGAGCACGGGAGCTTTCGGGACGCCTGCGGCGCCTGCGTGCGGGAGGCGGAGGAGGCAGAGGCGACGGAGCTCCGAGCAGCGAGCAACAGGACGGGGCACTCGGGTTGAGGGAAAGCATTTTGCGAAGATTCATGACAGGCAGCGATACACAGGCAAACAAGCAAACCGGCAAGGAAGCGCCAGTTTGGTGTGTGTTTGTGTTCGCCTGTTTCCAACTGCCGTGCTCAGTGACTTTGTTGGTGGCGGTCGGGTGGCATTTGTGGAACATGCGCTCACAGAGGATTTGCAATTGGCAGCTGAAACTGTGATTTAGCTGGGACGCATTCACCACACTCAATTGAATGTCAAACTTGGGCAGTGCCAGTCTGAAAGCCGCCCAACAGCTTGTTCAGTTTCTGGGTGCCAACACTGAGAAAACCATAGCGGTCGTTGTCATTGTTGATAGCCCGACCATATGATGGAACGTGAAGGTACGGACGTGTGCACAGATGCGTGTTGTGAACCCCTGCGTGTCCTCTCGGCCGGTTTGTGAACCCCTGCCCAGTCAATTGTTCCCCACCCTTCCTGCCCAACCCGCTGCTACACAGGAAGATGGCGGCGGCAGCAGAAGAGGAAGGCGCTTGCTTGCAGCTGCCGGAGCATGTGGCATCGCAGGTCATGGTCATATCTACGCCCGTTGAACTGCGAGATGTGGCCAAGCGCCTTTTGGCGCTGGCGTCTTTGGCCGATGTCGCTTGCTTGGATTCCATTAGTGTGCGATGAGGTTGTTGGTTGTGATGGGTCAGGTCGTTTTCTGAATGTATGTGTTCAAATAGAATGCCTGACTTCAAAGCTTCAAACTTTGGGACTCCGAGAGCTGGATCGTTATGCAATCTGTGCCACCACTGAAAGGCTCATTGGGTTTGCGAAGTTGACGCCTTTAGCTGCAACACTGCAGCATTTGGTGGGATGTCATGATGTTTAGCCCAGCTAATCGCCACCAACCTGTAGATTGTTCGATGCGAGTGAGGCAGATTCTTTGCCCACAACCCTGGCGACACCCGGCCGGGTTCTGGGCCTGGATGCTGAATGGAAGCCATTCTTGGAGAAGCGCGGAGGCATGCAGAAGCACCGGAGGCGCTTGAAGCGTGAGAGATCAGGTCCTGAGAGGGTCCGACCAGTTTCCCCTTGGAAGAGTTGGCTGACTTTTCTCCAAGAATCACCGGAGTAGGCAAACGGTTCAGCACTTCTGGCAAACAAACCACGAGTTTAGTATTGGTTTCAGGTTCGCCCATTATAATGTACCATTTAGGCTCCCAGGGTTGGAAGATTCATGTTATATCATTAGCTTTTTTATTAGGAGAAAGGGATTAGTATCCTGGCCAAGTTGAAATGGGTTTGGCTTGGGAGGTTTTAGCACTTTGCGTCCAAATCGAATCCTGCGGTCGCGCCTTTGTGGCGTCCGGCAGGAGCACGCAGACTGTGGCGGCTATGGAGCCTTGCTCCACCCTGCAGGCGTTCCAAATGGGGAGACTTGAGTTTATACGTTTGTCTTCAGGAACGAAGCCATTCGAACTGTGCCTGCAAAATTTCGATGGTTATGAGGCTTTCTGAGAACGTCGAGGAACCTTTGACGCAGTTCCAAAAGTAGTCCTAGAGAGCCACTGGACGTCCCTGGCACTTTTGCCCCATCTGGGCTGTTCATGCGTCATGGGCTTCAGGTGGCCGCCGATGACTTTGTGGCCATCTTCGACCTGCTTGCGCTGACGAAAGAGGCCACCATCGCCCATGAGCTGTCAAATCTGCTGGGGGCGCTGTTTGCACACCCGAAGATTGTGAAGCTGGGGTTTGGCCTGCAGCCGCTGGGAACCAAATTTTGCTGCGGCGCCGTTTGTTGATGTTGCCTTCAATGTACCGTCATTGTCGCCATCATCAGCATCATCATTGACCATTCAGGGTCATGATGATTCTGACGATGGAGAACCCTGCGTTCTGCCAACTCAGTGCGTGGTACCGGCCCACTGGCAAACAAGCGAGGGAATGCAGGTTGAGCCAAACGTGCAAACTCCCGATTGCTGCCAGGTCTCCAACCACCACACTTTGGCAGCTACCCTTGGCAACATGTGCCCAGGGACCCGTGCAGCAGCTCTTTTCACAGAACATTGCGCAACAATCGCGGGCTCCAACAGGACTTTACCACTTGTAGCCCTATTTTGCGTGGGGTGAAGCTGCGAGCAATTTGTGCGATGTTGCATGTTGCTTAGGAGTTTCCGTCGGAGCCCAAAGCACTTGAAGAGTGTTTGCAGGCTGTGAATGAGGCCGCCTGAGCACCAATGGAGACTAGCAGTCTTTTGGCGCCCTGAGGTAGTCACTCTTTTTGCAGGCGCGCCTGTTGTGCTTTGCAGTGGAAAATCCCCTGGTGTGCTTGATCGCAAAGTTTTGCTGCCAACCGGCGAACGTTTATCCTGCATGGAGCGTGCGGCATGGGGCCTCTTGCAAACTTCACCACGCCTTCGTTTGTCACCAGCCGGCTCCTCGCCAAGCCCCGCGTGACGTGCTTTGCGGGATGATGCCTTTGGCCTGCCAGCAGAAAGCGCGTGAGGGGGACGCGCGGACATGACATGTGTGGGTTCCCAGTTTGCGACAGAGAAGCCACGTTGCCTGTCCCTCCGCCCAAGGAAAGCTTGGAAAAACGACAAACATCCACGCCGGAGTCTTGGGGTTAGTTGGGCCCAACACTTGTTGCGATCAGCACGAAGAGAAAACTGAACAACAAGCCCAACCAAGAGCAAAAGACCAATGCAAGGTTGCCACAAAAAGCCACAGGCAGCCACACCAACGGTATAATTGCATGGCCCGAGGAACGATTTGCAGCGGCTAGCGGCGTCCTACCCCCAACTGGCGTGCTTCCGGTGCATGCGAGCCACGCTGGATGTCCAGGAGGCGTTCATGGCCCTGAGGCGGAACAAGGGCCCCTCGGCTCGACAGCGCATGTGTTCGTGGAGTTGGGGGTATGGGTAGCTGGGTAGGTACAGACAGGCATCGGAATATCCAATATATCTGGTTTGACCCGATTCCAGCTCGTTGGCATAAATTCTCAGGTCAAACAATGGTGCTTGTCTTTCTTGTGCTTCCAGCCTCCGAGCCAGTCCTTGAACGCTGAGAATGCTTGGAGTGGCATAGCTTTCCCTTTGCGTTTGCGTGTGGGTTTCAGCACTTATGCTGCGCTACCGGTGGCAACCAACACGATGTGCAGGAATTTGGTGTGCATATAATTATGATGGTATGTGTGCATATATCTACAGGCATAATATTTGTATCAGTTCATGTGCATTTTTGCCAGGTATAAAGCTTCCTCCGAGTCCCAAGCCTTGTTGTGGGCTTTGACAGGGGCCGACTTGCGAGAGAACGCGTTTTCGGAAGCGAGCGAGGCTCACAAGCATCTCGAGCAGCGGACATGTTGTGCATGGCTATTCTTTAGACCATGGGGGCGTTGCATCGTGTTCTAGCGGTGTTGTAACCCATGGGTTTGAGATTTGGCTCAAGTGAGAGCATGCCGGCAGGGAAGGACAGCACCATTCGACCTATACTATCAAACTCTTCTTGCCCTTGGCTGAGGTCAGTCTACCGGCCTGTCGGCTTTGTGCACAGAGCACTTTGGGGCTCCTCTGAGCAAACGCTTGTACCTTGGTCCAAGACGGGCCGCACAGCTGTCGGGGCGAGCCATGAGAGGCCCTGGCAAACGAAACACAGCAGCTAAAGCAAGGCGAGCCGAGTTTGCTTGGGCTTCACCGCTATCTTGGTACTCACGTCAACCCCCCACGTGTTTTGTGTTTTTGCAATTGATCATGACAGGCTATTGGTTGACAGTATTTGACATGGTGCCTGTGAGGGCAGCAAGTTGTGTGGTGGGGGGGATTCATTCCGAGAAGCAAACCCTTTCAACGTCGGGATGGAGGGCGGGTTGGAAGGAGTTGGCAGCGATGGCATTATGGAGGTAATACGGTAAACAAGTTGGGACTCAAGAAACGCAGTAGTGATGTAATGCTGCTGCTTGCTGTCAACACTTGTCGACATTTGCATTGTCGCCTTTTTGTTGGGTATCAACTTGGCGGTGAAAGTGTGGCCAGTTGTTTCTTTCCTATCCGGCAGCACTCTTGCAAGCCAGATTGCAGAAGCATTTTCCTTTGATTGGGTTTCACGATGTATCAAGGCCTCAAGCCCGTCCCTGTTCAAGATCGCAAGTGGCATTGCGGCCTACTACTGATATTCAGACGCTGACGCTGCGTTTGAACGCGTGGCACTTCCCTGGGCGATTTGATTTGCAGCATAAGTTGCATTTTGCGCACCAAGCACAAATGATTACAAACATATTGGGTAACATGGGGGAACCAATTTCTCTCCAGCTTGCCCTGGAAATGCCGGTGCTTTCCGTGCACGAGGCAGACCAGCGACTGGTCAGCGCGCCCGCTGAGCCGAGAGCAGGTGCTCTATGCGGCGCTGGACGCCTTCTGTTTGCTTGGCCTGGCAAGGAATCTGCCAGAGAGCGCTTGGCAGGACCTCGAGGCAGCCGGTCGTTTGGGTCTCGGTTGGTGAACGGCCTTTGCTTTGAGGGTCCACTTTTTGGTGCCTTTTCGTGAAGGTGTGGGTGGTTTGTGACCGCGCCGCCGAATCCAGAAGATCACCCGGGTGATGGTTTGACCTTGCTGGCAAAGACTTTGAACAGCGAGAGAGGAGACAGAACCTCATGGTTGTGTGTGCGTGGCATTGATCTTGAAATGATTGGTTGATGCAACAAATGCCCAGTGCCAGAAGTCTTTTTTGTGGGACCAATGCACAGGCACATATAGCACCAGACGCAAGCAAGCCTAGTGGTACAACTTGAGATTTAAATGGCAGGATTGTGTAGCGTGTAAAAGGGCTGAAGTTCTGCAATAATTGCTTATGACAGACGGGCACGATGCGATATGCCATGATTTGTAATATTGTAATGTGGTTGTTTGGCTCATGCGACGCACGTCTCCGGGCCTTCACTGTTTGCTGCAAACCAAACGGCAGCTATTTGCTCGTGTTGTGCAGTTACTGGGTGGCCTCCAAATGAGTAACACAGAGTGCACCTTAACGAAAGGTTCCGAAGGATCCCGTGCTAAGCGATTGAAAGGCAGCCAAAGCCAGCCAGCTGAGAAGGCTTTTTGAGTTTGGATGGTTCCTTCGGCACGGAAACTTGAGGATGTTTCGGAAACGCTGTTGCCTTTCATTCGAAGGATGCTGTGGCTCTTGCAAGTTGTGACTCAGGAATCCTTCTCAAAGCTCGTGCTCTTAAATTGCCCATCGCCCCACAATCCTGACGCGTGAAGGTTCAAAGCATCGGCCAGAAGCTAGTGGTGGCTTCCTCTCGAGCCGGGGGTTATCCTGTGGCAGCCGCAGACGCTGAGGTTCTGGGGGGAGGGAAAGGCTGCTAACTCCAACCAGGTTGGCCAATTGTTGGTGGTGAGGTTGATGCTGGTTTGGTCCTATTCCACTTTGGTTTGATTTGTGTGGAGTTCTCCTTCCCCCCTTCGCATAGCTGATCCTTGGTGTCCTTTTGAGAAGGGCCGGAACCAGAGCTTTTTGCGGTGTCCAAAGAGTTTTCGAAAGTCCAAGGATTGTGTGCTAGCCTCGAATTGAAGACATGGCAGCGCAATAATTGCACAACGCCATGCAGCGTTATGTCAGAGGCAGCGCTCATGCTCAGCTGCAAATGCCCACGCTTGCTCTCCGCCATGGACAGGGCCCTCCCATTTTGGCTGAATAGCTATATATATATATATCTTTATACTAGTCCTGGAAGTCTGTGCCTAGTCCCTTTGGTCCGCCAACATGGAACCGGGGTGGACAATTCCACGTTGGGCTGGAGGCGTTTTGGTCAGGAGATCGCCGCGGTGGACTCGGACATCGCGGCCAAGGGCCTGGAGATCAGGAGCATGAAGGCCCAGGGGAAGCCCAAGAGCGCGTGGCAGGCGGAGGAGTCTTGGCTGCGTTTTCTTTGAAACTGGGGGCTTCATCCAGCTAGCAGGAAACATACTCTAGCACTTGACAGGCAGGCTTGTAGGACTGAGGCTTGCCTGCTTTGGCTTGTTCGGACTGTATGCATCGCCCAAAGCTTAGCCAGTTTTGTCACAGCCAGGTGGCAATCCTTTTGCAGCTGAAGGCCAAGTACAAGGAGTTGGACCCTTGGCTGACCCAAGACGCACAGAATGACGACTGTCCATGTGCTTGTGAGCATGTCCCTGAGCAGTGGGCTTGGCTGAAACATCGGCCTTGTATCGCTTTGTTCTGAAGTAGGCATCTTTGGGGCCTGTCCACACAATATCGTATCGTTTTTTGCTGCCACCATCCGCACTGGGCAGGAACTGCTAAAGGCAGCAGGGGGGGCCACAGAAATTCAATAAAGTGTGTGGAGTGGCTTGTGTGCACCCAGGCTGGATGCGAATGGGTCCCTGCCCTAAGTGCCTAGCCGACAAGCTGCCGCCTTGAACGACCCATCTTCTTGGAATCAGGCAGGCTGACCAAAAGACTCAATCAGCTGTGCCTTGGAGCATTGAGGGCCTACTTGTTTTTGAGTTCGGAAATATGTGGAAATTGTGCTTTGCGATAGCCGCACTGATGTACGTCCCGCATGGCAGGATCGCAGCCACTCAGCAGCGATGCGCTATGCGGTGGACTTCCTGGATGGCCTAACTTGGGTCAATGCGATCCACAGTCTGTTATGGCTTGTTTGTGAATACTTCGGAGGAAAAACAACGGGGTTGTCTCAAATCTAAGATTGCCCTAAACTTGATAAGCCAGGACTCGAGGTACACTTGAACCTGGCCAGAGAACCGCTACACTTGTTGCAGAGAATTGGGTCGGGATGTCACTTTTGGCTTGTTGTTGCGAAGCACAATTGAGACATACCCCTTTATCTCGATGCAATCGGTCTGCCCACCGGATTTCAGAAGGCTTTGGAGGCTGCATTGCGCGAAAAAGGTGTGTTCAAACGCGTCGTGGTGGCAAGCTTTGCGGGACAACGCGACTCACCAGCTCACCCGTGGTTCCGTGGATTCGCAGATTCAGCTTGCCATGAAGCCATGGTTTTGTTGGACACATGGAGGCTTGGGAGGCAGACACGCTCGCAGTTTGCGGCCCAAGTAGGTGCTCCGGTGCTCCGCCGTTTGCAGTTTTTCAAGATTGCCACACGGCCACCCGGCGAAAAGCATTGCTTGTTGCGAGGGCGCTTGCCATGGGTGTCATCACTGGAGGTCTGCAAATCAACAGGCAAGAACACCCAAACCTTCCAACAACCTCGATTGTAAATGCAGATTCCGAAATATGGAAGCCCCAAACCAGCCAATCAAGCTTCAAGCACACTTCCCGCTAACGCCGACTCCGCATGATGCTACATGGCCCTGCCGTGCTGCACTTCCATGGGGCTCCTGCGGCACTGCTCCATCCTGGCCGCCGCTTCGTGGGAAGGCAACGTACAAGTGCCTTCGCAGCCAAGTGCTCGTGGGCTGCGCTTGGCGTGGCTTGCCGAGTTGGAAGGCTTCGATGCTATGCTGAACGAAGGTCTGCGGAAGCGCTGAGGAGCAAGGTTGCCAAGGCGGGCTCGCCCAAAGATTGCGAATTTGCGAAATTCAAAATCACAGAAGGCTACTTGAAGGAAAAGCCAGGCTTATCGATACGCTGGCTTTGCTTTTTAATGCGCGCTCCAATAATAAATGGTTTGCCCTGCAACCTCACAGCAAGCTATGGGCAAGCGGCTGAGGTGGTTGCAAAGAAAGACTTGAAGTCGGCTCAACGAGATGCTCCTGATGCAATTGCTGAGTTTCAGGCATTGCAGAAAGACCCCTTGGCATCCTGGAGTTTGCTCGACGAGGGGGAATTCCAAAACCGAGTTCTCTCCGTGCTGGTGGTGGCGTGTGTGCCTTGCTTCATTCTGACTGCAAAGGTTTTTCCAGTCACCGGCGATGAAGGCAAAGTCATCCTCCAGAACGTTCTGGCAGACCTGACCTTCGGCTCCAGCCTTGCTGCGTTGCTTGCCAGATATTTCCCTGAGGCCTGTAGGTCGGAGTTGTTTTCACTTTGCGTGGCCCCAAATCGACTGCCATGCCGTTCCTGTGCCACTTTGCCCCTTGAACTCAGTTAGTCACTCAGGCTGCTTGTGACCGTGGTCCTCCTCCGCATCGGCCACCGGCAATTGGAGGTCAACCAATTTCTCCGCCAGCGAGCAAACTTCTTTGAAACAAGCGGGGGCGGCTACTATTTTCAAAAGAAAACAGAGGCCAACGAGCGCCGGGACTCCTTGATCCACCGCTATGAGACTGCGCCGAGCGTGGCAAAGGTCCGGCGGTATGTGCTGTCCACACTGCTGTTTGCAGCTGGAAGCGGTTTGGCTGGCTTTGCCTCTGGTGGAGAGATGAAGATTGTGGAAGAGGAGGAGGAGGATGATGGTGGATTGGGTTGAAGCCCAAAAAAAAAACACGAATAATTATAGTGTAATGACCTGGCCAGCATGCGGCAGAGTATAGGTCCCTTGACGCCTGGCATTGCCCCCAATCCATGCTTTCCGCCCCACGGGGCCTGTTGGGCTTAGGGTTTAGGTCTAGGTTTTCAGTGTTTTTTTGTTTTTTGCGGCCGAGTTTGCAAGTTGGGCTGGCGGGACCCTAGCATGAGCTTAGCCCTCCAAAGCTCAAAAGCCCTGCGCGGCAATTTGCACTTGCGGCTAACCCGTCCCGAGGGGCGTTGACATGGATTGGCCGTAACATGATGGGGTGGCACTACAACTTGCATCTAGCAGCAAAGCCTGCCGGCTTGCATTATGTTTGGTTTTGATAGTGGTACATTATTTTAGGTACATGCACGTTTAAAGATATGCAAATGGTGCTTGTCATTATGCAAGTAAAGCCGGCGAAGCCTGGGGCCGGACGATTTTGATTAGAGGCTTCAAGTTTGGAGACCGCTAGGTTTCTCCTTCTTTCTCTTTGTCTTTCTGTATTCTCATTTCTGTTTCTGATTGGTTTGGAATTCGGTTTGGGTTGCTCCGGGGTTGGTTAAAAAAGCTGGTTCTTGTTGGGATTTGTGGTTTAAGGTTACTCCATGGTTTGTTTAGGTGTGATTAAGGGCCAGGATGGGATTTGGGTTGGTTATTCCGAAGATGATGGTATTTGGTTAAACACTACTTGTTCGAGTGTGTTTGTGTGTAGTCCCTAGCCACTACAAGAAGCTTTTGTACACAATTTGCTCCTGCGGGTAGTGGTTTCGGGTCACAATTTTGTTTTTTCAATGATTTTTCAAGGTTTCCACACACTCCCCCAACCACTACCCCACAGGTGTAATGGGAAATGCTGCCGACAGAGTTGTTACACACAGCTGCGACAGAGCTTGTGGCGGATAGCTGGTCCAAAGCCTGAAGCAGGACAGCCGTGACAGTCCGAAGCCTGAGGCTCCCGCAAGTAATCGGCCTGGACAAGCGACCACCCAAGCCTCTGACAACCGAAAACCGGAGGCCAGGCTGGGGCCGTGACATTCCAAAATATGACAGGAAACCGCTATCCGCAATGACCGGGCCTGGGATAATCCTGAGAGCTCGACAGCAACTTTGGAAACACTGCTTAGGGTTAATAGCGCATAATTGATTGAAATCATTTTGCCCAGAAAATACACCCAATTTTGTGGCTTTCGGTGCGCACGCAAAAAAATAACTTATTTCTTAAGCATAATTTGATACTTGTTGTTGTTTTACACCATTTTAAATTGTGTGGTGTTTTTTTTCTGCAGGGTTTTGCCGTTATACTTGTTATATTTGGTTATTTTTGTTTTTTGTTTGATTTTTTTTGATTTTTTTGTGTGTATGTGTTTTATATTCTATATTATTGTTTGATAGATTGGTTAATTATTGATGAAAATAATTTATATTTAAATATATTGTAAAACCATGACAAACATAGAATATTATTTATAATAAATAAAATATTATGTATTATATATTATTGATTTTTAAAAAATATATGATATTATATTTATGAAATTATATATTTATTTGAATTAAAAAATATATTTTTTTAATTATGATATTTTTGGTTAATAATAATTTGATTTATATTATGAATTATGGAAATTGCAAAAATATAATATTGAATTTGAACATTATAATTAAAATATAATATATAATATATTAATAAAATAGAAAGGTATAGAATATAAAACAAAAAGATATAATAAATTATAAAATAATAAATAATATATATATAGATAGGATATATAATATGACTCTTGAATGAGATTCGTTATAAATTAAGAGAGAGGATGGGTTCGAGGATTGGTTTGGGGAAATCTACCATTTTAATATAATAAAGAATTTTGATATTATTATAATGATTGATTTTAAGGTAAATTAAATAATATTTGTATTAATTATAATAATTAATATTAATTATTATTTTGGGGAGGTTATGAATAAAACTATATTTTTGTATAGTAATTGATATGGTAGAATTATATAAATAGTAATTATTTATATTTGTAAATCTATTATTTATGATTGATAAATAATATAATATTTTAAATAAATAAATAATTTAATTATATTTTATAATATATAGAATATATATATATTTATATAAATATTTTGTTTTTTTATAATACATTATGTATGATTCTATTTGTTATATTAATATTTTATTAAATTCGTATAACCATATTTATATTATATATAAAAATAAGGAATTTATATATATAATATATTTTTGTAAATAAATATTGGAAATAAATTGGAAAATTATAGATTGAAAACCATATCTAGATTCTAATTTATTTAGTTGGATCCTAATGATTTTGGATTAAATATATATTTATGGGGGAATAAATAATAATTATAGAATATATTGTTTTAAAAAAATAATATAGGTGAATATTATTATTATTATATACAATATAATATATATATAATTTATAAAGATTTTTTTTTTTTTTTTTTTTTTTTCAATTAACCCAATAATTATAATATGTATATTTGGTTTAAATATATGAATTATACAAATATATAAATATATATATATATTTTTATCTATATATTTATGATTTATATATCTTATTAATATTAAAAAAAAAAAATCGGTCGGCGAACCGACTGAGGAATGATTTTCGAAGGTTTGGCCCCTAATCGAAACCCAATAGTAGGCCCATAGAAGGGAAAAAAAGAATTTTTGTAAGATAATCATAACCTACAAAATCAATTATGGGGTCGCCGACCGGGATAATACAATTCTCAAGGCCCTATTTAAAACCCACCAACGAACCTATAATCGAGTTGAGATTTTTTTACAAGATAACCATAATCTCGCGAGCATACTTAAAGCCTCCCATCCCAACCTTATGCAAGCGGCATTCACCCAATCTAAACGATTATATATTTCCAAAAAGAAATTATAATCCATAAAATATTTAACCTTACGATTCCATCCTCTAAAAAAAGAATTCTTTCGCAAAATCCCGATTTAAATCTACCATAATCATAATAATATAAAAAAAACATAAATCATTATATCATTGTTTTTTAGTAAAAAAACATACCAATACTTAATATAAAATATTATAAATAAACCAATTATAATCTAAAAATATAATTATTATTATATTAATTAATTTAATATCATTACTTGTATTAAATTTATATATAAATTTCTTTTTTATATTATAATATTAATTAAATTCAAATTATCTTTAGTTCATATTAAAAAATCAATTTCCATATTTATTCAATTAAATACAAATAATTATATTTTCGAATTCTAAATATCAAATCAAAATTCCAAAATTATTATCAATATTAAAATATTATAACATATACAATTTCAAAATATATCCATCAATAAAATACCATTCATCTCGCCCTACAACATCTATGTTTAATAATCAATTTAAAATAACATCTATTTAAAAACACCCTACAATATCCCCAACCAATAACACACAACACCCCAACAAAAACACCTATAACAATACGGCCATACAACTCTTAAAATTCGAATAACAAAAAAATATCCCTCCAATTCCGTCCTACAAAAATACATTTTCTATATCTCAATCTATACTAAAACCCTATAACAATTCACCCACCCCTTTTCTATTTAACATTTAAATAATCCAACAAACACACATTAAATATTCAATTTTGTCATTTATATAATTATTATATATTCTAACAATTAAAATCAATTATTATAATATATATATATACATATATTATTGTTCGATGCACACAATCCATAATGTGTTTCTATCCATGTACTTTGATAATTGTATAATGCAACAAAATACATTTCATCTTTATTCGATTGATTGAATTATTTTCGAATCTATAAACACAATATGTTTGAATCGAGAACCATACAAGTTGAAGCACAACTATTCACATGATCTTGACCTTGGAGGAATCCACTGTATCACATGTTTTTTGTCAAAGTGGGCCAGTTGTGCCCGGAGCTTGACCAACATTTGCTCTGTGGACAATGTGAAGTAAGCAAGTCACCTTGCTGACAAACGACGTTGAGCCGCAGGTGCAGCAAGCTAATGTCACTCCAGGATCACCAGCAGCGCCCCGTCAAGGACCACGAGCGAACACCGGTTTCCCAAACGGATGGGTGAGATCCTGAGCGTTGAGGTGCCATATTATGGGGGTGAACCTTTTTGTTGAAGGGAAACCAACACATTAACACCTTATCTTCAAACAAACCCTATGCCTGTCCTGTCTGTATTATGTCAGGCACCTAGGCCAAAGGGCACGTCATGATTCGTCTCGTCATGCTTGTCTATAAATTCGGGATGAACGAGGCCATGAACACTGAACCACATTTGGCTAGCATGGAGAGCAGCCGAATCCTGCCAAGGCTCCATTCATCATCTCATACCATCCTCCTTGCCGTTTTAAAAAACTAGGCAACCATCCAGCATGTCCAGGCAAGTTGGTGTTGTGCACCACCAAGAACTTTGGCCGACACGCTCTCTCCATAACCTGGGAAAGTTTCAGCGCCCTCTCCGCCACTCTGAGCAGCGATGTCAACCAGTGTCAACTGTGTCATTCATGTGATGCCTGCCAAATGCTCGCAGAAACTGTTGAAGCCCCATTCCAAGCAATCCGAACATGCTTCACCCGCCCCGTCCGGATGCATGACAATCTCCGGTCCATTTTTGGATGAGCTCGCTTGAAGTGGGGATGGGTCTGTGCGTGACGCAGCACCCCCCCCAAACAACATGTGAGTTTGCCAGGATCAAAGCCACCCACGTGGTGAGTTCAATTGAAACACCCCAGGCGGCATAGGAGCAGACCAGGTATGGCGGAAGTCCACTGTTGGTGGGTCCAGCATAATGAGATCCATCCCGCCCGTCACGTAGCAGAGTGCTTGGATCAGCTCGGGATGCTTAAAGACATCGCCCTGCAGGATCCAATTGCCTGGGCCAAGAAACGAAACCGGACAATGTGCCCAATAGCCAAAACCAAGTAAGGAACCACAATGGCAGTCGCCTCTGTAGAATTTCTACTCCAATTATCTGCCTCTATGTTGGATAGGCTATTTGTGCATACCGAAATGGAAGCAGCGCCGAGGAAAAGGTTCTAGCACCATCAATCCTCCAACACGAAACAATGGCGTGCAGCCAGATGCGTATGTGGTCATCTAGAGGTGAACACTCAATTCTACCAAATTCATCCCATTTTAATAGATCAAGCGCCGCATTCAAGCGGTTGCCCTTGCAAGCTCCCAATTGCCGCATAAGTCGCCAGGCTTCTGCACGACCGAAGCCGTTAGCTCATCCAGACCTTGTGGGCCCTGCAGCCGAAGCACCTGCATCGATGCTGGGCTTGGAAACGCTAACAAGGGGGGCGTCGTTGTGCGCCCATGCTTCAAGACCCCTTGACAAACTGCGCCTGCGCCGGTAGCCCAAAGACCCTCATCACCTCCTGGGCGTGCACGGCGTTGCCCAACTCCCTGTCCACCGTGTAGAAGCGCCCGAGCCTACAGGCCGTCAAATGGACCTGTTTTGCTTGAGAGTACCCTTTTAAAGGTTGCGTTACAGGGAAATCAAAGCGACACCACCTATTTAGGACGTCCCCCAATTTTGGGGCAAACCCACAAAATAAGGCTTTCATGCTCTCAATCCAATCGCAGCCCGTGTCAATGCCATTGTAAGTGTTGGAGAACTGTCCAACGAATCGAGCAAGTAGTCCGGTGCTATGTTTCTGCCATCAAGTCAGGTGGCGCTCCTCCGAATATTCAACAGTCTTATCTTTACCCGACTGGGTGTGCTGCAACAAGCAAACAAGCTGCTGACTAAGCTTAAGATTACAACCACAACTGACTTTGTTTGCTTGCGCGAGTTTGCCCCGCAGGCTATGGAGCCTGTGGACGGCACAAGCTGCACCAATTATCATTGCGGGATTCAGTGCGTTCGCAAGATAATGCTTCCCGTGTCGTGCATGGATGGCATTAAGCAAAGCACGTATTCACTTCGTTACACCTGCCCAGGCCTAATGGCCAGCCTTTTGCACAAACGCCATGCAACAAACACCGTGATGATTCTTGGGACCATGGCTCTTCGAGGACCAAAAGCTGGAAAACCTCAAGCAGCTTACAACATCCCCTCAAGTATCAGGGGGCGTCTGGAGCCCCCATACAACTTTCTGGGAGCAAAGGTGTGGATTTATACTCTCCGCACCAGAAGGTCTCAATTGATCTGAGCGGCGTAGGCTTCTCCGCCGTCAAGGCATGTGCTAGCAGCAGGCTGGAGCCTGCACCGATGCCTGCAACGGAGTCGATTGGACATGCACTCTGAAGGACACCTCCCAAAATAGCTCGTCTCCCAAAACATATACAGGAAACATCTATGTTACATTATAACAATATGAAACGATATAACACATCAATCTAACGATATTACATTAATAACTTCAGCATTAATACAGAGCTTGAGCTTCAGCCAAGGGCACCTGTGAAGAGCTCCAGGGCGCTTTTGGTGGCCCGCGCCAGGCACCACAAGGCGCGGCCGAGGCGTGAGGACCTGGTGATGCAGCCCAGCTCCGTGGCCTCTGTGCCTGGGGCCATGGCAAGTTTCCGCAGCTTCTCAAACCGAAAAACCCGAGGTTTGACTCATGCGGCTGTGGGTGGCTCAACCAAATGTACATTGTACCTTGGTAAACGAAACCGAAGACTAAAACTCGCGTAACCCTGAGCTCGTAAAGTGTTTCTGCTCAAATACGAATCCTACTTGAGCGTCCTAAGCATATTCAATCTGGTTTGCTCAAAGCAGTCATGATGCCCACCTGAAACACACATACATGACCCACACAGAAGAGCCTATACAGCAATGTGAAGAACAGCCGCGTTCTTGCTTGGATTATTCAAGCGAGGGCATGGCATAAAAGCCGGCGTGAGTTCTCCAAATAGGAAAGGCAAGAAACAGCCGGACCCCCAGCAATGGGGCTTTGGAAATAGCTCTAGTCCTTGGAAAGACAAGCAGGCAGCAGTATGCTTGCCGCACATTCTGAATGACCGTACGCCGTAGGCCAAATGGCGCTGGTCAGCTAGTGTCAGTGTTATTCATGCCGTTTTCTGGTACGTCATTCTCATTGGCACCCACGCACGTGTCGTGCTATCATGTTTCATACTGGCCTTAGTTCCTCCCTTGGCTCTTCCCAACGTCTCGCGACCGTCTTTTCATGAAACGCAGCCGAAAGCTCCAAGTGCAAATCCACACCTAACAGCAACAGTGCAAGCGCCAACGAACAACTGAACATGTAGCTTTTGCTTTTCACGGCCTTCGCTCTAGCTGCATAGTAGGCTGCAGTAGCAGCATTGGATTGAAGCAATTGGCATATTGGAGGGCAGTCCGCCATCTGTCAAGGGTCTTGAATTTAGCAATATGTTTGCATTTGACATTTAGGGGTCTTTCGATGGGGTCTTTCGATGGGCTTTTGGAGAAACTATTGCAAAAGCGGGCCCCCACCAGGCACATCGGCTTCCGAATCCATGCCCCAGCCTGGGAATAAGGATGTCGCCGGCGGCGGCATGCCGACGTTGGGCTGCGGACATGTCCCAGGTATCTCCACCAGCCTGTTCTGCCCGTGGCACTGCGCAGCCAGGAACCGTTCGCCTCGCAATGTGGCAATGGCGAACCCAGTGCGTGACAAGCGCTCAACAAAACGCAGCTACCTGCGTACGGTAAGGTAGTTTGAGCACTTGTGCCAATAATAAAGTTGTAGATTATAAAATATATGAATTTCCAAGATTCTAAAGTTTACAATAAATAATAAAAAAGCAAAAGAAATAAATAAAAGAAAAAGACAATAATATATCCAAATAATACCATTCTATCCTTATAAACATGAAATCTTATTAAAAATCCAAATATAATGATTATAAAAAAGACAAAGATAAGATAATGATGTCTAAGCTTATAAACAAAGCACATAATATAAGATAATAAATTTGTAGTCTTAATGTAATTCCCTTTAATCTGAGTCTTTATAATAATAGATTTGTAAAATATTTCACCTATTAATCAACTTTTTAAACGTAAAATAGTAAAATAAATTAATATGAAGAAATCCTCAATTTGAAGAAGTCTTTTATCCTCATATGGTTGAATCCTATCTTCAATGGTGGATGAGTGGTTAGGAGAAGATATTTGATGGGTTACAAAGTGTATTATTTATTGGTCATAGGATGTGGATGTTGCCATGTGCTGACTTCCCCTCCAACATGCTTCAAGAAGCAGCCTGCCGTCGCCAAGTTGCATCTGTGTAATGCGCGACGTGCTTTCAGCGTGTCGTTCAAAGCTGGGTCGCATTGAAAGCTGCTCGCCAGGTGCACTGCGCAGAAAATAATCAGCCAGTGCGCCATGGCGCCATTGGCTCCTTGGTCGGCGCCCCAGGCTGTCGATGTTGAACTGGGTTGCCTTTCAAGAACGGATCGCAACTGGATAGTGTGTGGTGCTAGAAAGTTGTTGTGGTTCAAACATGTCGAAATTCCAGTTTCAGCCATTTGCTGCGTGGTGAGGAAGTCAAGGAATGGCTGAAGCCGTGAACATATGGTCAGGGAGCCTTGTCCATTGGCCACAATGCAGAGAGCTGATGGCGGCCACTGCCACGAATCCCATCCGCGGATTTTTTCTCGACAGTCCACAGAACACAAAGCCAAGAAATGAGGCAAGGCTGGGCCGTTCTACCACACGAGCAACACACATGCTACAGTTGAAGGCCGTGGCAATGCAGCGACACTCCACATATCTTTGTCTCCCACATTGCCTCGGGCCAATAGCTAAGGCCAGTCTCTGTCAATGCAAAGATTGAGTTCTCTGTGCTCCCTCGAATTTTGCCGACTGTGTTTCGAGCGCAGCAATCCAGCTTTCCCAAGTCTGCCAAGGCTATGACCTGGGCCCCCGATTGCGCCAATCGCCCCACTGAAACAGCAGAACGCAAAGGACAGCTCCCGCTCCACGTGCAACCTTGTGGCTGCCGTCAAAACTTTTGAGTGTGCAGCTCCTTCAGTCTTCAAACATCAGGATGGCACCTTGCCAAGTGGCAACTCGCCACTTGGCAACAAGCAGCCAGCAGTGGGCTGGAAATGACTCCATTGCACCTTCCCCCATTTGGCTCACCCTTTTTCCAGAATTATTTCCCCAGGTCTGAGATGCAACGTGTGCTTCGGACGACTCTGAGTCGCCTGCCTCGGAGATCTAAGATATTGCGCATCGGCACGGCGACTGTTCCCTTCACTTCTTTGCTGCCTTGCCCTGCGCAGGCCTCAGCAACTTCATTCCTTCAGGCACGAGCTTCGCCGCTTTTATAGTCTATCGATAAGACACCCTTACACCACACAGAACTATATAAGTCTGCAACACAGCTTGTACATTCCCAACCCTTGTTCACATTTCCTTTGATTCCTACCTCTTCCACCATCAGTTTCTCGCACTTGAGCTTTGTCCGATGGTAGCGAGGAGATGCTGAGAAGAGATGGCCCATCCCTGCATGCCTCACAGAGGCGGGATGGATTCTAGAGTCAACCGTTGGAACTCGTCAGATTTTGAACGCTTCCCTGTCAGCGAGCCAAATATTGAATAGGCTTTCATTTATTGGTGTTAAGGTAATTCCCAGGTCCAACATACATCTTGAGATGCCTTCACAATTTATGTTAATTGTAATATGAGGGATGGCTTCTTGCTCACGGATAAACCGCCGGCTGGCACTCAAGGACAAGGAAAATGAAAGAGAGATAAAGAGATGCTGTCCCTTCCTTCATCATATTCTAGCATGTTTACTATTATTGTTTATTCTCTAGACTGGATTTGCTTGGCTTATTCTCAAGGTTTAGGCAACATCACATGATTCCCAACAATCAAGTTTAGGAGAAATATAATGGTGTTCATGTCCTTCCTCTGTCTTCCGGAGATTTCTATCATGTACAAATATAGAGAGAAGAAAGGAAGGCGAGGAGAGGGAGCTGGAAGGAAAAGGATAAGCTGGCGAAGGCAGAGGAGCTGGTCCAGATTCTCCGACTTTACTTTTGTCCCAGCTCTTTGTCTAACCTTTCACTCTCTTCTCTACCCCTGCCATCGCTTGCAGATAATGTAGAAGTGAGTGAAGGAAGGGGAGAGAGCTAGAGAGGGGAGGTGATGACGCGCTAAAACTTCGAATGCAAACAATAAGACAGAAGTGACACGTAATAACAATATAACTCTTCTATTGTGTCATATGTTGATAACGTAGTTCATAGAAATTTGGATTCATATGATAGGACAGATTAATCACATGCAGAATCCAAATGACTTGATAATATCTGGTCTCTTTGAATCTTTGTTTGTCTCTGTTTCAATCTGTATCTCTTCCTCTCCTAGGATGGTCTCTCTCTCTCTCTCTCTCGCTCTCTCTCTCTCTCTCTCTTAACTAATAGATGCCGCCACTAATGATTCTACCGCCAATGGGAAGAAGGATATTCACAGCTCGCTCTTTCTCCCTTCTCAATGCCGCGGCCAACTTTCCACCTACCTCCAATTCTCACGAATCGATTTATAAGGTGGGAGTGATAGGTGGAAGGGCTGAACAGCCATCTCTTTTCCGCAGGATTTACCCGAGAGAAGGCAAGTTGGAGAGGATGAGTGATTAAGAAGTCAACGGAATTCAGTTGCAGACAAGTACAGTCTATCTCTTTCCCCAACATGCAACCACATGCTAGAATTAGGATCAGGTAGTGAAGGAAAGTGATAGAGGCAATGGTACCTTGCCTTTCTCTCTCTCTCATTCTCTCATCTCTCCATCATCTCTTGTAATCTGGATGCGGGAGGGACGAAGAGAGATGGAAAGAGAGCAAATAAGATCTCAGAATCAAGAGATGGGAGATGAAAAACAAGAATACACTAAGTAGAACTAGGCTGTCCCATTGCAGACCCAGCTAGCTTGCGCAAGACAACTACTTGTTTAAACCAAATCGACGGCTACCCTCTGCTCGTCAATGCAATGCAGGCAGGTGAGGTTTTTTTTTGCTGCCGTCGAGTGGCTTCGCTCAAGCTAAGGCTCCAACTTGTTGGACGTTGTTGCAGCTTTGCCCTTTTCCGCTGCCTGACATTGCAAACCCTTCAAACAGCAACTTGCCGGTTTGCTGCTCAAGCCACACGGGATATGTCATACCTCTGGTTGGCCTCTACCAACCACGGCTTCCCACAAGTAATCTATGTTCTCCAAAGCGAGACGACTGCCAGAAATCTATCATCTATCCTTACCCCTTAAAACTTCAAGCCCTGGGGAAGTTAATCTTTTACAAACATATAGCCCATGTCACCCAAAAAGTTGAAAAGTTGTGTTTTTAAGAGGCAAGTACCACAACAGGTCCGAACGTGAACATCTCCAAATTAACCAACGCCAAGAGTTGTCATTGTTGCTTGCGCGAGACAAACGCCTGGGGAAGCATTTGACAGTTCCCAGGCTGACGTTACACCTCCTTTGATGCAGGTGTGTTTGTCATCAAACGCGGCATCCCCTGTGTCTGGGAAACATCTTGAATGCCAAATAAACTTGGAACATCCCAAATCCTGGGATTTGGGAAACATGCTTCAGCTGCCTTCTTTTCTGTGGCTCTCCTCCGGCCTTTTAAATCTAGGCGTTTCTGAACCTGCCAGGCTTAGACCTCCAAAACCGTTTGGGCAACATCGTTGATGTCAAACAAATTGGGCGCTTCCCAGAACCTTCAAACTCTTTGCTTGCCAGTGGGCTCCACTAAACAGCAGCATTGGCAATACTGAGCAATACTGAACCAATACTAAGCCCATCTTAAGCCAATACTGAAACAGTACTAAGCCATCTTAAACCAATACTGAATCAATGCCAAACAAACTCTAAACCAGGACAAACCAGTACAAACCAGAGAAGACCGAAGCGGGCCGGAAAGGTGGACCCATACACAATGAAAAAGGTACCGCATAAAGCAAAGCATATATACGGTAGACGTCATATTGTAGATGCGGCTGGATTTGACATGTTGGCCAAACCATTGAGGTTTGGGGTTGCACATCGTCAGCTGCAAAATGCTTGTACAAGTACAACACCGCTTTCAATCAACGCCACTGTTTCGCCACCAAACAACCGCTTGATTAGTCTAACCTGGATCAAATCTGTGAACACTCATTGCCCGAAACTCGGATGCACGAAGCACAGAGTCTCTTGAGCCTTGGAATCCTTGGGATCCTTCTTGCCGTTCTTGGGCGCCTTGTCTGCCTGCATCGCCCACAGCTTGGGTCTGGGTGCGCTCTCCAGAGTTGTGAAAGCTCGACTCACATTGGTCTCACTTGTCCTTGACAACCTTTGGAGGGTATGTCCCATCAATAATCACTAATATCATAATGACATTGGTTGGTGTGTTACTTGCCTTTTTTTATTTCATTTCCCTGGTTCAACACAAGGCGCTGCCTATTGGCTCCGATTTTGGGCTGGCTGAGATCTTGCGCGTCTTGGGTCGTTGGGGTTCATTTAGGCTCCCTTGATCCTGGAGCATGCCCGAATCCTTGATTCAGGACCTCTGAAGCCTACGAATAACCTTGTCTAAAGCCTCCTACAGCCACTTTCAGAATACAGACTCTATGCAAGTGCCACAATTGCCTTGCTGATGCCGTCTGTTGTAAGATTCCATGGAATCTCTTACATCTGAAGAACAACAGGAACGCACATTTCTTAAATGTAACCCAAGTTGAACGATTGAGCAGAATCGAGCCCCCTTTCGAAGGGACTGGCTTGCCAAGTATTCTGTCTCTGCTGCCAGGCAGTAGTGACAGAAGCGCGACTGCGGGATATGAGACCTTTGATTGATAGCATGAGGTGTAACTCCGACTTACAGCACCTCAGGCTCCTGGATTGACACGGTCCCTCTTCTGACGGTACAAGGCTTGAGCAGATCTTCATTTAAAGGAATGCTGAGTCTGGCTGACATACAAACACACACAGACACACAGACACACAGACACAGAGACACAGAGACACAGAGACACAGAGACACAGAGACACAGAGACACAGAGACACACAGAGACACACACACACACACAGAGACACACACAGAGACACACACAGAGCACCAACACAGAGACACGCACAGAGACACACACAGAGACACACAGAGACACAGAGACACACACACAGACACACACACAGACACACACAGAGACACACACAGAGACACACACAGAGACACAGAGAGACACACACACCCACACAGAGACACACAGAGAGACACGGAGACACAGAGACACAGAGATACAGAGATACAGCGACACAGCGACACAGCGACACAGAGACACAGAGACACACACACGAGACACACACAGAGACACACACAGAGCACCAACACAGAGACACACACAGAGACACACAGAGACACACACACAGACACACACAGAGACACACACAGAGAA